GCAACGACAAACACGTAGAAAGAGCAGGACGCACGATTTTTTTATTGTTTTTGTCTTAAGGATAACAAAAGAAAAAGAATAACCGTCGAACAGCTACCAATCGGAAGGAAGAATGTCGAGGAAAAAGAAAAAGAAAAGCAAAGAAAGTAAAAGCAAGGAAAAGTAAAATTCATTCGAGTAATACTAAAATTGATAGTATAGATGTCGCAGCAGTCGCGAGCATAAAAGTTTTTTCCCATGATAATGCCTTGGAGGAAGAGCAAGAGAGAGAGAGAGAGAGAGAGAGAGAGAGAGAGAGGATAAGCAGTATGACTCTTAAAAAGAAAACGACAATGAAAGAGGAACACAGACGAAAAGAAAAGGGAAGGAAACTCTCGAAACTTGAAAAAAAAGAGAAAGAAAATAATATGCAAATTTTTCAACGTGTTCAAGACGCGACGGAGCCAGGTACCAATAGAAAAGCTATATTATATACCTATATACATATATCTCTACACCGTAATGTATATTTTGTCAGTTTTTTCTCTCGTTTGTTTCACTCTGCGGCGATAGGAAGAGAGAGAGAGAGAGAGAGAGAGAGAGAGAGAGAGAGAGAGAGAGAGAGAGAGAGAGAGAGAGAGAGAGAGAAAGCGTGAATGAATGCAAGATAAGGAAGACGGTGAAAATGAAAACGTATGGATTTAACGTATGCACGTGTGTATATATATATATATATATATATATATACATATATATATACATATGCATATACAAGTAATATTACCAGTTTAAACAGTTTTACGATTTTTACAGTTTACAATTTTTACAGTGTTTTCTCTTCTTTACCGCCGTTATTATTATTAACCAGTTACAATATGCCGTGAAATCGAGACAAATCACAAGTGCAATAGTTACAATAGAAACGGATTTTTAAAACGTGGCGCCCTTCCTGACCTTTTTCCTTCGAATCTTTCACGTACTTCATACTCCACTCCGCCTTGCCTCTCTTACGTCATCGATCGACGTCAATGACCCTTTCACCGGATGAGAGAAGAGGATGCGAGAGTGAGATGGGACGTAGAAAAAAGATAAGGATAAGGTCGAAGGTCACCACGTCCACAGAACTACCTCGCAAATTTCTGAGCTGCAACAGATACCATACCTCATCTACAACTGCATACTTACGTAAATACATAGCTGCATGCATTACGCGCATAAAATGGATGAAAAACAAAAAAAATGAAAAAATGTAAAAAAAAAATAGAAAAATACCCTTTCCCCTAACCACCGACACGTAGGCCACGCAAGGCGTCATTTGTATGATTCGAATTTTCTATGCAGTTTTTTTGTACGGCACTATTATTATACATAGTATATTTACAATTTGAAGGAAAAGAAAACATAAGAAACAGCTGTGTGTACTAATGGTGACGCAGTAGCCCGAAACCTGCCACTGTCATTACTGCTAGATATGTGCTTGTGATACGTCACGAGCGCTCGTACGGAGAGACGAAAAATCAGGGAGAAATTTGTGCGGGAGAAAGTGAAAGAAAAGGAAAAAAAGAAGAGCGGGGTGGGGCACGTAAACGGAAGGGAGGAAAGGGAGAAAAAATGAAAATTGACTTTGTAAGACACGATACAGTTGCATTATGGGAGGAGGTCACCATGTCTTTTTCTTATACAGGAAAATTCCAATGATATACGATATAGCTACAGCGCAGATTAATATAGATGAATAATATAATGATGATGATGATTGTGATGATCGACGATGACGATCGTCGAAGTTTATAAGGATTACGATGATCGTGCGAATTGTCGAGGGAAACGGTGGTGACTTTTGAAAAGTTTGTATCGGGCCGCGACGATGATTTTGTCAGTGCGAAAAATGTCGGTTTTTTTTTCAAATTTTCGAAAATAATTTTTAAAAATTGAAAATGCACAAGGAAGCAAAGAAAGTAATGATAACGTGCACCATCGATCCCAGACTCCCTTTATTCCGTTTTACTGGAAAAAAAAAAAAAAAAAGTTATAATTAACAAAAAACATTTCCCGCCATCCCCTATCGTTACAATAGGAAATAGTTAACGTGAAATAGTGATGATGATATGATGATTATCAAATAGATTATTGTGTTCGCGAGCTCTGTCAAAGGGGTCGTTATTTTCGGTCGGTATGCGTGTACTTTCGTTCGATTTGTTCAAAATTTTTATTTGTCTAATTTTTTTTCCTTTTTTACAAAAATGCCTTACTCACACTAGTACCGTCACGCATGTCGTCCGAAAATTCACTCCTAGCTGTATATAGTGTATCACTAGCGTGCGTCTGCGATTTTTCAAATTTGAGTCCCGTCCCGGTTGATCTTTCTGCAACTTTCTTGATTTTCATTTTTTTTCTTTTTTTTGGATAAGCGAAATTTTTTTTCAAACTTTTCCGTGCTTTTATTTTCGTAAAACACCTGCGTCATCTTGGTGCCTTCAAGGCGATCCCGGAAATCAATGACGTTATCTATCCTACATCTTATCACTGCCGAAAAAAAAAAAAAAAAAAATTATTATAACACCGTACCTGTAATTCGAAAGGCGTATAAATCTGTAGGCGCGATCGTATCTTCCGTATTGATATATGAAAAATAATTTTTGTCATTTTCTTTTTTATACTTCCCGTATCCATTTTTTGGGGACACTTTGATAATGATCGTATCGATCCGATTGGTACTCAATGAGAAATCGCTGATCGACGTAATAAAGCGCGTCAGAGCCGAAAACCTGTTATATTATATTTCATCGTGATGGGCGCAACGGTCGCGAGAGTCCTCGTGTTTTTCAGGAGGAACGGAAAAAGGAAAAAAGGTTGAGAAAAAAAAACAATAAAAAATGACGTCAGGTGCCTGAGTACGTGAACTTATTGATTATATTGAGAATCGAGAAGACCGGAAGTCTCAAACGATGCGGAAGTCCCGAGTGACTCGCGATCGGTTGCGCCCCTCGTGAGGATTTGTTATATGCCGAAATCTGTTAGTTTTTTCCTACATATAGCGTTAAATAGAAAATAGTGAATTGCCGTTGTTTTTTTTATAATTTCATGCCGATTCGCCAAACGTGCGTCGCGCTCTTTCGCTCTCGTGGCTGTAATATGAATGAAAAAGAAAAAATCTGGAAAAAAGAAATCGAATTTACGACGTACACAATTTTTTTGATAATTTTTGCCCCCTTTGCCTCTTATCGCCTTACGAATTTCGAATCTGGAAGATCGAGTGAAAAAAAATATTTTGAATTTCCCGCCCCAAGGTGCGAACATGGCGCGACGCACGGCTGAGCGTAAATTCGTTCGTGGCGCGACACCGACGAGAGAAAAACGAGAAAGAAAAAAAATAGCTAAAAAAATGAATAGAAGATAAATGATTAATATCGATAATACAAAGATAACGAGAGACCACACAAACACGCACGCACACGTACACACACGAGAGAGACACAGAACCCCCCAAATACTCGAAAACAATTCCTCACAAAACGATGCATTTTTTTCTTTCATTTTTCTTTTGAGACGATAAGCACAAAACACTAAGAGGAATAAAGTGAGACACACGATGCGAGACGTCAGTCTTGACGAAGCAAAAGGAATTACTGTATAACTCTTGAATAAAAGGCAAAAAAAATCTATGAGTGTAAACGCGTTAAGATATTAAGGGACAAAAAATACGAAAAAAATAAAAATAATATTTCACTGTAGGTTCTTTGGCAAGACAGATGGTTTAGATTATTACGTGTTTAGATGCTAAAGCGAAAAAAAAAAACTAAGGAAATAGACGAAAATATAAAAATTGTAAGAAAATATGCCGGATTACGCACCGAAAAAAGAAAAAAAGGTTGACAGAAAGGGAGTTATCCATAAGCGACACAGCGAAGATGCAAAAAAAGATGGAAAATAAGTATAACATGAGAATACGCGGCGTAAACTGCTCGGTAATATAATATAAATAATGAAAAAAAAAAAGAAATTGTACGCCGGCCTCTCTCACCGGCGACAGTTCTGGCAAAAAAAAACCCAGTAATTGTCTGCATTTAGCTTATTTGTGTATTTTGGCACCGCTTGCTATAATAATTAATGAATGGTTACATGGTCACGTGATTAAAGTTCCGATTTTCGCAAAAAAACAGAGAGGCAAGCCCATCGAATCTGTCACGTACATTAAGAATTCGGACGTACGAACGGTGACGCAAGCGGAAGTCGCCCTCTGTTGATGCCTGAATCCTTGTTCCCCTCCGTCAATCCGGAAATCCTAATTCTGCCATTAAAAAAAAAAAAAAAAAAATCTCTCATTCTGTCTTTCCATGTTTCCACAGCTCCAATGTTCTTTCTCTCAACCCCATTCTCACCCCCTGAGCCTTCCATGAGGGATCGTAGCTTCTGTCCTATCAGTTCTTTTCTGTGACCTTTGACCTGTGACCTAACCGGGCATGGTCAACGGTCATCTTAACTGTATCGACTACCCAATGTTTCCATTTTCCATCTTCTTCCTAATTTTCAATAAATCCCATCCCTCTCTCTCCCGTATCCTTGACAGACACAAAACACGTACACGCAGAATGAAAAATGCCAGTTTTTTCACATACAGCAAAAAAGCATTAAACGAAATAGAAAATCGCTATCGGGTTAAACATATTCACGAGAAAAGGAAATCAATTTATAATGAATTTATGTGTAACATTCAATTGAGGATTGTATGTAATTGTATATATATGAGTACAATGCAGTCCATGAGTTAAGATACATTCTCCTTTTTCTACCATGAAAAAAAAAAATAAATTATTCTAGTTAATAAAAAAAATTGTGCGTATCGTTTATTTACGAGTAAACCCTCGTGTGACCTTTCACCCACAATCAATCCTTTTTTTTTATCAAGGTCCTTGACGAACAGTCATCCTCTTTTCTCATACTGACAACTGTCAATGTCGCAATGCTTTCATCTGATTGTCAGAATTTGAATAAAGAAATTCCATCAACATCGTCAGTACGCTATGTACACATTTATTTGTTTAGAAGAACGCGGATCGAGCAAGTACTCTTAGCGTGACTGGAAAAAAAAATTTCAAATTACATCCTTTAAGAAGAATCCTTAAGAATTCGAATATATTACATCAACCAGAGTTATTGAACGCACAACTTTCGTGACACCTATGTGTCATTCTATTACATGAGACATTACTAAATACTTTATGGTATATATTATATACATTGACGATGATTAGCGTAGTACTGCACAAGCCCGTTTCCTTATCATTATTATCTCACAGGTAACACATTTGAGAGCACCAGGAATGACTAGAGACACTGTTACCACGAAATTAGAGAATTAGGATTCTTTGTCAATGATCTCATGATAGTTTTGACTAGATGAACTATATATCTATAGATACAATATTGTCGAGCGACCTCTAAAGAGTAGATGACTATTCGATAATGACAGAAAGATGAATTTAACGTCAAATCAGTATTTTCAAACTTCATTCATTTTTAACCATCAAAATCAACTAAGCTGGTCTAGTAGCGTGTACCATGTCGCCCAGAAGCCTCTCGACACTGACGTTGCCGACGATCGGCTTGAAGAGGAGTTCCTGAAGGGTAGCCCGACAGAGTGCACGTCCAGGTGGTAGCAAAAGAAGCAAACGACCTACTCTTCCTGCTCCTCGTTCACCGAGAACAGCCACGGTTTGTTCTTGCAGTGCTGAAACACGAGCAGCTTCGCAGAGTCCTCTGGATTCTGGAATATGAAACGAACAGGGAGGTTGGATTAGAATTTGTTTTATCAATTGACTGTATAGATATAGAATAGTATACTACCTCCTTTGAAAAGCACTATAGCCTTCAGACAAGCATATTCCGAATGATCAACTCGCATCATTACACATTTCGTTAACAATTCTCGCAACCTCCTTGCCTCTTCTGACAGAATTTGACGCCTTTCTGCGGTGGCGTCTATTGGTACTAACGTCGACTCCTCTACCGGAAAGTTCCACTGCGCAGCTGTGAGTACGAAAAGTTCGCTCCAGGATTCCTCCAGTAGGACAGACTGGTCTCTGTAGGACAGCTGAAAGGATAAGAAAAGAACCTGCATCTAGTATCCTCGTGATTTTTATACATTTGTTTTGAGGTTAGAGTAAAGGATTGACAAATTACTAACCTGTAAAAAGGAAGGGATACTCCTAGCCCATTTCACTGCCAGGAATAACAATTTGGCTGCGGACTCGTACACGTTTTCGGTCGGTAACAAGGACAGACTGGACAAAGTGTACTCGGAGAGAGTGGGGCCAATTATTGGCGGAGCCAGCCGCGTACCGACTGTGTCATTTGGGGGAAAGTCTAAATAAAATTTGTCAAATTTTTAAGCTTTCCGTTTATCCACAGAGTCAATTGAACCTGGGAAGTCCAATTGGAATATCGTCTGGTAGTCTTACCTTTTCTCGTTGTCTGATTCTCTCCTGTCGCTGCTTCTTCGGAACTGGTCACTTCGTCCTCTTTTCCTGTGCTCGTCGTCCTCTGCTCCGTCGATGGTCGTGGAAGGAAATGGGCTAGATGCCAAAAAGAAGCTTCCATAAGTAACCGCCATCATTGTGCACCTCTATGTGGGCAATCAGTAAGTATACGAGATTCACTGATACGCGTGACTTACCGACGCTGTGAGCAAAACTGGGTACCGAAGGCTTGAAGGGAAAGAGGGCTGGATAAAGAAGAGGATGATAAGGACTGCTTGTATGATAAACGTGAGGAATTCCTGGATACAGTCCACCAGGAGGTCTCCTTACAGCAGCTGTCAACGTGGAGGTACTCCTTGGCGCCCTTTCATGCTGAACAGCTAAATACAATAATTTTTCAACATCCTTATAATCTTATCAGTATAGGGATGAATACACGAAATTCCTATTGTTTGCATTGACAAACATTTTTTTATTTATCCAGGTTTTTCTGGACGAGGATAACGATGGATTCTGACAAATTTTCCTGACAACTCTCACGACAATGGCACAACGAATAAATAGGTGAGAGCGGACCCCCAGTACTTGTCTGCTAATTGATATCTCGGCGCAATCAAGTGTTTGGATTATAATCGAAGAGAGGGGTGTCTCAGACCCTGTTAATGTTTACCAAAGCTGTGAACGTCAGGCTGTTCCTGACACCCAGCACGTCACCAGAGCAACGCAACTAGAGTTTCATGTGGGTTCTTCTTTCGTCACGGTAAATAATGTCCTGGGCTATGCATTGTCATATTTTGTCATGGAGATGCGCCATGAGGATGGTAGGGCACCATGTTTGCTCTTGGGGCATCCTAGAGGGGATGATTCTGTTTGTGAATCCTGACATTTTTTTTCCAGAATCTCAATCACTTTTCAACGATTATCGAAAACCTTTCTAAACTTTGCAATATACTTGGGCAACGTGAACGTACGTAAAATTTATACTAGTTCTAACAAAATTCAATGACGGCTCATAACAATTTAAGGTTAGTGGTACACGAATTTGATTAATTGGTATTATGTTATAAAATAACAGAATTGTCATTTAATCACCATTCGACTGAAGCGTACCATCTCGTTTCATGTTGACTTGAAGACACTTCGTGAACCGACAAGCCTGACACTGATTGCGACGAGATACGTCGACGATGCACCGGCCATTTTCCTTGCAGACGTAATCCAGATTTCTGAAAACAGATAAGACCAAATTCCATTTCTCTATCTAATTCTATTTTTCGATTATGCATTCAATCAAGATTGCTCTAATTATTTTATAGAGAATGCAATTACCTTGCATACCTGCGGATCGACCGCTTGAAGAATCCACGACAGCCGTCGCAACTCGGTACGCCATAATGCTTACCGGATGCCTTGTCGCCACAGACTTTGCAGAGTGTTTCGCCACGATTATTATCATCCATTTTGTACCTTTTATCAGATCAGGTAATCTTTGAATATTATGCCCAGGTAATTATCCCACTCTTTTACGTTTCTGCAAGAAATTAATACAGTGTCCAATCCTTTGTCAACTCCAGTTTGTATTTTAGATTCCTTTTAATGAACTTTGTAAATGAAAAACATGACAAAATCATGTAATAAACACAAAAGAGTGTTTGTAACGACTATTCTGATTACAACAACCAAAGCTTTTACATTCAATCAAAGTAAATGACAGTGAAGCATTGACCATACCAAGGAATACAAAGAAAACAAAGCAGTTCCTCAGAATTTGTCAGAATATGTGAAATACCAACAATCAGTTTCAGGAAACGCAATACAGAAACGTTATCGACTAGTAACAATCTCGCTGGTAAAATCCAAGTTTCTCAGCGACCTAACCAACCTTTATCCAGACAAAACATAATACAAAGCACAGTCGACGTAAAGAATTGTCAGAAGGTAAGTATGCTTCAGTTCAATAGATTTGCAAGTTACATAAGATAATAACCAGATCGATGCATCGCTAGACATTGCTCGACAAGCCATTCGATTTCGCTTAACTATCGATGGTAGTCATTGGCTTGACAGTCGACGATGCCATAACCTAAAAGTTCAGCATAAGCTCTGCCCTTTCGTCCTTGCCTATCCTCGTTACCTTTATTCTCCTCATTGTCCCGATGCCTTCAAAAAGAACCATGCTCCACAATGCCAACAACAATGGATAACCGTCATGAAGTAAGACGCCAAAAAAGAAAATAAAAAGGAAGGAAGGTAAGAAACGTATAACCACATAGTTATTAATGGCGATCGACCGTTGCGACGCTTCTTGACTTTCTAACCTCTAACCAACCAGGGAGTGAAGTATTTAGCTAAATTTTGACTTTGCGGTGAAATGGTCGCAAACTCGCAGCATTATCCTTAGGTGGCCCAAGGGGTAGTGCTCTTTCCGTTGACTTTTACAACTCTCTCCACAGGGTGACGCCGATGATGGTGGTACGTGCCAGTAGCCTAGCATTAGTGATGACAATGGTAGTGGCAATGGCTACCCTGTTGCTGGTGGTAGTGTCACGTTGATACTATATATATATATATATATATATTCTCTTTCTCGAGAGGGTTGGCCTCTGTCGCGCTCTTTCTCGCGCTAATAGGAGCGAAGCCACCTGTAGGTTTCTCAGGCTCAATAATGCATCATCGACATGGAGCATCGGACAGAGTCGACGCTGGCGAACCACACACCCTTCCCAATGTCCTACAGAACGCCTCGCCAACCCCCCTGAGGTCGACTTCTTCGACTCTGAGACACTCACCCCTAACGCCATCACGTATGGAGTTCGTCGTTGCGTGCATTATCTTGTCATAATATTATTATACAACAATCAATTATAATAACCTCGTTTTTCCACCCCTCCTTTCCCCTTCTTCCTCGTTCAACCCTTTAAATTTTTTCTTCACCATCTCTACCAATAAATATTCTACTATTTGCCTTTTTCACTATTCACTGTCTCTTAGGGTGCATATTGCTATTTTATACTGTAGCATTGACTTTGCTCTATTTCAGTCCATATGGGCTACGTCTCGACACGAAATGCGGTAAGGGGTAGTAACAGACACAGAACAGATACGAACAGATCGGTGTTGAGTCACGTGAGGCATTTTTAAGGGGTTACTTCGGGGACTTGCGACTACTACCCCTCCACGTAAACGCAACGTTGACTGGTCTGTAATTATGCAGGGCGGATTATTTAACCCTGTTTGCAATGTCCAACCAGGCGTGTACACATACTCGACCACTGATACGGTACGTGTAGGACGTATGTATTTTACGGCGACGTGGCATATGGTGTTTTGAAACGTCAAGTTGGCAGGATTGACAGGGATGGAAATAACGTGCAGACGAAAAGGTAAGTCGATAACGATCGTAGGGGATGGATCTTGAAATTTATATATTTCAGGAGGTATATTTATTTTTTTATTTATTCTTATCTCTTCTATGGTGGTTTCCCCTAAACACCCTAGAAAGGATAAACGTAACTTTTAACGTAACCTAACGGCTCTGTCGTCCGATGTACACTGAACTCATCGATCATGGTCGGTTTGACAAGTCCCTTGCAAGTTGGCCTTTTCTTTTCGGGCTTAATGCCAATTCGATGACTTTCCGATAGGCAAGAAAGGGCCGCAAGGTGCTCGCGAATGGGGAACGGCTGTGCATAAAAAATGCAGGTCACTTTCCGGACGGAGTTATGCAAATTTTTTTTCTCACTCCTTGCGTCACGTGTGCGTTTTCGCATATGGAACAAAAACTTATAGACACGGCTGCGGGTTCGGGGTGACAGGAAATTGCTGTATCAGTTCTGGATGTTTGAAAGGTTGGATGAACTTTTGAAATTGAGATCATCTTAGTCGATTCTGGTCGTTGGGAATTTTTTTTACTTAAACAGATTGATACAGATCATTCGTCCCCTCGTCTTGGGAAGAGTGGGTAAATAGATGAAAAATTTCATGCTCCCAGTCATTGTTTTGGTTAATAGATTTCTGTCTCTATATTTCACTGTGTATCCTGCTGAGTAATTCGCAGCTGGAATAACGTAGAGCGAAGCACGATCAAAAGTCATTAATAAAAAATTAATTTAGATGAAAAAAAATAGTCATCAATTACACGTAACCCATAACAAGAATTTCCACCAATAATTATTTTTCAAATGCGATATATAGCTTTCCATCGTTCGACTGATTAGTCACATATTATCTGTGGCAAAAATTATAGCCAAATTTTTATATAGAAAAACCAAACAATAAGAAAACCTTCTAGTACCTGTCTTAGTCAATTTGAATCGCCGCGCCAAATCGAAATAGCACCCTAGCGGTCATTAGAAGAAACAAACAGCCGAACGTCAATCCGGAGAAGTCAAAAGAGATAGAAACTAATCACTGATTTCGAAGCCAATTTAATTCATTTTCGGTCTTCACTCTCTGACCCGAAACACGTGCTCACTTCACACGCTTGGCACTGATTGCGTGACTGACTGGGTGACTTCGTTATTCGTTATGCACGATTCCAGCCCCATTCTACTACGTTACATGCACCGTGACATTAGCCACAAAGTCCCTAGTTCCGTTTCTCTTCCTCCTCTACACAGTCCTTCTTCCTTTCATTCTATTTATTCATCTCAGTTCTCAGATCCCTTCTGTTCTGTCAGATCAACGAATCCAGTCCTTCTCTCATTTACAAATTTTCTTACAAGGAGCCCAGACCTGTCAAATATTCTATCAGACGTCGACAACCATACGGTAGTGCAATGCCTAAAAGAGATAGGAAAATATCATTTCTTACGGAGTGTCTACGTACGACGTTCAGTGCCATCATACGAATGCTTAAGCACTTCGAGCATCAAGGGTAATATTCATGGCAGCGAACCTGTCAACTATTTTCTATACACTTGATCTTCTACACTTCGTTTCTTCTTATGGTAAGTGACGTCACTATTACCTTCTGGCTAATTCGCATTAGAATTTAGAGATTACGCAAGTCGTATAAGAATATAATGAAAGAAAAATAATGCGAATGACATTTGACATAATTATATAACGTTAATAAATATCTTAATTGTTATCAGTTACCATACTGACTAGTAGATAAGAACCGAGTTATGGATTTCAATAGAATCGTTGAAGTGAAATTAGAAATTTTTTTAAATTTTAACAGGATATTTTAACGTGGTTGACAGTTAATAGGTATGCTCTCGTTACCTAGACTTTTTGCACTTTTTGAAAAGTGCAAGAACAGACGTTAAAATATCCGGTTAAACTATTATAAAATTTCTATCTGTACTTTACAAAAAGTACCGAAAGTCTAGGTAACCAGAACAGATCTGATGCGTGCATGTTGCTACATTTTTTATGACTACAACGTAACATATGCGACGTGCGTGGGCACTGGACAGTGATATAATAATGGGTATTATCTCAAATAAGTTGCCATTACACGGTGCGACGGCGGAAAACTGGTTTACAGGTGCGTTTAGTCACGACTAACTAAATGTGACTCTGTCACGTGCTACTCGTGATTTGAACGACTAGACCGTGAACGAACGGTAAACCGTGAGGAAGTGTGCACGTTGCAGATATATACGTTATAAATTAATAATTAAATATTATCGGTGTAACAAGTACATATTAACGTAAGAATTTGATTTCAATGGCGGCAACCAAGACTTGCTATGGGTTTATTTGGAATAAAAATATGATAAGAGAGGAAATGATGAATAATACAAATATTTTTAAGCCTCCGATGAAACAGAGTAACTATTAAAATAAAAACTAAATTCTAGCTTTCACTATAATTTTTATAAAAAATTATCACTTACCTCTCGCGCAAAGCGTTGCTGGCCCGAAATGAAAAATTGTTACAATTATTAACCAATAAGATAAGACGCACGGATATCGGTTTAGCCTTTAAATTTACACAGTCACTGGAAAAATTTTTTTTTTACAGAAATATATAATTTTCACATTGAGTTAATTTTTTTGGATGAAATTTATTTTTAGCCATTCGACGAGGAACGTGGAACGTTAAAAATTTGAATTTACAATTCGCAACACTGCGTAAGTGACAGCTCTTTTATCGAACGATGCTCACGCGGTCCGGGTGATCTATGATTCGTAATTTTTGGCGTGGCCAGGCTACCAGGGTAGTCGCACCCTGGTGATCCATGGTGATCGCTCGAGCAAAGGGTAGTTTTCTGTGGCTCCGCCCAGCCAACGGAATCCTCGCGCAGGACTCAAAGGGTGAGAAGCTCTCATTGGTAAACGGGCGTGGCCCCGTGACGTCACGGGGTGCTTGCAATTGGCCATCCTGAATAAGTTGGGGTTGACTGCCAAGAGCCAAGACCGAGGCCGACCGGCACTGCGCGTTCGCAAAACCTCCGAAAAGCACAAAAGTCAACCCGTGTCGATGACAGCCGGAAGGGACCACTCAGCTATTTTTATTTATTTTTTTTTCATTTCCCCCCTTTCCCCAACTCTGACACTCTTATACCCCTCATTCGATACTATTCCCAAAAATGTCGAATTCCCCCATTCCAAATACCGCAACATTCAGTAAGATAAAATTTACACGTGACTCTTTGACATTTCAATGACTCGTCTACGCTGACCCGGTAAGTCAAAAATATTTTTGGATTAAAAATTTTTTTCCACTTTTTTTCACATTTCAAACTTTATAATCCTGCAATTTTTTTTTACGGTTGCTCGGTTTATTAATAAATACCTGACACCAATGTTACGGGTTACTCGATAATTTTACCTCAAGACTTTCGTATGGACTTTATTCTCGTCTGATGGGTTCTCAGGGGCGGCTCTGTAATTCTCATGAATTTGGCCAGGTTAAAGCAGGTTAAAAATTGACAAGGCCCGTCATTGGGTATGAGAATCTATCGCGATCCGTCACGTACAGCCGGGTAACCATTACCGCGTCCCCATGCTATAGATATATCGAATTTCAAGGGTTTTTCGACGAGAACGAACGATAGCAGCGAAACGCGAGGCTGATGCGAGCGACATCTGCCGAGTTCGCACGGCTTTGCTCGGTGTTACGGTTACGCGAGACAAGCGTAATAGCCCACGTAATATCCACTGAATATTTCATTCATTATTCTCGAGAAATCAATGATTACGATCCCGTGCTGTAATGTCGCCACGCTCGTCATCGGCCGCGCCGATAACTTCTTGACTATCCCCTTGATAATCGCGAAAGCCATATAAAATGATCCTTTTGCCTAGTCCAGCCCGTCTTGCCACTTTATACGACGTATTGTTATGACTATTCGCTAAGAGACACAGAAACGTGAGATTATCTAACCTAACCTAAGATTCGAGGCGTCGGGTAATGGGGCAACCCTGTCGCTATTTTATTCCCGGCACCCACTGACTCCTGAGTAACTTACACTATGGCAAAGTGGAGAACGATCTATGGATCCGCAATTTTCTAGATCGTTCGGACAATGGAGGACGTGGCTTGCACTTGGTGCAGAGGGTGAAAGAGGGAGCGAAGAATCGCAGTGAAGTGGCAGCAGGGCTGCTCGGGCTAATGGCTCGGGGATGCTATTTTGTTAAACAAGGAAACCTTTTATCCCCATACCCATCTTCGGGAGCTGAGAAACTCTGGAATCCAGGGACGCTCCTTGGGTTCCTTACGAGGGTCCAGACTAAGGTTAGAATTTTGTTTGTATACGTTTTTTTTCATCATTTTAGGGTCTGACTCTAGGATTCAGTTGCTTTATTTGTTTTGGTCTTGTTTGAAATTTTGTAAATATTTTTTACTATTTTATTGGAGAGAAGACATTCTTTTGAACCCTTGCGCGAACTTTAAGGGAATTTCTTTTCTAGGCTGAGAACCAGCTGCGGTTCTAGCCGCCCCTGAAAGTTCACTCGGTATCTTGTCATCGCGAGCGGCTTGAAGTGCGAACCGCCAACCGCCGCGACAAGATGCCAACTGCTGATTCTCACAGCGCCCACGCGTCTCCCTTATCGCGAATTCTTTCAATTTTTCTCTGGAGGTGCTATTCCTAGTCGAAGAAGTATCACTAGGCTTTATACTGCCTTTTGTGCCGATCAATAGTATCTTGGTCGGTGGTTAAACTTGTATTTTTTTCTGTAATAGTGGTACTGGTCTTGATACGGGTGAATGATATGAGAAAGCCTGGAAATATAATTTTAACACTAAACATACCTACAATTTTTTATAAACGTATTTTTGGCTTTAAAAGGGTCAAATGACCCGTCGATGGTACGATTAGTGTTAATTAGAATTTCACGCGTTGAATATTATTCTAAAATAAAAGGGAATACAAAAGTTAGATTATTCTAGTGGAATTGATCGTTGATTGTCAGACAGTGGAAATTGAAAAAAAAAATGTGGTTCCGGCCGGGATCGAACTGGCGACCTTCTGCGTGTAAAGCAGACGTGATAACCGCTACACCACGGAACCGTAGATGAAAGGTTATGCTTAGAATTTGGTAATTGAATGTCAGTGTTGCTATAATGTACTATATAAGATAACGAATAACGTACTATTCTTAGATCAGTTAATTATTATGGTCTTAAGGATTGGACTGAGATGGGATATTTATAGATTTAATGGTACAGTGATATGGAGCACTGTATGTAACGGTATTTTCTTATATTATAAATTTATGAAAAAGAAAAACCTGGCCTGTACTGTACAGCATGTTAATACACGTAAGTCATAAGTGACTGTACGATCGACTACAATACTAGAAATAAGGATAAATATATAATTAAGACTTTCACGGTAAATTACATGCGTTTATGCCACTCTTATGCTAAATTGCACCTCTTACGCTCTAATTAAATGCACGATGCACTTTTTCGACGTGGCGCCGTTAAAGAGGCCTCCATATAGGCAGTGAAGAATAAGTACGTGATATTCACTAAAATCTCAACTTCGAAACTACATTGATTGTTGTAAAAAAAAAAATGTTGTCGATTCTGTGAAAATCTAACAGTGTATCTACGAAACGTGTAAAGCGTAATTGACTGGGAGTGAATATTAGCATGGCTCTTATGCTACTATACTTCCACGTTACGTCAAACAGCAACAATTTAGTGTTTCAAATTCACCGAATTAATAAAATTAAGAAAAATCTTTTTAAATCATTTGAAACACACCGGACCGACCGAAAAACCAAATGCTTGATGCGGCAAACCATAATCGACCGGATAAAAATCTACTAGTGGAAGCTGCTGAAGCTTCTTCGTCTGCACCACGAAGATCGTTTCGCTTTTGGATTTGCGTGTCTTGCAGCCGTCGGCAATGATGTTGGGTCTGGTACCATTGTAGGAGAATTCATCATTATTTTCACCTAACAGTCGTAACGATAAATTATGGTTGTATCCAGGAACACTGTACCAGGCGGCACTGTTGATGCAGGTATACGTGAAATTTTGATGAGCATCCTGACTGAGGAGTCTGAGGAATGTCATCTGGACCACTCCTATACTTTCGTATGTTATCTGAGATAAAATCATATGAATCAGATTGTGCTTAATCTTATTGATTTAATTGCCTTTTTATTTTATACTCACTCGGAAGCCACCACGTAGATTAGAATACCAATCGGTCTTCTCGCCCTCCTTTCTCCAGGGTATGTTCGGCATTTGACTACTGTGAATATCCGGGAACACGCAAGTCTCACCAAAACCTGTTATATTGCAGTAAACGTATATGGCGTCGTCCGGCATTCCCAAATTTGGATCGATCCAGTACCAGCCTGTATTGGATTGAAAACGAGTTACTCTAAATAATTTTAGGCTAATCCTGTTATATCTAATCAAGTGAAAAAAATATATCTCGTTACCGTCATTGAAGTGGGGATGACCATAGAAAAGATCCTTGCACGTCCTTACTGGGTTCTCTCTAGTGCCTGTGGGTTTACGCATCCGGTCCAATTCTTGTCTCATACTGTATATGGAGCCGTACATATCCAAGAATTTCGGACCCAATTCTTCTTCTATGCGGGCCTTGTTTTTCTCCTTTGTGAAATAACTGTCATTGAGATCTTCATTGCTATATTGGAGAAGAAGGTTGAAATAATTTAAAGGCTTAAGAAGCAGTTGGATTTGACTTTTTTTTAAAAGAGTTACTCACGTCAAATCACCAGTAAGGTCCCGCTTTCTTCTACCCATTTGTTCTCTGGCGAACAAGAGCTCGGGTGGGATCATTGATTGCTCGGCTGGAGGACCTGGTGGACCCGGTGGACCTGGTGGACCCATATCACCTTTCGTTCCGTCACCGCCTGTCATGCCCTTGGGTCCTAGTGGACCGTCCATTCCTGGTAAACCTTGAGGTCCGTCGTTCCCTTTCGGACCCGGTGGTCCTTGAGACCCAGGACTGCCTTTGGGACCTTCTGGTCCTATTGGTCCCCGCATGCCCTTTTCGCCCTTCTCACCTTGGTCGCCTTTTATACCACTTTGACCTAATTCACCACGATGACCCTTGATACCTCTTCGACCTCTGTCACCTTTTTGACCCTTTGGTCCAGCGGGCCCACTTTTTCCCGGTGTACCTGGAGCCCCGGATAATCCTGGTGGTCCGTTTTCTCCTGCTGCTCCGGGCATTCCTCGCATTCCTGGCATTCCTTGTGGGCCAGGTTCACCTTGGGGACCTAGACGACCTTGAAGACCCGGTGCACCGATTGGGCCTACGTCGCCTTTTTCACCAGGAAGACCCGTGTTTCCTTGCATTCCTGCTGGACCCTCTGGACCCTTTTTTCAAAGATGTTCAATTAAAATAATTAATACCTTTTAAAAATTATCTTGATCTATAAGTCAGTATTTATAAATCAGAATATTTTATTAATTGTTCTCACGAACGAGCATAATAAACGTACTGGTTTTCCTGGTGGACCCGGCATTCCTTCTTTTCCCGGTGGTCCGATTTCTCCAGGCATGCCGGTATCTCCCGTTTTACCCTCATCACCATCTTTTCCGGGTTCTCCTTTTGGACCCATAAACCCAGGCTCTCCTGGAGGTCCAGGAAATCCAGGTGGACCTGCATGACCCTTAGGACCTTCCGGACCTCCGATTCCTCGACTTCCTGGGGGACCAGCAGGCCCTGCTTTACCTTCTTCTCCCTTGGGACCTGGCGGACCACGTTCACCCTGAAGACAATATGTAAATGTTAGAACTGAAACTATTGATTCTACGGAATTGTAGACTTTATATTCATACCGGCTTGCCATCAGTACCACCAATACCAGGTGGACCAGGATTTCCTGCTTCACCCTTCTCTCCTTGTCGTCCTTCCAATCCAGGTGGTCCTTGCAGACCTTCTACTCCCTTAGGTCCTCTTGGACCCTGCTCACCAGGACTTCCGGCAGGACCCGGAGGACCTGTTACTCCCGAATCACCAACTTCACCCTTTATTCCAGGAGGTCCTGGAATACCTTGAGGCCCAATAGGGCCTGCAGGTCCTGGTACTCCAGTGGGCCCATCTTCGCCTTTGGTTCCCTGTCTTCCAATCTCCCCGGGTGGACCTTTCTCCCCCGGCGGTCCCATTGGTCCTGGTTCCCCTCTCGGACCTTGTATGCCAGGAGGTCCTGAGGGTCCCTGATAAATAATTAGGTATCAACAGTTACATAATATCACTTCCTCTTTCTCTTTATTAATTGTTTTCCATGTAAATAACGAAAAAGTACACTTACGAACTCTCCTTGAGATCCCTTAAAACCCTTTTCACCAGGAGGACCCATGTCTCCTTTGTCACCATCCTCCCCAGGAACACCGACGGGTCCCGGGGGTCCGGGTAATCCACGTAGTCCTGGTAACCCATCTCGTCCAATAGGTCCTGGCATTCCCGCTTCACCCTACATTAATCGTGAATCAAATTAATTATTTATTATCTATATTTCCATATAAGCTATAAAATTCGTTCAAATAAAAATATACCCTTTCGCCCTTAAGTCCTACGGGTCCTGGAGGTCCTTTCTGCCCTTGACGTCCTTCAGGACCAGGAGGTCCATCTTTGCCAGGTTCTCCTTGAGCTCCTTTATCACCGGTCGCTCCCGGAGGCCCCACTGGGCCCATTTCTCCCTTCAAGCCTGGCATACCCTTAAATTATTTAATCAATAGTGATATCATTTTTATCATGAAGAATCATTATCAAGAGTAGCGTATCAGAACAATATACCTACCGGCAACCCATTCATTCCTCTTTCTCCTGGGAAACCAGGCAGTCCTCCAGGTCCTTGGGGCCCATCCTTTCCCGGTAATCCTGGTGGTCCCGGTGGACCTTCCTTCCCATGATCTCCCGCCGGTCCAGACTCCCCTGGAATTCCCGGATTACCCGGAATCCCTGGCTCTCCCGGTTGCCCGGGTTCACCGGGAGGACCATGAGGACCAAGTACGCCAGGAGCACCTGGAGGTCCTGGGGGACCGGATTCTCCTGCGGGTCCACGTTCTCCAGGAGGACCGGGCAGCCCATCTTTTCCATTGAGACCCTGCGCACCAGTGGGTCCTATGAAACCGCGAGGACCTTCCATTCCTGGTGGTCCTTGTTCACCCTGAGCTCCTGGAGGACCTGGTTGCCCCGTGTCACCTTTTGGTCCAGGAAATCCTTCGGAGCCACGTCGCCCACGTGCACCTCTAAATCCCTTTGTAATATATTAATAGTTTTTATTTGAAAAATCATTAACGTAACACTTAACATGACTCTTGGTCAATACTAATTGAACTGATTTATTTACCCTGGGTCCCATTTCACCACGTTCGCCTTGCATTCCAGTATTTCCCTAAAAGACCAAAATTCTAATCATGTATTTCTCAGGTACATCACTTCCTAGTAAATAATTATAAAATTGGTATTATCCAATTATTATGTAATCTATCTTACGCGTTCACCCTTGTCACCGGTAGATCCAGTTCGACCCGGTTGACCTTTCTCTCCCTTCTCTCCTGGGGCTCCAGGATATCCAGCAAAACCTGGCACTCCGAGCTTTCCCTTTTCACCAGGAGGCCCAGTCGGTCCAGTTTCTCCTCTAGGACCTTCGAAACCCTTAGGACCTTCCAAACCTTCGAGACCAGGTATTCCTTGAGGTCCGGGCTGTCCCGCTTCACCTTTTGAGCCCATGTCTCCTTTGTCACCCTCCAGACCTCTGTCTCCCTTCTCGCCACGATCACCAGTCATACCCCGTTTCCCTTCATCGCCCTTAACACCCCGGACACCCGGGAACCCCAATGAACCTTGAGGACCTTGAGGACCTTGCTCACCCTTCATTCCTGGAACACCTGGATTACCAGGATGTCCTGGAGAACCATCAGCCCCCGAAAGACCAGGTATTCCAGGCTTTCCTTGAGGTCCCTGAAAATTAAGAAATTATAAAATTTATTAGAATATATAAAACATCTCCGCATCATTGATACTTACGACTAAACCAGTAGGTCCTAGAAGACCTTGAGGTCCTGGCGGACCCACAGCTCCCATTGGACCCGCTTGACCTGGTGGACCAGGAGAACCTGGCGGACCTGTATTACCCTTGGATCCAGGTGGTCCTTCGCTTCCAGGAATTCCAGGATTGCCTGGTAATCCTGGGAAACCTCGTGGTCCTATAAATCCTCTGGGTCCCTTAAAAACCACAGTAAAAAAACAGTCAGATAAGAAATAAAATGCTGTGATAAATAAAAAAAAGTCTTACCAATTCACCAGGCAACCCTGGCAGTCCGGGTGGACCATCCTCACCCTGCATCCCTTCGTGCCCAGGTAAACCTTGTTCTCCAGTGGCCCCCAGTGCACCCCTTTCACCCTTATCACCCGGCAATCCTGGCAATCCTTGCAAGCCCTGCTCCCCTTTCATTCCTGGAGGACCCGTAAGACCACGATCGCCATCCCTTCCCGGTCGACCTCGTCTGCCTTCTCTTCCCACATTACCAGGACTCCCTGGGGCAAAAAGTCGTGATAACCTCCTCAACCAACTTTTTGACCTTTTCCAAATCTACCAACATTATACTCATAGCGTACCTCGCTCCCCTCTTAATCCAGGCTCACCAATATCCCCAGGTTCACCTTTCTGACCTTGAGCACCGGAAGGTCCTTCCGGACCTGGTATACCAGTAAGACCCATCGGACCCTCAGTCCCTCTCATAGCCAACATATGCTGCGATAACATCTGCCTGAAGGCCTCAGCTTGCGAATCAGGCCCTTTCTCATTGCCTTGTTGATTTAAAGGCAGCATGAACACATGACCTGGAGGTCCTGGAGCTCCTTGCACACCCCCTAACCCATCTCTACCAGGCTCTCCCTTTTTTCCTGGGGGTCCAGGATCACCCGGGGGACCAGGATACCCTCGTGGACCCGGATGACCACGTACGTTATAATACCCGTAGTTATAAGACCCATAAGATCCTGGATAACTTGGGGTATCATAGGATCTGTCGATCGGCCTATAACTTTCTCTGTAAGAACTCTCAGTTGCGTATCTTTCTGTCGTGGGCAATTCTGTAAAATTCTGAAAGAAAAAAGAACGTCCTTGAAACCTCATTAAATTACGTAACAACATCCTCATCAGGTTCTTCCGAATGCTTACAGGTCTCCGATTCTCCGCAGGCAAAATTCCAGAAGTAAAATTTTCGGGTCCTAAGGGTGAGTAAAGGTCCTCCTCATCAGTATTGTTTTCAGCATCTATCTGTCCCTCCTTATATCCATTTGCAATTAGGGCTTAGTTATAATGCGACGACCTACAGTTTGCTTAGAGACCAAACGGGGCCCTAGCTTCATGCATTGCAACAGAGCGTTCCTTACTCAAATCCTTACCTTATCTTTATCCTCCTCTTTCTCATCCCCATCTTCGTAATCTTCTTCAACAGTCACTTCGATAGGCCCAAAATCATTCCAGCCACCAATTCCCGATGCAGTCCGGTTCAAATTCGAATTTCGCTGACCATCTACGCCGGAACCTGCCTCTACTGATCGTCCAGCAAGTCCAGACGAGAGTCCACCATAGGCAGGTCCGCCCTCCGCCAACCCGGAAGTCTGACTGCTCCCAGTGTACCCTAAGTCGCTCCTGGCTGATGTTTCATAATAATGAGACGAAGATGAGGTCATAGACGAGGAACCATAATGACTCCCAGCAGAACCGCCGGTCAGTATTTCACTCGAATGATGGGATACGACTTCAGCCCGGCCTACGTCATTTTGACAATCAGCCGCGAATACGTTACAAATTTCAAAAGCCGCATCGGGATTCGGTGCTATCCTCAACAATTCCAATCCTCCCTGAGCAAAGAGTCGACGAAAGGAAATAAAAAAAAAAAATATATAATTCATTGGACCAATAAATTTCAATGTGAATGTATCTTAACTAACCAAAAATATATTCCCGTCCACAAGTTGTTGACCGATAATGACGATTCCACTCGTGCTAATCGATGTCAATTGATTACGACGTAATTCTCGCGTCATCTGGTTGTTACAATCGGCAATCAAAGTCACGGAATCGCCCTTTACGCTAAAACCCAAACGGTGCCAATTCCCATCGGATATGTCAATTCCGAATGACATAACATTCGCATCGTCTTCATTCTCGTTGCTGGTACTGTACAACATGGTGACGTCATTGCCCAACGATATAACCAGCTGTTCCTCGCCGTTATCACTGTATATGGCGAACAGGGTGGACGTTGGGTTTCCTAATGACAAATTCCATAAAGTCACGGGAAAAAATGAATGATTTGCCGATTAAAAGAAATTTTCAAAATAAACATTATATTACCGAACGCTCAAGCGACTTGAGAATTAAGTTTATGACTTACCGGAAATTGGCCTAACGACCACCAGAATCGAAAAATCCTTCGGGAATCCAGTTGGGAACAAAGTAGCTGTGTTTACCGTAAGCAATGCCGATTGGTCTAATTCGTAAGCAGCCGAGCTGTTTTTTTCGCAACGTCCTCTTCCCACGGTAACACCTGACACTGCCCTATCAATACCAGTACCCTCCAATAGATCTATAATTCCTACCCCTGGAAAGGGATGAGGAGTATATAAATAAAACGTAATAAAATCATAGGAAATCAAAGCAGCTATGAATATCCATGAAATCTTGTTCTCATTTCATTCTTCGTTAGAATCTAAAGTGAAGGAGATGATGCGGATGGAATAAAGTGAAGGAGCGTAGAACAAAAATGAAACCCAGTAACCCTACGACCTCTGAAACATAAGTCATCTTGTTTAATGGATGCTTGTACCAATTTCGCCGAATGACGTGATCGCTCAGGATAAGGTACATAAATTTTACATATAGTGTCGCGAGTCCGGCACTTCAATTAATATAATAAAGACCACTTAAAGATACGCTTGCCGACCGATAAATATTCACCGCTTGAGAGTTGTCGTGCGATTTTAATTAAAATTTAGAATTTATTCCAAAAAATCAATCCCCACCATTTCCCTCGTATCGTACGTAATGCAATTTGAGTATTTTGTTGTGAGAAAAAAAAATGTTTTTTAATAACTTACCCATATCCCTCAAAGCGATGTCTGCTCCGACGCCATTAGATCTCGTGAATAAAAGTAAACCGATGCCAAGAATTATTAGGGGTCGTAGGAGGGTGGTTGGAGTGGCGCAACGCAGCTTTTTCCATGGCTGCTTCACGTATTCTCCTCGCATGCTTTTGTTCCCTTTCACTCAAATCATTTTTCTCTCCTCGCTACTCGTATTTTCGATTGTCGCCACCGGATTCAAATCCGCCGGATATGGCCGCTTCCTATAGCGTCCTGTATATATATTGAGGACACTATCGATACCGGAGATAAATGATCCTGATGGGGATCCGATCGATCTAATAAAAGTTTACAGACACGATCATGTCCGTTCGAACGGCCGAATCGCTCCTACTGAAAGTGAAGAGTTTCTTTTACAAGATAACCGAGTCACATCTATTGCCAGGCATCCCCACGCATCTCGTTCTTCGTCCAGAATCACCTCCTACGTTCCATCGTCTTCCTCTACTTCTAGCCCATTCTCTTTTACGCTTGGCTCCATCGTCCTCCCTTCTTCCTCACGAGTCATCCTCCAGTCTCGTATTTTCAAATCCTCCTCCGCCGTCACCTTCCTCTACCGTCTTACGCATTCGACACATGTGACTTTAATGACAATTCCGCGACTACTCCGAGTCAATGATTTCGTTAACACATGGCACTCGATGATACAGTGTGTCTTTTTTTTCTTCTTCTTCTTTCATGTACAAGCCATATGAGCGCGTGAAATGTTGCCGGAAATTTCTACAGCGCCAAGTACCTAATACGTAGCTCTCTGAATATTTTTCAAATGAGCAATCGGTCGGCTTACTTGGGCGCAGGAGAATCCGCGCCGGCTAGTCAAGTCAGCAACTATAAAGGATAAAAATGTATTAAGAGTCAAGCAGGTAATTAAATATTTCAAGGTAATAACTGTTCTGAAAATTAGTGTGAGAACTTTTTGATAACTCGGAAGCTGATGATCTCTTCTGTCATTGCTTAATCGATGACTCAGTAACCACGTGCGTCTTGCTCTGAATTAATATTGTTATTGTCGATTGTATTTTACGTGGACATTACACGATCCTCATTTTAATACGAGTATCGGCTTTCGACTTGTAATCATTTATTTTCTGTATTAATCTTAACCAATGGTAATAATCATTAAGCGTATAAATTTTTAATCGTGTTATCGTTATCTGCTATTCTTTTCTTGTGCTTCACATTTTACGCCATCACTCGCATTCTCTTCCTCTTCTTCTATTCCTCATTCATTAACCGATTACGACATAGGACGTGCCAATGTGTTTTATGTATTTGTTCTTTTATTTTAGGGACACCCTATATGTGACATGGTGGTCACTGACCGAAGCCGCTACGCCAGTTAACGTGAACTTTGACATCTCGTATCTCATTGATTGCGTGCACTTCAATAGCCTTACCATTTCACTATATTTTCCTTCGTTTCGCTTTGTTTTAGTTTTATTTGATCTCCTTTCGGTTTTGCGTCTATCGAAAATATTGGTGAATTGACAAAATGGAAAAACACGTAGCTAAAATTTATATTCGGTCCAAGAATCAAAAGGAAATATTTTTATTATCCATAGTTGATAATGCTACCCTGAAAAAGAAGTGGCCCCTATTAATAGGCAACCTAATTATTTCTTTGGCAGGCGTATTGACAAATTGTAGGCGTTTGCAATTTTCCGGATAGCTGTCACGTACAAGCTATTATTATTATATAGGGCAAATAATATATATATATTATATATATTATTATAGGGCAATAATACACCGGTGTGAAATTCCATGAAAGTATATTATATTAATTTAAATTATAAATTATAATGTTTTTGTCGGCTAATTTCATCCTTGACTAATTGGAGGATGTTTAAAAATTTATTCATTCATATATTTTGAGACGTCCCGATAAGTTCAATGCTGTAATTATAGGAGTTTACGTTACAGTTAACTTAATTAATCAGTTATGATTCATTTCCGGCAGATAATTAAAACAGCAAGATCGTTTATAATGATCATAATGTCAATAATAATGGAGCACCAGCAACGAACCTATCCTAATGTAATATTCTAGTTCGTGTGGTGAATCCTAACCAAACCTTAGAAGGTTTGACACGAGGTGCGATATACAACACGTTGTCTTAACCTCGATGGAATTATTTAAAAAGTTTCTTCAGAATGGCAGATAAAAAAGACAAGAAAGTAAAAGTTTATAAGAAGAAGAAACGTGTACCAGAAGAGAAAATCATTAAAGATCTTCAGGCGCAATACGACAGCGTAAATTTGTTTTGACATCTTGATCAACCGAACAATAAAAATGTTACGTACTAATTGAATTTATTCTTCCTACAGATCGACGAGGCAAAGATAAAAACATTCTTTAATCTACCATTGTCCTCGAAAACGCAAAAAGGTCTGAAAGAAAATGAATTCGTGGAACCGACCGATATCCAGAAACAGAGTATTGGTTTGGCGCTACGTGGAAATGATATTCTGGGTGCTGCCAAGACAGGAAGTGGAAAAACTTTAGCATTTCTGATACCGGTGGCTACTCCTAGTTTTTTAATACATTATACTCATACTTTAAGCTTCAGAATATTTTTGTAACAAATAATGATGACTCCAGGTTTTGGAGATCCTATATGCGAAGCAATGGACAAGATTAGATGGCGTAGGAGCTCTCATAATTACTCCAACAAGGGAACTCGCATATCAAATATATGAGACATTGCGGAAAATAGGTCGCTATCATGATATATCAGCAGGTCTTATCATTGGTGGGAAAGACTTGCAATTTGAAAAGAAAAGAATGGACCAGTGCAACATAGTTATTTGTACACCAGGTCGTCTGTTGCAGCATATGGATGAAAATCCATTATTCGACTGTGTAAACATGCAGGTAAATGAAATCACTATAAATGAATGACAGTTTGCTATGCAAAACATAAGCTTTCATATTCTTCACCATAAATTTTAGGTATTAGTTTTAGATGAAGCTGATCGATGCTTGGACATGGGATTTGAGCAGACCATGAACGCCATCATTGAGAATTTACCACCCAAACGACAAACTCTTTTATTCTCTGCTACACAGACAAAGTGCGTACTGCATCAGACCTTTTAAAATTCTAGTTCTACTATGTCAATCGTATACTCAACAATGATTATTCTATTTTCATTAGATCAGTTAGAGATCTGGCTCGATTAAGTCTCAAGGATCCAATATACGTCTCTGTCCATGAACATTCAGCTCATACAACACCAGAAGGTCTTCAACAGAGTTACGTCGTATGTAATTTAGAGGATAAAATGGCAATGTTATGGTCTTTTATTCGAAATCACCTCAAACAGAAAGTCATCATATTCTTCTCTAGCTGCAAGCAGGTATTAGGAATTATATTATAGTAGCAGCATCTCATTATTTCTGACAATAAACAGTAATTATATATTCTCAGGTAAAATACACATACGAAGCCTTTTGCAGAATGCGTCCAGGTGTAAGTTTATTAGCTCTTTACGGTAGCCTTCATCAGCTCAAGCGAATGAGCATCTATGAGACATTTTGCAAAAAGCAACACGCTGTACTTTTTGCAACTGATATCGCTGCTCGTGGATTAGGTACGAAATTTTTAATGCGATCTACAATAGAATATTAATTATCTATTAAAATCTTATATAATTCGACAAGAATATCATAAAACTTTCAGACTTTCCTGCTGTCAACTGGGTAGTGCAGATGGATTGTCCTGAGGATGCTAATGCATATATTCATCGAGCAGGAAGAACAGCACGATTTCAAAGAGGAGGAGAATCCTTGCTCGTACTTTTACCTAGGGAATTGGAAATGATCGAACGTCTACAGGAACGAAAAATTCCTATTAATTTGATCAAGTGAGCCATTTAAATATTGTTTTCCATTAATATTGCTTCAATCAATTGTAGACGATAAGAAATTGTTTATTTTCTAAATCGTTTAGAATCAATCCAAACAAATTACATTCTCCTCACCGGAAACTGGAGGCTCTACTGGCTCGCGATGTTGCACTGAAAGAAACAGCGCAACGTGCATTCGTGGCTTATGTCAAATCAGTCTTCTTAATGAAAGACAAAAAGATCTTCGATGTACACTCACTAAACACAGACGATTATGCCAGGTAAGTAATTAAAATAATAAACATTTTAATTATAATAGCTATTGTAAATAATAAATGTGTGAACAGATCACTGGGGTTAGCTATCCCGCCAAGGATACGTTTCTTACAAAGAATGCAAAAGGTTACCACTAAGAATGAGGCTACAAAGGCCGATAAATTCGTGAAAATGAAACAAAATGATGACGATATTAAAGAGCAGGAGAATTCCGCTAACTCGGATGGACAAAGTGAAGAGGAACAAGAAAATTTCGATCGCAATGAAGATAAGTCTACGTTTCATTTCGGTAATAGAAGCTCCTATTATGCTGCATGTTATAGCTCTAATGAGAATTATATTAAAAAATCTACTTTTGTCTTTGTAGATGACAGTGACGATGATAATGATATTTTGACTGTGAAGAGAAAAAATATTCAAATCGAAGATGCAATTGATGACGCTAGTAGTGTACACAGTGAAGAGATGAATTTGCAATCAAAACAGAAAAAAGCTGTTACCAAGGCTGCAATTGCTAAGAAACTTTTGAAGAAGAAAATAGTCCCAAATAAAAAAATCACCTTTGACGAAGATGGCCAGGTAAACTGCAAAACAAGACAGTCTAAACTAGACGAAAAAGAAAAGAATATTAATTTTTCGTAACTTAATTTTTCTTAGGAACGCATAGATCCAACAAAATCGAAAGTATCCGAATTAGCAAGACAATACGAGAATGAAGAAGATTCTGGAATCAATATTGAAAAAGCAAAAGAAATTCTACGCGAGGAAGACCGCTTTGATAAACAACGTTTCAAAGATAAGATAAAAGAGAAGCACAGAGAACAAAAGCGTAAGCTCAAAGAAACCAAGAAGAAGGTGGAAAGCGAGGAAGAGAGTGAAGACGAAGATGCAGGTGTCATACTTGGAAACGGAAGTGGAGATGAAAGCGAAGCTGAATCAAATGAGCCAGATTTATCGTGGCTTCCGGACCCTGATAAAATTTATGGAAAGCAGGAGAATTCAAACAGCGACAAATCATCTAACGATTCTGAAGAACTCGAATCGATACACAGGTATAAATATTTATCACTGTAAAGACGACAAGAATAAACTACGATTACTTATATCAAATTCCATAACAATTTTAGTGCACCAAAACGCAAACTGGTGACGCAAGAAGAACACAAGAAATCGACAAAGAAAAAACCAAAATTGACATCCGATCTACAAAACGACGAGGAACTTGCACTGCAGCTGTTGCAGAGTTGATGGACTACAAATGTGAAAAATAATGAATATGCGTGTAGAACGTCTAAGGAATAAAAAAAAAAGAGAAAGTGAAAGACACGACTGACAAATTTCCCACAGAATTTAATTTACATGGTTTTCGAGATACAAATAAAGATCTCGGTAGATCATCCTGCACTCGTTATCTACAATCAATAATTACAATCGATAACTTACTTACACTAACGGTAATACTTACAATGCATATGTTACAAAGTGTATTGAACTGCAGTGTCATTGTCCAGCAAGTCACTGTATCCCATAGAACTGCTGTACTTGGACAGTGATTATGATTTTCGAATACACGTACTACTGTTCGTGGCACGTTTACTTGTGCGAAAAAAGTCTGAATAATGATGACCCTATTTGAAATGGCACTTACAACCTTTGGCTTCAAATACACGATCAAATAAGTAAAAGCGATCCAAAAGGTAAATGCCCTGCGAATTTAAAAATCGTGACAAAGTACAATAGTCAATTAACACGAACAAGAAACTTCGCGTTAATTAACAGGCGTATATAGTTGTGATTTTAAATAGGGCAAAGTTTCCTTCAGTCTTTAATTATAAGCGATCTTAATGTACTTCAAAATACTGTCAACCACTTCCCTACTAGTAGCTTGTCCACCAAGATCACGCGTATGGACGCCCTTATTGATCGTCTTGTTGATGGCATCCTGAAGGAGCACAGCGTGTTTCTTGTGTCCCAGATGGCGCAACATGTCAACAGCGGCATTTAACATTGCAATGGGATTTGCGATGTTCTTGCCAGCAATACCAGTACCAGTGTTACGTGTGCCTGGTTCGAATATTGTGTAATGATTGCCGTAATTCTTTCCGGAGAGCAATCCAGCACCGCCTAACAATCCGCAAATGACGTTCGACACAATGGAGCCATACAAGTTTGTCGTCAATACCACATCAAATTGGTGGGGATTAGACACCAGCTGCATGCAAGTGTTGTCAATGATCATATCATTGTGCTGAATGTCTGGATAATCCTTGGCTACTGCACGCGAAGTCTCCAAAAAGAGTCCATCGGACAGTTTCATGATGTTGGCTTTGTGAACAGTTGTCACCTTTTTCCTACCATGACGCTTAGCATATTCGAATGCGTAACGAGCCACGCGTTCAGAATTTGACCGCGTAATAACCTTCATGCTCTCTACTACTCCATCGACACTCTCGTGCTCCAACATGGCATATTCACCCTCTGTATTTTGACGTACAATCACGATATCGATATTCTTCTGACGAGATTTCACTCCAGCATAGGAAACGCAATGCAAAACGTTTACATAAAGATCCAGCTGATTACGGAGAGCAACATTCCTTGAGAGAACACCTGCCTCTGTGCTTCGGGTTTCGATATTTCCTTTTAGGGCTACGCCATTCCTACGGATGGAAGTGATTGCATAATCCAAATCATCATTATTGTCTGCATTTGGATCAATATCTATGTCTTCAAAGTCTACCGGTACTCCAGCATATCGGAAAACCTATTACAGTTCATGAAAAAGAAATCTGTTATCACAAGAAGGATATTTGACAAACAGGTTGTGTTATTATCAATAGATATAGAATCAATAGATATCAAAGTACAGATACAATTCAATGTCAATTATGTAGGAGTCTTTAGCACCATCAATTAGTTGTGGTGATACAAGCCTTAGCAAAGCTATATGTGAAGCAACTTAAATAGAGGAAGATCTTGACATTGGTACTAATTTGCTGAGATTACTCTTATTAATGTCACTGCTTATCAGGACAAACTTTTCTAGACATGTTACCTCCTTGACGTATCCCATGAGCTCAGGGCCAATGCCAGCACCGGGTAAAAGGGTGACGGTATGACGTCCACCGTAATGAGCCTTTGGTATGGGCATCACTTTCTTGATCGTGGGAGTTTTGTGTTGAATTTCAAAGGCAGACAAAGTAGAAGTGCACCGACATAACTGCGGCACGATACTTCTTGGTCGAACATATTTTAAGACAGAATGGGCAGCCATCGCGGCGTTAAGATGTACCTAAACGAAGAAAACTTTAATCAAACGTCTAAAATTTGATATTACTCAATAGACACCAATACCTTCCGAAGTCTATTTTAATAGTTACCCAGGCACTGTGCCAAATCTGAATCTTCTCAGTTATACGCCACTAACAAAACAATTTCCAAGTTGGTGCTCTCGTTTTTTGCAACATTTTTACTGGATCTCAGCGCTATCACGTTGGATTCATCCGAACTAATCTCTCGGCACTAGTCCTCACTCTACATTCATTTTAATCTGCGTTTATTATTCGAGTAAATTTGTATATTATTTTTGAGAACACATTTTTAAAGGAAAATCCTGAAAAAGAAAATCGTTCTCCAATCCGTATGCAGCTACATAGTCGATGAGCATCACCGTAATTTGGATCTATATTTATAAAGATTATTTTAACACCTCGAAATTTGATATAGTGTTTTGTAAATTATTTATTCATTTTTAATGAATCTGGATTATTATTTCCTCATTTTTAGGCGTCAAATTTATATTTCATACGCGGAAATGTACGTGATAGGTTCACGTCAACGGAAGGCTAAACGGATATCCGCCACTTTGACATGATTAGCCAATGACATACCTTGCCGCCATTTTTTTTGTTACCGGCAAATGAACGTAACCATTCCACCACCTTCGATGTAACAACGTTCAGCTCGCCTAAACGATCGTCCATTTCGTTTCGAACCACCAAGTCGCAACGAGAGTAGAGGTAGATTTGGTGAGTAAAATTAACTCAAGATAATCAGGATGCATTTATACCCACGTGTTAAATTCTAGTTTACCTGTCGCAAACAATTAGCTTTCGCATAACAAAATCCATTCATTCGTTCTCTATTTTCGATATTAATCCAATTCAAGGAGAACAAAGTAAAAATATATTGAATACTTTTTTCGATTTATAATGATGATAGTACTTTAGTCTCGTTCGTATGATTCCTGATTACAACTCTACTAATTCTGAGCACTTCAAAATTATTAACTTTAATATTTAAACGTTCTTGACCGTTACTGAAGTATTTCTTTCCTTTATTTTTAGGAGCTACTTAACCTTGATGAATTAGGTAAGAATTCGTATGTTGGAATTTAAGGATATTATGCGAAAACTCTTACATGATGTTCAAATATCGCCCCAGTCTGATTGTTGTGAATGATTCGATAAAATCTGATAATTTTTTATCACAAAAATATAATTTATATTTTTCGTACATGAGTTCACAGGAACCGGTTTATTTATTTGTTTAGAATTATAAAATGAGGCAAATCCATAAAGGAGATGGACTCGATTTTACGGCTATTACGGTGTCCTGGACATCCTTTCGGAATTCTGGGTGGGCAGACAGGATTCGTACTAGGTATGAAGGTGTGTAATATATTGGTATACATCCTTTAGGAGTGCTAAAACAAAATGGACGACTGAATATTCCATGCCACGTGTCTATAAATTCGTTGTAAAATTTTTTTACCAATACTGGTACATACATTGTATTTTTCAAATGGATTCAGATAATTTAAAAAGAGATATTAGTCTCCTGGTAATAAATGTCTAAATGTACAACATTGTAAATATTGAGCTAATGTAAGAATGTTGTCTCCATGACGCCGCGGTAACGCAGACCCTTTATTGGTGATTTGCACATTCTGAATTTCTAATTAAAAAAGATTTATCGTTCTTGTTTATTTTATTAAGTAAATTTGTTCTTATTCCATTTAATAATCTCACATTTATTTTACAGAAACAGGCTCTCGCGGTCAGCTGATTTGCTATTCTTAAGATGTTTGGATAAATGAATATGGTAAGGAATTGCAAAAACTTATGTCTAAAATTAACTTTTATTTAGTGTGATGAATTTTAAGTTATCCCTGTCATACGAAATCATGGTGAGACTGTAATATCTGATGATATTAGACAAAATGACTATGAGATTATGTAGTTTTATTAAATCTATAATTAAATTATTTGTATTCTAGATAAAACCAGAGATGAACTTTCTCATCGAATGATACCTGAAACATGAGTTCATTTTCTTCTGGTTGATATTGAGCATCTGGGTTACGGCAAGCTGAGATTTAAAGGTAATTTGTAGATACAATTTCTCATTAATATATTAATAATGATGCACATGATGTTCTTTTGACAAGCATATGACTGAATATGTTTTGATGTCATTTTTTATATCTGATAACTTTTCTTGACTGAATTATATGATACGAATATTTTGAAACTATCACTTATAGGCCATTTTTCATTTTTTTCAGACATTGATGTGATGCAATTGGAGAATTTTTACACTTACATCCAATATAAATTATGCTGGATTGTGGGCTAAGGTAAACCATTGTGTTTTTAAATAATGCAACCAAATTCGAACTAATATACGATGATGATACAATATATACGCTAATATGATCATCTGAGATGATTTGCACTTGCCCTCACTGACTTTCCTAATCATATTGAACATTGAATTTGTTGGTGAACAGTATATCATATATAGTTTTTCTGTTATAGAATTTGTTGCAAAAGTACAAGAACTCACATCTCCCAAGATTCAAAGTGATTGGAAAATTTCTACTGTAGCATCCAATATACATTGAATTGGATTGTGAACAAAGGTAAATCATTATCTTTTTATGGAATATTGTAAAGTTGAATCTGCCCAGTACACAATGATGATACAATATATACGCTAATATGATCATCCGAGATGATTTGCACTTGCCCTCACTGACTTTCCTAATCATATTGAACATCAAATTTGTTCGTGAACAGTATATATCATATGTAGTTTTTCTGTTATAGAATTTTTTTAAAAGTTTGAGAACCTACAACTCTTAAGATTCAATGCGATTGGAAAATTTCTACACTAACATCCAATATAAATTGGACTGGATTATGAACAAAGGTAAATCATTATCTTTTTATGGAATATTGTAAAATTGAAACTGTCCAGTATGTAATGATGATCCAATATATACGCTAATATGATCATTCGAGATGATTTGTACTTGCCCTCACTGATTTTTCTAATCATACTAAACTATTAAATTTCTGGGTAAACAGATTATAACATGAAGTTTGTTTGTTACAGAATGAAAGGAAGGGGTTACACAAGGACCCATAACAAGATCAACTATAAAGAGGTAAAAAGAAACAAATTTTGAAAGAATCTTTCTACGATACTAAAACTTCATCTATTGAAGGGAAGAATGAAACAGGTTACTTGTATGAATGACAAAACTCGTCTACACAAATAATCTGTTCCATTCACCCTGAATAGTCTTATTACATGCAAAAGTAAATGATGCTCTTTAATATACGCAATGATCTCACATGAAATTGAACAACTTTCTGATTAAATTTTCAAAATTCTGCATAATAATATTTTGACATACGTGCCATGCAATATTTTCTTATTATTTCAGATAATTTCAATAAATGAGTGACTGGATCGAAGAAACAACAATTGAATGAAATATTTGATATGTATATTTATATCTTCGCTTACTTAATAAATCCCAGTATTGCGGTACTAATATCTTATTTTTGTGTAATTTCTTAATCAACAGAAGTGTAGCACATAAAAGTTAATCGGATTTATTAAAGGAACCCGACTGCCTATGTACACGACACCTGTACTAGAATAAAATCATGATACATAGGTTAGACGCTACATCACCTTACAGACCAAAAACTGATTAACGTGGTCCAATAAATTACATGTACCATGTTGATCCATCTTTCTTGCAAACGTAATATCCATAAGTACTTCGTTCACACATGTTCCAAATTTCGAAGCGAAGGTAGATATAGATAACTATATTGATAGAATTTTTTATAGAAGCCCGAGCAATCCGAAAAATCTTAATTCCTATAGTGCGTGTTCGATGCATCTTACAAATTTTATTGGCAAGAAAAGATGGTCATTAAAAAAAAGCAAACGAATGATTCAATAGTGACCGAGTAGACGGGAGATTCTTCTAAAACAGGACTTGAAACTTTCTATACAAATTTCTTTATCTTTATACTTTTCAAGCAAAGATAAATTGTTCTGATTCCTCTTATTCTATCATCCTCTATGATTCTGCTTATATTATTCAATCCCGGCTTGTCACGTCTTCTCACAATGAGGGTACCCAGTAAAGTTTATTAAATAAAATAACATCTGTGCACGAAAAAGCATGTACATGAGATGGCACAAAGCCTATAAATTCTTATTTGAAATGAATTTTTAGATCATAGCATTCTTTTCAAAGCAAATAATTAAGATTAAATTATTAAAAAGAAATTTAAAAAAAATAAAGAATCTGGAAGGTACGAAGTTTCATCAAAACATTGTTCACTTCTCGCATTCTTTTGAATCATTGTACAGTAACAAATTATAGTCAATTAAACTACAGATTTCGCACCTGTCTAGATAATTGCACAAATCAAGTTCATGCTCGTCACAATAATATCGAATCTTATTATAAATCAAGTCAACAAGTATTTTAGCTAAATTCGATAAAAAATAAACAAAAAATACATGTAAAAGTGTAAAAGCGAATTTCTTTTCAACTAAGTAAGGAGAGTTCAAAAAGGATGCCTGAACATTTTCATGATATTTTATAAAAGTATTCATACTCTTATATGACTTTATCATTCGTTGCAACAAAAGTTTTAAACAGCAGCAGTCTTAAACGATCAAGCCAGCGCCATTGTAAGATAAAATATAATTGACTGTATCAGCACCGTACCGGCAGCGACACGATAAAATAATCTAATCAAGAATTGTAAACGTATTGCATCCTAAATGCCGCAAGCAACGTGGAGAGCAAAACTTCTAACCAATATAACATTAGGCCTCGAAGCAACTGTGGGTATTGAGCTGTATATTCTGTCCAAAAGTAAGATATGTTCTGAGAGGGCATCTTCTTATGCATTTCAACATAAATAAAAAGGACACCCTGGATTTCACATTTTACTCATCAGTTGACTGTAGTAGAAAAATTAATAGCTCGTAGCGAATAATTGTATGTGAGTCACGTATTGCCTCTATTTTGATGCGTAGGCGAATCACTGCTGCAAGTGATAGTAACCGTAATATAAACTGTACTAAAAAAAAGTTTCTCCTCGCGACTATTCGATTTAGGTCAAATAAACCTAGCTAAAAAAGTAAATTCTATATTGTGTATAAAAACTTTGAGAGGAATTCACAATTGATATTACAATAAGTCTCAATAGACCGTACATATTTGTCAATATTTTCGTAGTCATGGATTTTTAAGCAATTTTGTGCCGTGATCCACGATCATACATGATTGATACATGGCGCAGTGATTTTCATTCCCGACTACCAGAAATCACATTGCGCAAGGCTGATCGATCGTTTATAAATTATTTAATTTGACCTAAATTATTGACGAACTTTTGAGCAATAGCCAATTATTTATTCAAACTATTATTTAACTATAAATTACGCCTACGGTGGCAACTTTTATGTAGACAGTATGGAATATTTTATGTGTCTTGAGAATACAGTTTCCATACTTAATATTTATCACGAGACTGCCGAGTCCCTGGTGCAGCTAGGTAAAAATACCCGGCTAATTCAAAAGTTGCCGCCAGTGGAATGAGCGATCGAATGGCGCGAAATCAGACCGAATAACAAACAGATATGCACGCAAGACGAGAGAATTCGAATAACACCGGGAAAAGATTGTTCCCGGTACATGGCACTATGTTCCTTCTATAATTAAATTTTCTTTAAGGTTGTTCCTCGCGAGAACTAATCGATTTCCAGGTCGATCGACGATCGCGCGTCCTCGTATTCCTTGTGCTAGTAGAATAGAAATAGAGGCGCAATATCGCCATATCGAATGTGTCTCTTGATACATCGTGATGATTGGCTCGCAGAGTGACGATGATTCTGAAGTGCATATTATTAGGAACAAGACTTTCACTTAAATATGAGAACTCGCCATTCTCTAATTTTCTTGACTGTACTGAATCCTACCTGCAGATTTCATAAATCCTTCGCGAGGCCTCTACGGAGATTGGCTACAGTCTCTGTATCAAAACAGATTTGACTCACTTCAATCGATAACTCGTTATGGGATTAAAGTCTTTCTGGTGAGTGGCATTCACAGCCATTACATAACCCCAAAGAGCCATAGCATCCGCACATACCCGTTGTATTTTCTCGACAGTTTCAAAGTCGAAATCTGTACGCCAATGGAAGGGAGCGGCCTTGGAATTCCTATACGTGCTTGACACTCCACCGACATCGTTTTTCGTATGAGTGTCCAGGAACAGTTTCACATTCGAGTGAAAGTCCAACCCGTAGAAGGTGAAAAGATCTTGAACATATCGGTATGGATCCACGGAGAGGTCCTCGTATCTGACAACACTGCAAAATAGATGCTTACTTAGTGCAACTGTCCCTGGACGGTATCTTGAGTCCTAGTAACATTCTCTACATACATGAACCTGGTTGGATATTTTTTAAACAATTTCACAGCCATATTGTAGTCCGACACCATGTCACTACAGACTAAAGCCGGATCCGCGCAATCCGGGTTATCTGGACACCAGTCCCGGTGCTTTCGTGATTGTAAAGTTCCTCTTGGATCGCGTATTAGAAAAACCATTCTTACGCCCAGGCTGTTATAAGAACAAACAAGTCAGAATAATGTGGATTGATGGTTACTGTATTTGAATATCAATGACTAACCTCTCATCAGCTAAGAGTTCCTCGGCGACCTGTAGTCTCAATCGCACGAGCTTCATCGACTGGAACGGAAAGAGCCGACACATTCCTGATGCGAATCTTGGATCCCAACATATTTTCTTATGCAACTGACACTGTCGCCACAAATGTGTATTGTGATTGAAGAGCCAAGAGTGCGTTTTTCCATAGTCCAAATAATGGTCTGAAACAAACAACTGAATTCATCTTGTGCCAAGTGTGCAATCATCCAACCGGATGACTTACCCATGTCGCTGAAGTCACAATGGAACATAGCCTTTATGTTCCTTAGCGCATACTCTGCAAGTGGTTTATTTCTAACCTGTACAATGCCAAAATCCAGCAATGGTTCATAATGATAGAAATTGGCGGGATGGGCATTCAAGACGTCCCCAAAGAAGGTGCTGCCGCTTCGCCACGTTGTCAGGATGACACTCCTCATCGGCCTTCCACCCTTTTCCATCACAAAATCCTCCAATTTACTGCAAAAACCATCCCACTGTTCGCATCTGTTCTGTACTCGTGCAACGATACATGAAAAACGTTCTTTGTTCGTGCTATTAAAACTATTCATTTCTTTCTCAACTTATCAATAATGCTACGGAAATTACCTCGCGTTGATACCATACAATCCGTTTGGATAATTGTAATCGACCATCTCTCTCTCGATTGCCTTTCTCTGTTGATCTATGACCCTGTGAATTTCCATTATGGTGGAGTTGTTATTGTTGGTCGTTATTCCCCTCACGTAACTCTGCAAAAAACAAGGAATATAATATAATCAAATGTATTTCTACTTCTTTTTTTATCTTACATTAAATTAGACACCTTGAAAGTATATTTCATCGTTCCTTAACCTCAGAGTGCCCTTATTTACACGGTCCCTGGGACCGACGAACACGTTATTATCCGATTATTCATTTTCACGCGGGTACTCTAGGGTTGACAATGTATACTCTCCATTTGAAACATGACGATTTCACGATGGAACTCTTTAAAGCAAACAGTAGGAACATTCTTGAGATACAAGTGAAGCCGTAATGGATATGTAAACTTTTTCATGCTGCTGACGTTGCCAATAGCTTTGGAATGTATTGGATTCTATACAATTTACAATTGGACACGCTCATGAGAAACTCAGGGTCATATCTTATCAAACATTAAAAGATTTTATATTGTACCAATAAAAGGCATATTGAGATTATACACAGTTTCTACCTGGAACTGAAATATCGTTCTATATAACTGTTTGACTTTAGCTCTATGTTCGAAGAGTAATTTTATCGGAGTTAAGGACATTCTACCTACAGACTAATCAATTGAGATACTGAAAGAATTTATTAAATAAAATAAGGATAATTAACATTATTAGATATTCTGTAAAATTGCATTGCGGATTTTTACGTGTTTCTAAGTGATTTAAAAGAATAATTTCTTTAAATTTTATCACTTCGAAAAATTTTATTCAGATTGATTTGATTCAACTCAACGCGTCTAGTAAAAAGTGTATATTCCATTGATTATCATACAAAGATGTTATTTTAAAACATAAGTCGAACATATAAGTAAAAAAAGAAGAAATATGTCTCAACAACATGATTTGATGAAAATGCACGAAGCAGCAAAAGGTCAATTATGGGCAAGTCCAGATCAGCAAGGCAAAAAGAAAAACGAAAAACCGTAATAAGCATTAAATTCAAATTTTTTGTTAACTTATTTATTTTTGAAATGTTCAATAATAATATATTTAAAGTTGAAAACGCTATAAAGAAATTATAAAAAGATTAAAACGTCCGTAGACAATAACGGTACCCGACCAAGAGAGATTTTAATAAACTATTAATTCTTCGTCGGATTTTAGAACGAATTCAGAAGACATAAAAGAGAGAACTATTAGAGTCGACTATTAATATAATATCAAGAATAATGACATGTTACTGACGCTTGCAGTACACCAGACTTGATTTATACAGTCTTTCCAGCCAAATCGTCAGTTTGATATTCAGACTAGGATGTAACAGACAAGCTTGAAAAGCAGTGGCACAAGCATTTGAAAATAAGTATAATTTGGATTAAAATAATAGACGAAGAAACTGAGAACTTATTACAATTTGAATATAATGTACCCAAGGAATTCGTGTACTTACTGTGACTGGATCTGGAACTTCAATGGTCCGTGGCCTTATCTCCATATCCTACATGGAAGTAAATCATCGATATTGAACCCGCTTGTTAAAATAACGAGTCTTTTTTTCATTTCGACGTATTTCCTTAAAGATTATTACAAAAAGAGGCGTGCATGAGTGTTGCGTGAGATAATATTTTGAATAGTGTTAGTTAATTCCCTTACAATCCTAGATATTATCTATACTCAAATATATAAATACAATGCTATGTATGAGTTGTGTTTTATATAATTTATATAAGGAAGTCGCACCTCAAATTTCCTGCTGACAGTGTACACTGGCTGTAATTTCTGCTCAAGGTAGCCGCTGTAGCGTTGATTAAACAGGAGAAAAAAAAGGCAAAGTGATGCAAGGGCCACCAACCCGTAGAAGCTCAGCTTCTTCGACATCTTTGTGCCTGTAGTAAAGTTCTTTTCCGTTAATAATGCGTAACCGAATAATCACATGTTATAAAAATTATATATATATTGCGGATTTGGATTATATATATATATATACGGGCAACTGATACACAACACTAATGGTACATTGTTCATTGATATATATAGTATCAACGAACGATATCTATATATATATATGTATAGTCGCGTCACGAGTTCAATGTCTTTTTTGACAGTTCGCCAAGAATGCATTAGCAAATTGCATGAAATATATGCCAAAAGAGAAGAATGAAATGTACTTTAGTACACAACCATTTATATGTATATTTTGTAACAAAAATTTGATGCAGATTCACACTTAGCTTGCTAGAGACTTCATTGCTTTTGATCTGTCAAACAACATATTGAAGTCATAGACCTACTACATTAAAATATAGATATACAGAGAGTAGATTTATCATTAGTAACATTAGCAATTAAACTTTGATAGTCAGACATTCAGACAAATAAATCATTTTGATTCACCAATACCTAAGGCTTAACATGTCTTTGCACATCTACAAAAAAATAAATAAATCAGTGGTAGTTTACTAAAGAATATTAATACACAGAGCTTGCTCACAGTTATTAGGATAAAAATGTTGAGATAAACAGTTTATTGAAGAGATCTTTTACCAGTGTCGTTTAATGAAATAATTTCATATATCTGGGATCTTGCGTAATAAATCACTTAATCAAATAATTTTAAGGTTGAATTACCACGAATATGTTTTAATGAAAATTCTTTCTTTCTTTAATATCAAAGTTTACTGTGGTGTTAAAAAATAAAGAGGCTGAAATTTATCACCTATGTAAAATCTCAAGCTATTCCACTTCGTATTCCTGATGAAACTAATGACTAGTCTCATCAATTTATTGATACAGATATCATGGATGTGGTGTATTAAAAAAAAGCAAGAATATCTATTACAATATTATATGGTGAAAAAGATTCTTATTCGTATAAGCATACAATCAGATATTTGACTATACCTTCGTTTTGCAAAACAAATTCTTTATAGTGCGAGAATGTTTCAGGATGCTTCCAATTGACATAAATATTTACACACAGTCTTCTTTGTTCCATTGTCAAGCCAAAAGTATATCTTATCTGCATAATTGCATCAACAAAAAAGTGAACACCCATGCAGCATTGTAATCCAATAGGAGATTTATTCAGAATAATAGATAAGAACCACTCAAGGATTGACAAATGACTTAAGCAAAACAGAATCAGCTGTAAAATTCATTAATGCTATTTACCAATTACTTAACAAAGTTAGATATACAGCTTTTATGCTAGAACAAATGTTTGCTCTCTATAGAAAAGACACGAGCCAGATATGAATATATTTACTGTTAACAAATAAACTAAGCCATTATCACAAAAGTATCAAGATAGCCAAGATAAACAAGAAAGAATGCAACTATTATCAACTACGTTACTATACAAAACTCTTCACCAAACACATAAGTGAAACAAGCAAATAAATTCAAACACTCCTGGCAATGGACAACTGTGGTAGCGAATGAACTAATACCAGATATATATATAAATGATAGAAAAAAAGATCACGAGGAAGTAATTAAATGGGAAAAACGAAACATAAGGAGTATAAAAATGCAAGAGTCCTGAGCTGTGCCACGAATAGACAATCTCGTGAGGTGGCAATGCAAGTCTCGAAGTAAAGCCGCATTCGAACGGTTGGTGTCAAAGCAAGAGAAATGTCACAATTCCTACTCACCTCAGGAATGTAGGAATCGTTGCATTTGGCAAAAATCCGTGACGATTGCTCTAAGAACGGAATCTCAGTTTTCTATAAGCGACAAGCGATCGTGCGTCTCTAGCGACATGTCGTTGGTCGTGCTGAACGGTGCCGTTCGGCAGACGACATCCGCAAAACGTGTCCTACTGACGTGTGGTCATACTAGTTACTCCAGCACACTCCAGCAATACTGTTTCCATAGTCGCAAGAGGGCCGTCGTGATTTTTATGCGAGAAGTGTGACGCACGAGGCGTGGAAAATGACAGAGGCCGAAGGATGCCCGCAGTAGGTAGCACCAGTAATATTATCCAATATTAACGGCGGGAATAGCAACAGCAGCAACGACATTCGTTGTGCTGGACAGGATAGAATTGTTTGGTGTTGGCTGTGACGACGAGCTGCGTCAGTGGCTGCGCCAAACACGAGCCAACGATCGAACACGTATGCACTCCTTCTCATGTGCAGTATTTCAAATCTGTCTGCATACCCCACTGACTGCCACTGGAACACACTGGCCCTTGGCTTCGTGCTCGGCTTGCTCTGGCCTTGCGCAGCGCGACTGACTGTGTTCCACTGGCCAATGAAATATCTCTCCGCAACTCCCTTTTGGTCCAAAATGTATTGTGGCTGAACGTGCCTTCATGTCCCCTCTTGGCAACATCCTGTCTCTGAGTCAGGTTATTGCGCACACTTGGGGCCGATGCTCCCTGATGAACGGTACTGTTAGACAAGGCTGATAGGAATCCTCTTGAGATCACTCCTCAGATATATGCGAGAATAAGTTATTGACCACGATACGATTTACATGGAAATCATATACCGATGAAGGACACTCGTACGTAGTACGCCTCCATTCTGGAAGCTTTAAACTTTCTGGTGGACAACCGGTAAAGTAGAATCCTCTCTGATCTGCAGGACCAGGGTTGATCACTCTTGCAAGATGAATTCTGCAGGAATAATCTCTATGTGTAGTCTCTAGGATACTGTATACTTCACGACGCAAGCATTTGGTCTACATCAGTTGCATAAAGTACATTCAGTACTGAATATACGACCCATCTGACAAAATTTACGAACATATCTCATTGTACTCCTGAAATGCGTCCTTTATCATTACCAATTAATTAGCTTTGCATGACGTCATTTCCTCATCTCCCGCAAAGAAACTCCTAGTGATAGACCAACCAGGAACAGCGTTCACTAGAATCCAAAGCCAATGAACGGATAGAAAAGGAAGAAGGCTATGTTGTAAGAGGGTAAGGGTAAAAAGAGATAGACTCTCCTCCCAGAGGATCCGTAAGAGAGATGGAAGGCTCCTGCTGCTGCTTGCTGCTGCCGACAGTGGTGGTGTCGCTGATGGTAGTTCTGGTCGGACTCTAGTTCTGATAGAGGTAGTGGGAGTACTCAAGGGTCGACCAGAGAGGAGGGAAGGAGCGACAGGCGCACTAGTACAGAACCAAACGCCGTACAATTACTATCCAACGGACTAATACGTCGGCAGATGGTATTGCGCGCGCGCGCGCAGAAATGTACACCGGTTCCTTACTCGTCCCTAGCCTCCTATACACAAGGCAGCACGAACATTCTTTCTCAGAGTAACTTTTAACTGTCCCCTGCTGCTCGCAGTGAAACTTGCTCGTAGCGTCTCGACGTCCTGACCTGTTCCGACCAGGACGTTACTGAATTACGTGAAGCTGTCGTACGTCTCGTCGTCAAGGTGTCCGAACCTTCAGCAACACAAGTTCCGCGAGTCCTCGGCACGACTGGATCATCCGTCATTACTAATAGCTAAGAAACGCGCTTTTATGCCTACAAAACGATATCCGCGACGTGTTGGTGAACGGAGGACAGTACGATCTCTGCCGAAAGTGTACAAGTGTTAGCCTATGATGGTTGCCAAACGCGTTTTTCGTAACTCAATGTGATGGGAACGCGGCAGAAGCGACTACGACTCCTGCAATCAAGGATTCAACTTTCTACCGGGTACGACGACGACGACGGGAATTAACTCTCTTGGATCCTCATTGATCAACTAGGAATACACTTGGCTCTCCAATCTGGTAAATATTTCTACCACGTCTGTCATCAGCCCTTGACACACAAGAATCGACACGATACTAGTGATGAAATTAAAACTAAATTTTAAAAAAACTGGCTACAACTGCACGTATTATCCTCACTTACTGACCAATTAACTGAATTATTGTTGCATGCATGTATGTATATACACAACTCGAATGTATCCGGATTAACTGTTTCCAGTGGTGCCTTAACAAATGTTGCAAATGTGCCACTGCGCTCGATAGCGTGAAAGTGAATGTTCAAATCATTGTGATACACCGAAACTGAAACTTTACTTTTTTTTATGTAGCCCGCTGACTCAGTAGAATAATATCATGAAGATCGTGTGAGGCATAATTAGGCTGATAATGGTGGTTCTGATTCTTTGTCACATTGTATAGTTGCAGTGCTTGTCCTTGCCTCATTAAAAATACACATCTATGCTGCGTGACCCTCATACTACTTTAACAATTAGTGTCGCTTTTATGGTTAGTTACTTTTTAATTTAGCAGTGCATTGTTGAAAAGACCGTATGTCACTCTACGTAAATCTGTCCCGTATTCAAATTATCGGGAGATGACGCTAGCTACTGGATGCATATTTGTAGGACGATGCTTCCTGTGACTTTCTGAACATTAGCATAATATACATACATCTTCCTTTATATATTACTCCTCTAATTAGCATCGCGCTATTGTTCTTTCTGAACGAATTAACGCGAATCGCTCTACTGTGTCTTTCGTAGATACATACATATCTATGGACTGATGCGAGAACTCTCTATAATAAATTGCTCTCGTTCTGTGCTTTTCACCTTTCTTCCGTACTTTCTTTCGCCTGCGTCATTTAATCCTTGACTAAACAGGTACCGATTCTAGAAACACACGTGTTTTATAAGGTAAGGTCTGTTAGACCTCCATCTGTGAAATTAAATTGTGAGGCCATTACAACGAATAGAATAGCTCAAAAGTTGAGTCTACGTCCCTCTTCTCTCAGTTTAAACGAATTCAATGACTAGGTATCAAGTGATAATTATCTAAAATGTTTTTTTTAGGTAATGGGAAATTTACGCAGTAGAAATTCGAGAGGAGAGCTAAATGTAAAATTAATGAGATCTGTGAGATCTCATATGTGTAGATAACTGCAAAAATAACCTACATACGTAAATTAGATTCTCAAGCCAAATAAATTTTTAACGTTGGTTAGAAAAAGGTTATCATTCTGGGGTTACGAATTAATGACGACGACCATACCGTGCATTCTGCTTCTTTTTTATCAATGATAAATATTGTTATCTACTATACAACGGTGTCTCTATACGCGTTAACGTAATCAGTGCGATATCGATAATCATGTATCATGTAATCTATAATGGTACGACTGGTTGTTACATTTTGTACCTATGAAAAATAAGTGTTACATTGTCAATCCCATTCGAAATTCCTAACAATGTTCATAAGTGTCAGTATCATCAGTTGGATGCGTCAGTGTGTAAAACGTGCTGGGTATAACGAATGACCTTGGGAATGAAGAGTGAGGTACGAAGCCAGGAACGAGGAGAAGGTGAAAGCTTTCACATCTCCCAGTTAAATCAAACTCAAATAAGACCATCTTACTAGGCTACCAGAATACTTAGCGACCAGTCAGGGCCGTTTAATCAACATAATTAGAATCAATAAAAGGCAATCGTAGGAATTCGGCGTTTCCTTGATTTTAAAATTATTTATCCAGCTTCCTCTTTACAAATATTTTCAAGGATCATCTTTTGGAGATGCGTATGCGTCATTTTCCAAGAATTTCCAACATCGATTAATAAGCCAATCACGATCATCGTGCTGATCGTGTCAAGGATACTTCGAAGGTCCTCTTGTCAACCTCCTTCTTAGAGTTGATGCTGGTATTTTCTACTTAGTAGTCAACGTCCTCGCCGGCAAAGAAATCGTGTAAACGAAGATCTGGGAAATCGCAGTGACCCGCTTATATTTAAATCTGTATTAATATAACGGTTCTAGTCGGAATTCTAGAAGGTGACGCCACGACGTTCCCAATGTGCTTAAAAGACATTGGAGGAAGGAAAAAGATTTCGCCTGGCAGCGACTCTACAATTTTTTCAATAACAGCGTTTGATGTCGACTGTTAGACAGCAGTCAGTCCCTTCAGTCTTCTATTCCCGCGTCCCGCACTACTAGGAAAAATTTCATTAGATTATTTCCACGTCAAAACCTCTAAACAAGTGAGTCATCCTCGTCGCCACCAGTCACCTTGGGTAACAAAGAGGACCAAATAGTCTGCCATCTAACAAAATTACTTTCGACACACCATAAAGAAGTAAGCAAAACGAAGTCTTCCTCGATGCTAAAGAAATTAACCGGAGCATCCTTGGGCTCTTCGGAGATTTAATCTTGGTCGAAAAAAAGGTTCTAAAAAAAGAACACTCTCATGCCAAGGTAGATTAAAAATATCGAGATAAAGCCACGAGAGTTCAGAGAGCTTAGAACTCGCATACTTATACCTTCGCACTGATAATCCAGCTTTGTGAAAAGATACCTGAATGTGTTGTGGCGGAGACGCAGCAGGGCGACATCTGACACTTAGAGAAGGTGGTAAGCAGTGAAGTTAGTCGATGGCCGCGCGTACCCTAGGATACGGGAAGTTTATACGCGTAGCTACATGGATGCCGGATACTTACGTATCAGCGTAACATGTAAACGCACATACGCCGGAGAGTCTCGTTAACCGTGGCAGGCGCGTTCGGGAACCGTGAACTTGCCTATTAGAATTCGTAAGGCTTGATTTCCGTAAGGGAAGCGGTGGACTCTCAAGGTTGCCACGACAGTTGCCACTAACCGGTTTTAAACGTCACTCCTGCACAGCGTCGTGTAGGTACATATATACCGTACACTAGGTAGAAGCGTGTATACCTGCTTCATTGCTACAGTATTATATTCATAATGGCTCTTGGGATTTCTGAGTCTCTACGTATGGACGAAACGAACCTACGTAATACATCGCGCTATAAACTTCGGCTGGTTGACGTTTCTACGTACGTACATATATAGTTTACCTCGAATCGAAACAAATACGTAAGTAATAATCGTGCTACGTGGTTAAATTCTTAGCTCGATAAGATATCACAAGCTACATTGAAAGCAGGAGAGTGAGAAACATTCGAAATGTGTGGCAGATAGATTTGATTTTTCAGTACTTCCCAGCATGCCCCGGGCTGCATATCGGTTTGCGTTCAAATTCTTTTACTCGACGGTTTAACTTCCTCTCGGTCGATTGATCGCTGGCCTCTTTTTACTATACGAACTCGTTGGTCGGGGAGACGTTTAATGAATTTTTTTTCTTTCTTTTTTTTGTAATTCTTCGTCGTAGGAATCCTCTGGAGTAACGACCTGGTCGTGTTAACTATTCGGTATGTAAAAATACTACTGGCATAATGAGCTGCTGCTTCCTGTTGAATTGAAGGATCGCTGCATCGCCAAATGCTGATTTATTCGAGCGTATCACTTCGTGACGCTCCTCTGCGTTGCTGATAACCTACTTTATTGCTTCTTTACCTTTGCGAGATAACGACTAATTCAATTCTTCGTTCAATTCTCTCGGCAGTCACGATTAGTTTATTCATAATCGTGAGTCCGAGTCTTGACAATAGACGTTTATGTGGTGTTCAGTTTTTGTGGATTCTTTTACGTTCTTTTTTTCTTTATTCCTTTACAATTTTTTTCTTTCTCGTTCTGCATAAATTTTGACGCCTGAATTTTAGTGTACGACGAGTCTGGTACCGTTTCTTGGGTGATTCCGTTATATTCGTGAGTACGCACGTTATTGGGAATTCCTTGGGAATTTTGTTCTATAGTTTTTCACTACCTGAACAGCAGTTGCCTTCGAGTTTCTTGTACGAATTCTTTTATAGATTTGTTCATAATTTTTTGGAAATCGTTGCGGGCACTTTTTCCGAGTGACGTACTTTTTTTATTTGTCACTTTTTTTATATTTTGATAATACGACGATCGATTAAATAAACAATTTCCCTTTTTTCCCCTTCGAATTTTCAAGTCACGATAATAAAAAAACCGTTAAACTTAGCATCGTCGCTCGTTCCTTTTATTCGCGTTAGCGAAAACAGACTTTACGTTTTATAAAATAATTCCATAAAATATTTCCTCTCAAATCTCTACGAACTTAATCTCACTCCTTATCAACTGAAAATGAATTACGCAGAAGACTTTAATTACCTACTGATAAGAATTCACAAATTGCCTTTTTCTCCTATCAGGAATGTCACTTTAAGTTTCCCTTTTCACTGTACTCAATATCCCGATAACGATTTGCAATCGGGTTCAAGATCGCGATAGAAAATACCGATTCGCCTACTCGTATCTGTGTTATCACTTTTGTACCACCCACATCCGTTTCCGCCGACGCGAGACCCTATAAGGACAAAACTATCATAACAGCACAATTTTTTAAATTCATCGTATCTTCCATTTAAGTTCCTGCGTTGATTTTCCCCCATTGACAACGGTCAAGTTAGGCTAAATCCACCGGTAAACGAAGACCCTTACACATTGTACGCGGGATACGTAACTACTACGTTTTAGTCCGCACGCAAGATTAGTCCACATAAAATGCGTTGAGAAAGGCGTCCATTGAATGTGGTCACTACATATAGATATAATTAACACGAACGCGTCACTACAGTGGGATCTGTCCATTGACTAGTCACCCCCTGTGACTATCTCTGCAAAAAAAAGTTAGGTTAATCCCAGGAGTAATAAAAAATATCGAATTATAAAAATCGATTGTCTGGTAATCAAGTTAGATTACTGATATAAATATTTTTTAAATACCGATATGCAATTGTTAATCTTTAAGAACATTCACCACTCGTAATTGCGGTATTCGCATTGAAACCTGTATTTGTTATTACTATCTTAATGACTGCCTTACCAATAGTCTCTTAGAATTGTTCACTGACGTTTCTTTCATTGCTACCAACGCTACTCTTCTCCCTCTCTTCCTCTCGCGCCCCATCGACTCGTCTCTCTCTGTCCCACCGTCTCGGCGAATGCTCCTTTTCGTCATTCACCAGGAGTCACTTCGATTTATGGTTTTACATTATCATAACAGGTCTTCGCTGCTTACTAATAGAAAAACTTTTGTTTCTAAAAAAAATTTAATAACGCTAACCGAAGGTATTGAGAATCCAGTAGACAATCGTAGACACTTGCGAATTGCACCAGATATAATAACCAGTCCGTGTATTCAAGGAGATCGTATGCTCAGGAGAGACCCAGCAGAGGTATCACGTGGCGTAGTCTGTTCTGGTTTGAAAGTCAACAAGGCTACATCCATGCGACCTCCATGCGACCATAACCTCCTGCTAAAATCCTAATGGAGTTTTACAAACTGTCAATACGCTGAAGAGTGAACTAATATAATTTATCAGTTGAATTATTAGTCATTGATATCTGTCCGAGTCGATTGATCTACAGCCTCGAGATTGTTCAGTCAGAATTGGTCAGTCTGGTCACAGTGTGAACGGATATGATTCGTGTTAAATACCTGTCAATTGGAGTGATAAGGAACGTGTATATATATATATATATATATATATATATATATATATATATATATACCTCTAGAAATCTCTGTTACATTTAATAGGAGTACGCACGTTAACCGGTTTTATTATGGTTCGTGAACGGTATGTACAACGTACGAGAAACGTCGAGACGCCTCTATAATGACCTCTAGAAATCTCTGTTACATTTAATAGGAGTACGCACGTTAACCGGTTTTATTATGGTTCGTGAACGGTATGTACAACGTACGAGAAACGTCGAGACGCCTCTATAATGAGATTGTTGAATGACTGTTTCAGAGGAGCCTGGTCCGAGGAGAGAACTTGACGAGGATCTAGTCGAGAGGATGAAGAAGCCAGTTTGCACGTGATCGAGAGGAGCTTTCCCTTGGCGGTGGCGACTATCGGCGAAGACCTGAAGATCAGAGCGACGCAGGGTGTCGGCATCAGTAAGATAAAGCACGTGATGAAGTCTCTTGAAGAAGTTAGGAGTCGACTGACAGTTTCATTTTAAGTGAGAAAAAGGTAAGGTTGGAGGTTACTGTTTGTCGAGTTAATAAATGTCTTTCGTGACAATGTACTGGGTTATGGTTCCTCTTTTTTATTTTTCTTTACAGAAGATCAAAGAAGTACGAGGTGAAGGAACGTCGCCGTCGCCGTCGCCATCGCCATAGTCATTGTTATTGTCGTGGTGTCCTCGAGGCCTGGAATATCGATAAAAGCAAGTAAAAGTAGTAGCTGAGGTTTCCTTAGAGCCGAATAGAGAGACTCGTGAGCTGTGAGATATCTACGGGTTAAGTTAGTAAGAAGAAAGTCGAATACACGATGAGAAAATCCAGCAAGTCAAGAGACTAGCGGCTTGTTAATTCTTCTATTTATTTCTTTTACTTTCTATTGCTTCATTCTTGAACGCTAGTCCGTTAGCTTTACGTATCTATTAATCTGTTTGCTTCTTGTCTATTATTAACTTTTACTTGGTTACCTTCAACTGCCAATAGACCAAGGAACTCCTGCTGTAGAGTCATCAGGATGAACATGATTGGGATTGCTAGACGCAACTGGGCTCTGAGGCTCTCAGTGGTCCTCAATGTCTGCGTCCTGCTCTACGTCTGTGCGCACTTTGGCTCCTCCGGACCCTGGATCGAGGAACCACCGACGAATTGGGGCACGCCATTGTCAGAGGCTTTTGGGGCGCCCGAAAATTTTAATGGTACACAGAGACAGTCATCTTCGTCCTCGTCATCTTCTGGGTACTCGGCCTCGCCGCTATTCTCCAATCTAAAGCTGGTCAAACAGTCCGTTAAGGAGAGCCTGGAGAACAAACCTGCTACTGTGCTCAATTCCACTTCCATAAACTCCGCTACCAGAATCGAGGAAGGTCCATTTTCTACGCAGAAAGTGCAGGATCATTCTCAGGTAATAAAAATAATTGTTAAACTGTAAAACGGTCGTCAATATCTTTTTCTTTGTACGTAAATCCTAGAGGACTGGTTTTACTTACAGACAAGAAGTAATGGTACAGATGGTGCTAGCTCGCCAGCCATGACTCTAAAGGATGCAATACCTTGTAACGATAAATCGAGCGAACCCAAGACCGCTCAACGTGGCGACTACTGGGTCCTTTATAACTACGTACCGATGAGCATGTCCGTGCGTTGCTGGGAGACCGTGACCTATACGACTCAGGCGGATTACACCTTCCTGGATAACGTCGAACCACTGCTAGAAAGATGGCGAGCACCTATCTCGATAGCAATGCACGCACCAGGTTCTGACTTTCCGTCCACCATAGAGGCTATTAAGTATCTTCGAAGTTGCGGCAGTCCCCTGATCTCGCAACTAGTCACATTTCACATCTACTTCAGTAGCAAACACGTACCCAAGGCGGTGAGAATTGGATCTTACTACTATATCAGACTGCTGATACTGTTCTTCATAATTATTCACCGATAAGATGTTTCTAAGATTATGAAATTCATTCAGGTGCCATCTACGGAAAAAATTATTTCTGATACATACAATTGCTCTCTTGGTCCGCCCTGGGTTAATGTCAGCGTCGCCAAGATGTATAAGACCGAGAAGAAGCTCTTGTACCCAGTGAACGTGGGACGCAACATCGCCAGAGAATCTGCGCCGACTTACTATGTGTTTGCGAGTGACATTGAACTTTATCCTAGTCCTAACCTGGCCCCCAAATTCTTGGAGATGATTAGAAAGAGAGATCAGCTGACCCTGTACAAATCTAATCCCAAGGTCTTTGTTCTCTCTATATTTGAAGTGGATGAGAAAAGTCAGCCACCAGTCAATAAGACGCAGTTGGTAAGCTATCTTAGAAATAACTAATCAGTTCTGTGATATAGAGATCGCAGGAAGTATGTAGAGTACGATGGGGATAAATGTAAAGGCTTTTAGATTTATTTGCTCCTTTTCTTTTATCTTCTACAGATACAAATGCTCAAAGCAGGAACGGCCATTCCATTTCATAAAAAACTCTGCTCAGGATGTCATAACGTGCCACGTAGTAAAGAATGGCAGGAAGCTGTGGAAACGGAAGGTCTACACGTCTTCCATGTTGGCAAGAGAACCGGTAGCTTCGTGCACTGGGAGCCCATCTTCATAGGCACGAATAACGATCCCTTGTACGACGAGAGATTGAGTTGGGAAGGGAAAAGTGATAAAATGACTCAGGTAAGGATGTCAGAAAAATAACATACTTTCTTTAAAGATAAAAGAAAACTATACCAACTAATATTTCAGGGTTACGCACTCTGTGTACTCGATTACGACTTCCTTATACTGGACAATGCCTTTCTGGTACATCGCCCAGGCATAAAGATATTCAAGAAAGACTCCTACCGCGACATGCTCACGAGCAAGACGAATGCCCTCATAAAGAAGATTATCTTTCCGGAGTTAAAAGTCCTCTACGGGACCAGGAAGGGTTGTGCTGTGTAGCCAAGCGCGTCCCGGCTCACGGGTAATTATGTTCATCGGCTATCCCGGTGCCCGGTGTCATCATTTCACCAAACCCAAGTCGCCAGTGCTTCACGTTTCGTACCCCCGCAACATTCATGGTATTCCACAATATCAATCTCTCGGGGTCGTACGTTATCCCGAGGGAGATCGAATAACGTCAATGGGGACGATACACGCGATGGGACTTCAGCGCGATCAAGGCCATCTGGTGGCTAAAACTTGGGACTACCGTTATACGCTTTAATATTCAAAGATAAGGGCGTATCGTGAAAATAAGGGAAAGAGCGAACTCCTCGTGCCACAGTTCCTAAGTTTTCTACAATGCCTTTAACGCGTCTTGACTTAACCAGGATTACTTCCAAGTTGATATCCTCGTGGAGGATGCGCTCGACTCATGGATTAAATCCTTCATCCTCTTACGACGAGGGCATAGCCGACTTTTCATCTCTTGAAACCTTTGTCAATTTTATTCATTTCTTCTCGTCACCTGCCCGTGACCAATTACATTTTTATTTAATCATTTTAATCAGCTTCGGGTGATCGGTAGACGTCCGCTCGTGTCAGACGCGCTGCGATTTCTTTATCAGTTAACACTAAATCGATCTTCCACCTACGTCAATTAAATTATCAATTGCAGCATGAAAAACTGCGCATGCGTGGAATGTCATTTCGTTTCCTTACATGCAGTGGCTTTTCTCATTTTTGTTCAGAATTTCGGGTGTCGGGTTAAATTAGGTATTTGGTATAGTAGGAGGTGGTATCGATTTTTTAAAAAGACCTTGCAGCGTCTCTACCGTGTCCGTGACTCGGTGCCATATATTGGTATACGTGAGAATTTAGTTAAAACAAAAGACAACAAAAAATACTTATTTTTACGCTTACACGTTCTTATAATCTCGCATATTCCCATTATTGTTATCGTCACGCGTTCCCCCTCTAGTTTGTAAATAATTTGTTAACTTTGTCAGATTGGGACAGAAGCTGGATTTTCGTGGTCCCGTTTATATTTTCGATGAAAAAGTGACAAAAGTGAACTTAGAAAATAAAAAAAAAAACTGCACAAAATCTCGTACAAGCCGCCGAAGAGATAATTGCCGTTTCTATTAAAGCGACAATTTTTCTCGTTCTAGAACATTCGCGCGTTTTCAACGACCAAAGAGACGACTAAGTAGAATAAATATGGTAAACCAATGGAATGCAATGCTGAAGTATGAAAACTAGATAACAAAAGAAAAACATACAGGTATCTATCGCGTGTCGATCGATGTAACGCCGAGTGGCAAAAAAGAAAACAGTCGCGCCGATTAGGCCGTTTCGCGGAATCCGCACAACTTCCGATCAGTTGACGTGAGAGAATTTTAAAAAACGAGAAAAAATGTGTTAAACGCTGTAAATACATAATGTGCTATATGTGTCCGTATTACACCAATTAAACTAATTGCGAAATACGCGTGCGGCATTACGAGTGCTCGACATACTTAAAAAGGAACATAGTTTCCCGAATAACCATTAGAGCTCGTTTACTGCGTTACGTTATTCGTGATAATATAAAACAGAGACAGAGTGGTAAGGGGAGTGAATGCAAGAGAGAGAGAGAGAGAGAAAGAGAGAGAGAGAGAGAGAGAGAGAGAATTGTCTAATATATCCGGGTTTTAGTCTAAGAAGAGCGTTTAAGGACAGAAAAAATAAGCTAAGAGATTATTGAAAAACGCAAAACACGTGCGCATCGACAAGCTGCGTCCCGACGCGAATCTAATGTTACATATAATATATAATACACACATGCACATATACATATATTTTTGGTATCACCGCAGCCCCCCAAACCAACACCCGCGGCCCTCCACCCCCAAACAATCTTAGGAGACTCGGAGGAACGTCTCGTTGTAATGTCATCCTTCAAAGGAATTTATAAAGTACGACTTTTTTGCTATAAGTATTAAAAAAAAAAAGAAAAAGAAAAAGAGTAAAAGTATCGTCAAAGAATGCACAAATTGAGTCTGCGAACGGAAGTGGTATGGTTGCGGGCGCATCTGTCGTATTTAAATTTAACGAAATCAGAAAATCGCGAATCCTGTCAATATCAGGATTTGGAACTCTCTGCATCCCGTTAGACTTTCTCAACGTACTCGAAGAATTCCTTCCAGAAGAATCCCTTAATGCCTTTTGATTTATCGGGATTGTGCAGTCGCGCGTGATGGAAACTATTCGTACACAAAAAAAATATATATATATTCTGTGCCTTATTGCATTCTATCTCTGTGTAAAGTCAATTGGACCAAACCGGAGGAAAACCAGTAAGAATTTCGCATGTTTGAGAAACTGTGCTCATTAGAATGGACACACGTTTTGACTGACCTTTCGAAATCTTACAATTTTCACCTTTGACCCTGCTTCTGTCCTTCAATCCTTGTACGTGTTCCCAAGGACCGATCCTTATTATTTGCTCTTCCCACTTGTACACCATCTCTCCTGCTCTTTCCTATTTCCTTTATCCTGTTTCCTTGTAAGATTTGCAGTATATTAGCATAGGTTTAGCTCGTAAGAAAAACATAAGAAGAAATAAATGAACAAAACAATACGCACCCACGGGTGGGTAATATTAGCGCATGTTGCTCATTGATTGATGTATTATTATTCCTATTGTTGTTTGTGCATCATCGATTATTATTATTATTAACAATGTGACTGTGGGAGAGTTAAAAGTGTGTCTGCCGTGAACAAATGAATGAACGATTGTGTGAATATTTACAAATAGGAACGACTTTGCGGAGTACTAGGCGAGAAGCAAATTGTAAATATAGTTAGAATACAGAACGTGTACGTGAGAAAGCGAGTGCGCATGCGCGTCGCCGAGTTAACATTTTTCACCTTTTATTGTACCGCAATACATAGGACACGCATAAATAAATAAATATATATATAGCTACGTCCTTGAGCCGTATGCTGTATATATGAATAAAAGGAATTTCAAAAGAGAAGAAAAAAAAGTGTGTACAATTATTCCTCTATTAATTAAAAGGTTACAGAATAATGTTGTGAGAAGTCCTTCGGTTTTCCATATTTCAGTTCACTTTATTTCAATTAAAATATACAGCTTTTAAAAATGTGATCACACATTTGTTCGACTTAACCTTGGTTCGTACTTTTCAACCTGTCAAATAATTCGTTTCAAGAGCTTTTTAAAAAAAATTCCATACGGCTTACTAACAATAAGTTCATTCCTTTCTAGGAAAATGTTTTTGCTACCTTGTCTTCTTGTTTCCCAATGTTACCAACGTCCCACGCGTTTATTTGTTCCACAGTAAAGTTTACACTCTTCGAAAATACTTGAATTTTCGCGCGCACATGTATATAATATGTATATAATACGACCTATGAGCCCATAGGCATTTTTCCATCACGGAACGCCTTTCTCTACTTCCTCTATTATACATAAATAAACGCTATAAGATTTCATCTGTTGCGCGACCGCGACTAAACCGCGAGCGTTACATTTACATTGTATATGTCCAGCTGGTAACTATCGTAGGCACGTCTCGTTACATATTTCGCGTATTTCGAATCCTTCGCAGTCTTTGTCGAACAAGTAGCACAATTAAAGTGTCAGATTGCTGATTGGCCAAACTATTTCGCGATGAACGATATGGGCCAATGAGAAATCTACTATTAGGACTAGTACAGCCAATTCGACAAGGCCGTGAAAGCTTCCTTTATTGTATAACAGTTAAAATTTATTAATAAACTAAAATAATACGCGTCCTCTTCGTCGTTTTAAATGATGCCATTATTCGGACAATAGAAGGTTCTTGATTAACAAAAAATGACTATCGCCATTCTGAGCGCATATTATTTCAGTACAAATTTCACAAGTTTACTTCACTCTCTTTCAAAAGGGAGGAAGAGAGAGAACGAAAACAATAGATAAAGATTCTTTTAATACATACGCCAGTGCTTGCAGATCGCGCATGACTCTTTTAACGCTAAAACGTTGTCTAAATTAAATTATTCCCAAACTCCATTGTTTGACTAATTTCTAGCGTGCATATTGGCTCTCTGATTCTCCCAGATATTTTTTCTTAGCCTCTTTCACTCGTACGAGTTTCAAACACGGTCGCGGATTGCAGCGGAGTTTATTATTACAGAGAATATACGGAAGATATGAAAAATGTCATTTGCATACGGAAGCATCATAAGGATAAACAGTTATAAACAGCAAACGTGTTGGTAGGCGGCCATCTTGCGATAGTCGACCAATCAGGACACTACAGTGGCTCACGTGGTCAGTTTCAATTTTTCAACCAACTTACACTCGTTAATACAGTTACTGCTGTTGTTTCTTTGTTTTGGAATTGTGTAGAATAATTATCCGCCTTATACCGAGCTTGTTACTCGTTAAAGTTTCATGAATCCCATAATCGTACTATCAGGTTTGGTTTTGACTCGTGGCGATGAGCTCACATCCAACATAACGGACTTCGACGCCTAATGACCCGAGCTATGACGATTATGAAATCATACGGTAGACAGTCGATTAGTTGCCTTTCACAGTGTTATTCGTTTCTCCAAAGGATTGTAAGATCTTGTTCATTATTCACTTTAGTATCAAATATGCAATTCGTTTTTACTTTCGTTTTGATGGTGCAACCGTTCCATACGATGTTATAATCCTCTGACGATTTTATACTCATTGTCAGTAAAGGCAAATCAGTGATCGCATGCTTTTCTAGATACTTTAACATTTTTTTTCTTATACTACGATGTCATTAAATCTCAAAGTTTTTCGTGCGTACACTTGGCCGCTTCTTTATTGGTTTCTGTTTTATTTGGAAGAGGTCTAGTTGAACTATTCCTGTTTTATTTGCATGGTTACAGTTTCGAATGAGGAAGGCTGCAAAAAAAAAAAGAGGGAAATATTCGAAACTGGAATATGATGCGGATTTATTGAAGTGGTAAAAGTAAGAGGCCCGTACATAGCTATCAGACAAATTGGAAGGAGCGAGTAAAAAAGGGAAGAAAGACACTAATGGCCAAGTCGCAAGGTAAAGCAAGGATATGAAATTCGCAGTAGGAAATTTGACAATCCTAACCTCACTAACGTGCTCTGTTATTAAAATAATAATGCCGACGCAGGTCGGCATTGATACATAAGCTTTATCTCGCTGCGAAGGAATATCTTCCTTTCTGATGATTTCTTTATTCTAATTACTGCGAAGACGAGTAAAATCGTCCGGTCTACCTGCGAGACACGTTATTGATTTAAAACATTCACGTTATTACGCATTGTAACTCACCGAACCACCAACCGCACGTTTTATGTTTTCTCAGAACAAGTGTTGCTTTATACTTCTCACTTTCCAAGACGTTTAATACGAGATCGCGTGCTGAGTGATCTGGCGCTAGGATTGTAAGGTGACTTGGCTCTCTTAGCAATTCCAGATCCCGCGCCAGAACTGGTACCCGTGCTGGATGCCAGTCCCGCTTGTTTCAATTTTCCCGTCGAAAGTGGACTTTTTATTTTCGTTGCAATGGCCGCCTGTTTCAATTTTGCAGGCAGAGACAATCGATTCTGCTTTACGACACCGTATTGATGAGCTACTTGGGCCGAGACTGTATGTCCAGTAATATCAACGTTACGAGAGCGTAAAGTTTTTACAGGTGTCGCGGCAATCGTGTCTGACCTTAACCAACGTTGTGGCGGAGCATCCGTTGGACTGATGCAGATTGTCCTATTCGGTTTCGCTTGATCGGCGCAAATTCCATTAGTGCTAGGAGTATTTGCGACCGACCGGTTAGATTTCGCCTGCTCATAATCCCTTAGACCAAAGCTACCTCTTAGTTGAACACGATTAGCGCCATTGATGGAGGGTCTGCGAAACGTCTTCACGGGAGTAGCTTTCTTCTCTAAACTCCTCCTCTGAAAGGAATTTGGTGATGATAGTCTTTCTTGTCCTGACGTCGTACTGGAACTAGTTCCATTCGCTCTAGACAAAGAAGATTCTGAACCTGGCCAGCCTAGCCTACTATGAGGCTCCTCACGTTTCTGATTCACAGGATTATTCTCATCAGTAGGACTTCTTCTGTCTTCCGATCGAGTCCTTCTCTTTATGCTTGGTTCTACGACAGTTGTACAACTGTCTTGTTGTGCTTGGGATATCGTACTGTGTCTACGCTTTGATGCTACTGTTCCATTTGTTCTAGTGACAACTGTTATTGAGGTACGAGTTTCTTCAAATGTTGTTTGAGTCAATGTCTTTGTCGTCGAATGCTTTAACCTCGACGATTTAACCTCTCCAGTTGCACCAGGTAGAAGTCCCTCGTATGTACTGCCAAATGGATGATTCCCTGGTCTACGTCTAGTTCCATTCAGAACGGTAGTCCTGAGGTCACCGTCAGAATTTGTTTTTATTACATTTTCTGGCTGAATGTTCATACTGTGTCTGCGTCTTGCGGCTCCTCGGAGATCATGTTCATATGCACCACCAAAAGAACGACTACTACTTTGAGACAAAGTGCTGTGTTTACGTCGTGTTCCATTTAGGACGCCACCTCTGACATCATCACAGGGTCTGTTGAAGGTGTTCTCTCCTTTGTTAGCAGCACCGCCACGTCTCAGTCTCGAGGTTAGATTGCTAGGACTCGTAGTGGAAGACTTCACTTCATCGCACATATCGGAAAACGCATTTTCTCGCACTATATTCGGCACCTTTGAATTCTCCTCTTTCATTTTAGGATCGGACATTTTCTGCGGAAGAACTTTCTGCAACGAACTTTCCGTCTTGCTTTCACATTCCTGGCGAGTTGCGCTCTCTTCTGATGTCTTGACATTCTTTTCTTGATTGGTGGAAGTTTCGTTAGACGCATCTTGTATTTCACTGCCTTCGACTTCTTTGATTTCATCTAAAATATCGCTAGAGGAGATTTCTGCAACTTGTATACTTTCTGTACCATCTTCTGGTGGATCTTCGAGGGCAATGATCTCAGTTGATTTAAAGTTCACGTCGTTCATGCACTTCATCAGAGGATCAGTTTCTTTAGGTATCACATTTTCTGCTGGAGTACTCTTATTAGAACTTTCTTCTGTAGTGTTTGATGAGTCAGGCTGTTTTCCTTCAACTTCGATAGAGCCTTTGGGTGGGTTCTTTTGTAAGACATGAGGTATACCAGAGCATGGTAGTGGCTTCTGCGGGGTTTGTATAGGTGTAGTTGGTACTGGGGTGTAAAACACTGGTCTCACTGTTGGTTTCGGTGATGGAACTTGTTCCTTTTTCTGACTAAGTAACACCTTCAAACAAAAATAATATGCATACTTGTATGTTTATAGACTACCCACGACGAGTCATACGTCAACCAGCTCAGAAATAAAAATATTTGGTCAACGTAGAAAAAAAAAGTATTGAAATTTTGCGTTTACCTCGCTTCGGGAAGGTCCAGGAGGATCAAGCATCAGTGTAACGACACTGGTGTTGTCAGCCCTTAACCTTGTTGAAAACCATCTTTCAAGTGCTCGATCAACTAAACTCTTTGAAGGATTGATCCACATCTGTACGTCCGTTTGCTGTGGGATAGAAGTTTTATTAAACATATAATAGCAGACTTACATTCCAAGTACTAATTTTGCATTTTGCTTTAGACCCACCCCAGTGCCAGCTTGTTGTGAAGCAATAAGATGTTTTTCATTATGCCTCTCTGCTGCTTGTACAATAGCGACTGCAGCTTGTGCAGTTAACATGTTCCACAGACCATCAGTACCAAAAATAAGACAACGATGAGATTTTACATCAACAGCCACTACTCTCACATCGGGTTCTGGTGAAACCACGAATGTATCCAACTCAGAGTTGTAACTCCAGAGATCACCTAATAACAATAATATATATATATGTATTAGATTATACGGCAATGAAGATGTAAGAGAAATCTACATAATGTACGACAAAAACGCTAGAATACCTAGTGATCTAGCAACAGCAAGGAATGGAATTTCATCTATATGAGTTGACCTCCGAACAGGTCCCTTATGTCCAATACGAGGTCGATTCCAGACAACTCTTGGTACACCAGATTTGCTAACAACCTTGCCACCTGATTCTTGAATGCGACTCATTTCTGGGCCACTTTCAGGCTTATGATCCTTCGTAAGGGCTTTAGCCTTCCATTGAGGATCTCCATCATCTTGATAGCCTAGGACGATACCAGAATCTCCCACGTGACCAATATAAATTTTACCCTTTCGAATAAACGCTATACTGGCTGTGGTTCCTGCGGTGGAAGGTAGGCCGGAAGCTGTCCTTGGCCATTTGTCTATATGAAAGGAGGAAGAACAACAGAAATCAATAAAAACGATCATTCTATATTGAAAATCAAGTAAAATCAATAAGCATTAAAAACAGTATTTGATAAATAATGTCCCAATGATTTTGAGATTTTCACTCATGGAAAATTCCAGTATGATTTCATTCATTTATGCTAACAAAAGATTTTGAACTGAAATATTACAAAAAGCACTTTACCGTTCAAACAATACAAAATTTTATTACATCAAAAGGGATTCTCTTCGTTCATAAAGAGCTCGAATATTTTTAGGTTAACCAGACATTACATAACCTAAATTCTAGCCTGACCGCTGACGACAAGTGGTGGGGGAAATACGCGCGACGATAACAGAAATCTTAGAATACCATGAAATTGGAGGTTACTCCTCAAAAAGCGCGGGTCTTAACAGATATATTAGAACAAACGCGTTAAGAATTACAAAAATACTTTTAAAAACGCAAATAATTCTTACCGAGTTCTCGCCACATCGCATAATGCGTGTTCACATATCCATCTCTTATAGCTCGTAGAACATCCTCATCCCTGTCGCTCCAGAAATTTTTCTGTTTGACAATAATATCCATAAGGTGTTCCTTAGCGAATGTAGCAGCCTCGCCACCGCCGTGTCCGTCAAAAATACCAAAAAAAGCGTATTCCAGGTCTTTGTCGTCCGAAGTCTGTTGGTAGGCCACGCTGAACATGTCCTCCATGTATTTGCGGCCACCCTGATTACAGTGCCCGGTCACTCTGAGATTTACACCAATGCTTAACGGCATGTTGACCTGCCGAAGCTACAGAACCCTTAACAATAGTCACTAAATCACTTCGGTGTCCCTTGCATTTACTGCGCCTCTCACGACACGTATTACTAGAACGGAAGCCTCACATTTACTGGGCAGATCGGTGAGAGGCAAGGGACGCAGAGAACTCTCGCAGTCCTATCCCCACCATCTGTTCTGGGAGCCACAAGAGACAAGAGTGGGGATTCTGTTCACCTGGTGGGGTTCAGGACTCCCCGCACCCCCCACTCAGCACCAACACATCCCCTTCCGATGTCTTTGCCCTCCAGCGTTGCCATTCACCCGCCCCACGTATTGAATATACGTGAATACACAGTACTGGGTATTGCTGGTGGTACGAGGGCAGCCATGGCTGCTACCATCCTGCACACGCGTTACAATGATGGTAAATTCTAATGACGACGAGACAATCTTGATCACGCGGAGACGCGGAAGCTAGGTAGCTGGGCAAATGCCGACGAAGACGAGGCTAAGAAAACACAGCGCCTCCTCGTTATTCCTACCCACGTACAGTCCCCGTCATACGTTCGTCAGACGTCAGCGTATTCGTGCCGCGCGAGACATTGCGACGTTGTCAGTTTTAACCTTCTCTCTTCGTTCAACCGAGTTGGAACGAGATAACGGATGGTAAGAATTCCAGCTCCGTTCTCATCTGTATTTAACCTCGTTCCTCTCTTGGGAAACGGAATGGAATGAACCAAAGAAATATCGAAAGATGAATTCGTTTTCAAGTACAGCGGTATGAAATTTCACGCGATAATAATTGCGACGTAAGCGATAGCAAGACTAAAATGCCTATATACATTTAATACCAATGAGTAATCGTACGTCTCGCACAAGAAACACGGCAAAACTCGTATTCCGCGCCTTCGAAGAAAAGGCGTCGAGGCGTTGCGCGCCTATTGCCGTCCCGACAGCTTTTGTCACGACGTTCCGCGGGAGCGCCGAAAAACAAAACCCGTGCACACGTGTTTGGACTTATTTCTCTTATACTGTAAAAACCGGCAACGTCGCACGACGTTCGAAATAGCACACACAAGCCAGCTTGCAACTTTCACCGCAACGGAGTCACAAAACCCAGTGTGAATTACCATCTAGCTTCAAGTTTGTCCTGTAGGAAAATACATGAGGATCTCTACGTTTTCTAGTGACTGTAATCAATCCATTCAACTATGTCGCTCAGCGTTCTGCTACCAGAGAGCGCATCCGTTTATAGAGGAACTCGGCCATTTTCTACCGTACAACTATAACCTGTACGTGTTGCAGACCGTAAGGACGCAATGGCTTCCCGATACGCTTCGTGTCTTGCATCATCCTTTTACCAAGATGGCCTCGCCTGCCACTCGAGACTTCACTGACTCGCCCACTACTGTCTCGCAGCCAGAACATAACCATGGAGGATCAGAAACTCACTTGGACTAGACTTTAAACCTCTTGATTAGTAATTAATACAATACTGTGATTATTTAACTTTACAAACCTGTTGATGAGTACTGTGTTAATGTCTTTAGTGCAGGCGTCGACCTGCACTGGGAACGGAAGCCATTCGCCTGCTTTCATCGTGTCTCACAAGAGGAATGGAGGAAAGACGTTTCTGTGGAATGAAGCAAGTCTGAACGCGTTCGTACTCGGAGTTGTTCTGACGTGCGGCGATGCGTCACGGATTGGATAATGATTGTCCTCCCTTACTGGGAATTCCCTGGGAGAATTATACTCATCGTATAATAATCATAAACGGAATAAATTTTTTAAGTGTACCTGTTGAGCATTCTTGACAGAGTCCTCGTTTTTCGATGGTAGAAAAAAGTAGTTTTGTGAGAATAGATTCTGTTGGACATGAAAATTATTAGGATTCAATGGATACTTCATTGAAGAATACTTACTTGATAGTTTCAGTTAATTTAATATGTTAGGTTGAAGGGGAATTTAGTAATTGATTTTGAAAATTATTACTCCTTTTTTTATTCATGTTGTCTGGCATCTGTTTTGGAAATGCATTGTTAGTGATCGTTGTTGCGTTACGACAGAATGAACTATTACAATAGAATTCTCACGATAAGTTGGCAGAGGTTTTTTGATGTTGTGCCGACTGAAAATATAGTCCTGAAACGTTGGGAGTCAATGGTCCTGAACTAGAAAATAAATTTACGTAGATAGGCAGGATACAACGAAAAAAACGTCGAAATCGCTTCACGAAAATAAATTTCCCAGTGCACTACTACGGTGCGATACTTTGAATATTGCACGATTGACTGATGTTAAGCAAACATTTCCTTAGTATTGTAGGAATTTGGTTTATATAATCAATACTTTGTCTGAAACAAAAGAAATTTTTTGAACAATTACACTGACAACTAAGTACCGGATGTCAACATTTTTTAATATTAAAATATTACAATAATTAAATATATCTTTGCTTCCCAAATCAGACACGTCGTACAATTATAAACGATACCTCTTGTACGATATTTTCGATCATCGTATCGATTTCATAAAAAAATAATTTTATTTAAACTAATCTTGCCTTTACTGACAAGCAAGCTTGTGTAGTTCGTCCCTGCGATAGAATCGATTCGTGTAATCGTCTAACCAGTCGGTCGATCTGGAGTCGAGGGTTGACTACGGTTGACGAGTATAGCCGAGGGTAGTTTAACATACCCGAATGAAATGTAGTCACAAATGATGCTTCGAAATACTTCTTTTAAATCTGCAAATCGTTCGAATTTAAAAATTTTATCTTTTATTTATTCTTTTTATACAACCAACAAAACTATACTGATGAACAAGGGTGACTCTGCTGTTTAAACCAAACAGAGGATTGTACCTAAGTTTTGTCTTACGGCTGATCTCCTGGATTTCCTTTTAGGTACCTGATTAGAATGATTATCTGCAAATGGTATTCTGTCCCTAGCGTCGTTAACTGAAGATAAACAAACTGGACATCTTACCGAGTTTGATATCACATCAGTTCTGGCATTGACTGAAAATAAACAGATTCACGATTTTTATACATATGTAGAATAGAGATACCTATGTATATCATTTCAATGGATAAACTCTGTTTGTAGGGATCCGCGATACCCAGGCCTGCGTGTCACCATATCCCAGAAGATGTCCAGTCTGTTTACCTGTTCAGTCAACGGTTCTGGGTGTCGCAGAGGCATCCGTAGATCGAGTTACCGATTGAAATGACGACCTTACAAATGCACCGAAAGATGGTGCTAAACAGTAAACAAAATATGTGAGCCTTTCTCACGGTATGGTCATAGTAGCTTATTTTAAAATTTATAACACCAAAATTAATGAATATTTCGGGTGTACTTTCGGGCCCACGTTTATTTCATCCAACTTCTTACAATATATTTTCAAGAGTCACTTTTCTTTGTGTACAGTAATCTTATTTTTACAGATATTTAAAAAGGCGTCAATATTTATGGATACAGGCAGATACAGGGATAGTAGTTACTAGTTGATATGATGGCGCCACTTGCACATGATTGTCACTCTATCGAAATTGTCACAAATAACATTTCTTTTCAGTTGTATTAGATTTTGTGCACAATTATAATAAAGATAAGAAGGCGGCATAAGAAAATTTACTGTAACAAGTTCAAACAAAAATACGGTTCAATTGTACAAATATAATGTAGCATATTTCATCAGACACTGTAGCTCAATACGCTCGTATATTGAAAAAAATACATACATAAAATGTAAAAAATTGGCTATACTACACAGTCATTGTTGTGTTTATTATAATTACATGACTTATGGAAATTAGATTGGAAATTTATACAGAATAGTTCTAGATGACGCACTAAGTGTGGATCAATTTCGCTTTTTCTTTAGTAAGTCGTATCTTTTAGAAAATTATTTTGTACGTAACAGACGTGTATATATACTCTTATAGTTACTTTCATATGTTTTACGTCATTTTAATAATTATTTTCGTGACAGAGAATGTATGAACACTGAACTGTGTTACAAGGCACATATTACACAAGAGCAGAGTGGCGCAGTGGAAGCGTGCTGGGCCCATAACCCAGAGGTCCGTGGATCGAAACCACGCTCTGCTAAGAAATATATTTTTTTTCCTTGTCGAATATGATTTTGTATACTATAGATTAGTCATAGGATAATATATAGAATTTTGTTAGAAGACCTGTATACAGTATTTATTCATTGTCATTAATTTTATTAATACGGTAATCATCGTTATCACTGTGAAGTACTTTTAAAAGAATTATGAGTCAGGCGTCTTTGTAGCTATACAAAAAAAATATGATAGTACACGAATGAGACTCTTAATGTCTTGGATCGTAGATTCGAGCCTAAAGTAGAGTCTGTGTTTGTTTATCAAATTTGAGTGTCCTTACGTGCTTTATTTGCAAATCTCTTCATAAATGGAGAACAAAAATATAAGAAGTTCTTTTTGATGTTGTTTTGGTTGTCAACGGTGTTGAAAATATAATCGTATTACAAGTTTCCTCTAATTGTTTAAATACCCAAAAAGTTAAAAATTTAAACAATAAACTCGCCCGACGTGGGGCTCGAACCCACGACCCTGAGATTAAGAGTCTCATGCTCTACCGACTGAGCTAGCCAGGCCTTGCGCGTTTTTAAAACTTCAGTCAAACATACCTACATTATCAATTTCGATTATATTTGACATTTGTTTCTATACATTACTTCATTTCTACGGCCTAAACTCTATTTTATAAAGTAGCGACGAATTGTTCATTGACTATGCTTACAAGAATGGCACGCAAGGCTCAGACAAGTAGCAGAAAAGAAGCAATCGCCCTTGGGCATCTTTTAATACCGTCTGTCAGCCTAATACAAAATATACGTCGACGTGGCAGTAAAAAAAATGGAAGAAGAAATAAATCAACGTTTAACAAAATGTTATCTTTCCGCAAACTCCAACTACACCGCTTCCGTTTACATTCATTTCACCTCGCACAACTTTTCAAAAGTATAATTCATCCAGTTTTAATCCAACTACACACAGAGAAATTATATACGAATCTGAAACTGCTTTTCGTTTGATACTTGTAGCCGATCCGCTTATCGGAACACGAATGAACACGTAACAGAATAGTTCACGAGTCACTGACAAGCTGGCGCCACTGTCGCTGTGGCTTCTTTTGCCGCAGTGAAACATTCAAGAATAAATAAAAAAGCGCAATTCAACGTAATCTCAAATCGCTTAACGTCGTACGTCAAAACACATTTTTCTTAGATCAGTCTGTTATTTAAGAAAATTACTAAATCAGCACATCGCGATGACGTTAGCATCTTCAAACTGTTAAGGAATCTTAATAGCTCCGTTGGATGAATCGTATGTCTAAATAATCAGAGCCCTCACTGGCAAACAGTCTCACATTTGATAATTTTGACTAATCAAGAGTTTATCGAATATTTCGACTAGTACATCTCCATTGAAAAATTGTGTAGTTGCCTTTATTATTATCATGATCAAAGCTAGAACATATATTAACCATATCTTAATCTACATATTATGATTTTGTGAGAAATTAAAGTATGTACATTTGAAGATCGCATAAACCTTACGCGAGTAACTGTATTATTGAGTAAAATGAAAATTTTACGTTGACCAAGAACGATTTACGTAATTCAGCAGTGACCGTTAACAGCATTTTTACGAGTCGACGAAAAATATAAAATGATTAAAAGCATTGTACCAGAAATATCAATCCAATTGCAAGAAACTTCAGGAAACTCGTTACGTTTGTACTCGATAAATTTGAACCTCTTAATTTGTCTGCAAATACATCCCTTACGAATGTCTTGCTGTTATATGACATCTTCGTGTAATTCACATAACACAAATCCAGATAATCCACCAATTCTGTCCGGCAGCGCCATTTTAATTTATTATCTCCAAACTCCATACTCTTCAGACGACTTAAATTTGTCAACATGTTAGTATAAACGCAGGTCAAGTTATTCCCCTGGAGCGACAAATGTTCAAGACTTTTCATCTGTTCTGGAAATATATCCACTGGAATTTCTGTCAGAAAATTGTTAGTCAACGTCAGATTCCTGAGCTGGGTCGTATCGCGGAACCAGGAGGAATTTATCGTCTCCAGCTGATTGTTGTCAATCGTTAGTTCCTGGAGGTTGAAGAGACCATCGAAAGCTCTGGGATCGACCTCGTGGAGTTTGCAGTTACGAATTACAAGCTTAGTGAGGTTATGGAATTTCGAAAAAGCACGCGGCGGTAGATAGTGAACGCAAACGTCATCAAGCTCAATGTATTTCGCGTCACTTGAAATTTGGTCGAGTACAGTCAAATTACCGTAGGTGCATTTATGCTTAATGACTTGATCTGGTTCCGGAACCTTGTCGATGGTGCATTCTCCTTTCCTTGAGAATTGTATACAGTGATTTGAAGCAGGATCCTTCGTTTTGTTGCAAGCTGCAAAATGCGGATTATTCGTAACAATCGGCGGAGCTGCTGTAGTAGCAGACAAACATGGAGATTCATTTACTTTGTCAGCATCGTAGGAAATGTGAAGCTGTTTTAGATACCGGATCAGCTCTAACATGACGGGACACGTCCAAGGATTTCCAGCTATACGCATGGACTCAAGATAATGCCAGCTGCCAAGCAAATCCAAACTGATGTAAGTCATGCTGTTGTCATCGATATGGAATGTCAGTAAATTCGGTAAAAGCGAAAAGACGCGATTTTCGATTTTCGTGATTTTGTTTCCAGTCAAGGACAGCTTTCTCAGACTATCCAGACGGCCGTGGAACCAGGAGGACTCTATGATCTTCAGATGACTGTTGTGAATCGTCAGTTCCTGGAGTTTGAAGAGACCATCGAAAGCTCCGGGCTCGACCACGTGGAGTCTGCAGTTACGAATTACTAGCTTAACGAGGTTATGGAATCTCGAGAAAGCACACCGCGGTAAATGGTGAATGCAGACATCATCAAGCTCAATGTATTTCGCGTCACTTGGAATTTGGTCGAGTACAGCCAAGTTACCGTAGGTGCATCTGTGCTTAATGACTTGATCTGGTTCCGAAACCTGGTACTTGGAGCATTCTCCTTTCCTTGAGACTTGTATACAGTGATTTGAAACAAGATTCGTCGTTTCGTTACAGCGTGAAAATTGCGAATCAGTCGGAACAGTTGGCGGAGCTGCTGTAGTAGTAGACCAACATTGAGATTCATCTACTTTGTCTTCATCGTAGGAAATCTTACGCTGTTCTAGATACCGGATCAGCTCTAACATTACGGGACACGTCCAAGGATTTTTAGCTATACGCATAGACTGAAGATAACGCCATCTGTCAAGCAAATGCAAATTGATGTAAGTCATGCTGTTGTCATCGATATGGAATGTCAGTAAATTCGGTAAAAGCGAAAAGACGCGATTTTCGATTTTCGTGATTTTGTTTCCAGTCAAGGACAGCTTTCTCAGACTATCCAGACGGCCGTGGAACCAGGAGGGCTCTATGATCTTCAGATGACTGTTGTGAATCGTCAGTTCCTGGAGTTTGAAGAGACCATCGAAAGCTCCGGGCTCGACCACGTGGAGTCTGCAGTTACGAATTACTAGCTTAACGAGGTTATGGAATCTCGAGAAAGCACACCGCGGTAAATGGTGAATGCAGACATCATCAAGCTCAATGTATTTCGCGTCACTTGGAATTTGGTCGAGTACAGCCAAGTTACCGTAGGTGCATCTGTGCTTAATGACTTGATCTGGTTCCGAAACCTGGTACTTGGAGCATTCTCCTTTCCTTGAGACTTGTATACAGTGATTTGAAACAAGATTCGTCGTTTCGTTGCAGCGTGAAAATTCCGAATCAGTCGGAACAGTCGGCGGAGCTGCTGTAATAGTAGACCAACATTGAGATTCATCTACTTTGTCTTCATCGTAGGAAATCTTACGCTGTTCTAGATACCGGATCAGCTCTAACATTACGGGACACGTCCAAGGATTTTTAGCTATACGCATAGACTGAAGATAACGCCATCTGTCAAGCAAATGCAAATTGATGTAAGTCATGCTGTTGTCATCGATATGGAATGTCAGTAAATTCGGTAAAAGCGAAAAGACGCCATCTTCGATTTTCGTGATTTTGTTTCCAGTCAAAGACAGCCTCGTCAGACTATCCAGACGGCCGTGGTACCAGGAGGACTCTATGATCTTCAGATGACTGTTGTGAATCGCCAGTTCCTTGAGGTTGATGAGACCATCGAAAGCTCCGGGCTCGACCACGTGGATTCTGGAGTTACGAATTACTAGCTTAGCGAGGTTATGGAATTTCGCGAAAGCACGAGGCGGTAGATTGTGAATGCAAACATCGGTAAGCTCAATGGATTCCGCGTTAGCAGGAATTTGGTCAAGTACAAAGAGATTACCGTAGGCGCATTTGTACTTAATGATTCGACATGGTTCCGGACCCTCTTCAAAGGTGCATTCTCCTTTCCTTGAGACTTTTTCACATTGGTTTGGCACAGGAGGGCCCGTCGGGTCGTAACCTGGTGTTGGTGGCCCAGCTGTACCACTTGGTGTAGCTCTTGTAGTAGAATGGTAACACGTAGATTGATCTGCATCATTCTCGTAGGAAATACGACGGTCTTCCAGATACTGGACCAGCCTCAATTTACAGTGACACGTCCAAGGATTATGAGCTATACTCATGAACTCCAGATGACGCAGTCCTTCCAGGGAATCCACATTGATGCAAGTCATGGGATTGTTCCCAATCTTAAGTGTTACTAAATTTGGTATAAGACTAAAGACGCCATCTTCGATTTCCGTAATTTTATTTCCGCTCAAGTCCAAGTGTTTCAGATTTCTTAGATTATAGAACCACATTTCTTCGACGCTCTTCAAATTATTATCTTGTATAATCAGAGTCTCCAGTGCAACCAAATCCAAGAATGCATCACGTTCGATGTTTTCTGTTTGACAATTCCAGAACTTCAGCATCTTCAAGTTTTTCCCAAATCTGGCAAATGACCTTCTTGTTATTATTGGTATATACGATGAATGAAATTCAAGAGCATCGATCGAGCTTGGAATTCCGTTCGTCTGCTCCAAGGTTGCCCTGTTACATGCGTATGCGATTGTAAAACGATCATGGTTCACCTGGCGGCAGGAAGTGCAACAATCATTTCCTACTAGGACTTCATCATCAAAGTCCAGTCGGGGGGTCTCCTGTATGGTCTGTACTGCTGTTGTTGTTTTTGACACTGATCCATTTCTAAATACCACAGATGTATTCCTCACTGTCTCCTTGTGAATCTCATGAGTCTGATGCCGTTTTGTAATCTTTCTCAGTTCTCCAATCTCGTTTGTTGCCAATGGTCTTAAGGGACAACCGAAGTTATTAATTTTGTATCTGATCCTGCGATCCATCAGATAATTATTCAAGTCGGTTCGACACTCACAATCCCAGGTTTTGGAAGTCACGTTTAATGTTTGCAGGTTTACCAATTTATTAAGCTCGTCTTTCGATAAACATTGCAATTTAGTATTAATAAGACTGAGATGACGTAACTTGCCAAGTGATGAAAAGCTGCCATTTTCAATATTTACTATCTGATTGGAATCGAGGATCAAAGTTTCTAAATTAACCAAATCGTAAAACCAATTGGCTTTTGTAACGTTAATGTAATTACCAACCAATACGAGTCGTTTGAGTTTGGCCAATCCTGCAAAGGCACCATCTTCGATTTCAGTGATATTACAATTCCGAAACTCGAGACTGCGCAGGCTGCTGCCAAAACGGAAGAAAGTGTAAGGTGGTATCCGCTTGACACTGATAGCACTTGCACTTATCCATCGTATGTCATCTTCCAAACTAAATAAAAATGAGAGACTGTTACCAACGTCTCCTGAACTTGCAATGATAGTTCCAGGCTCTGACTGATTACCCGGAAAAAACTTTCCATGATTCTTCAATTTCACTTCCGTCATGCATTCGTTTCTGTGGCTCGAAGAAGGTTTTTCGTATATCATATTTATGTCTTTTTTCTTAAAAAAACTTTCTAGATCCTCCAGGCAACTACAGAGCCAAGGATTGCTATCAATCTGAACACTCTTCAGGCTAGGAAGATCGGAGAAAAGATCGATTGGTAAACAATTTAGGTCATTATCATGCAAGTTCAGGGTCGTGAGTTTGATAAGACCAGAGAATGCCCCAGGCATCACGTAAACAATCTTGGTCCTCTTAAGAGCAAGATTACGGAGATTAGGCAAATATTGAAACGAAGAAGCATGTACCACGCCGATGTTCGAATTGTAAATAACCAGAAACTCAAGATTGTTCAGTCCTCGAAACGCAGCAGGATCTATATATTGTATATCGCAATTATAAAAATTCAATTTTTTCAGACGAGAAAACCTACTGAAAGTATCTGGGGAAATAATTTCAAACCGTGAGACTGAAAATTCAATAAATTCGACATTACTAGGCAACACCTCAAGATTTGAAATATCAGCCTCTATACAAACATATTCTAGTGAGCTCGTGACATTGGGTTCCATAAATCTGCATTTCTGATCCGACGCGTCAATACCGACCAACGTCCCACACAGAATCACGAGAAGCATTAAAGACATCGTGGTATAAAGATCCCTCAAATTCTTCCTGATCGTACAGGTTCTGTCTAGATTTAAATCCATAGATCCTTAAAGTAACTGTTGATTTCGAATGTCAGGATATAATACGATCCACGTGTTTTTCTTCCTTGGCGTCTTCAAATGGTCGACGTTAATTTGAAATGCTTATGCAACGTTTACTCCGATTCCAAGGTTCCTCCACTTCTCCTAACTAGTCACTGTTGCAATTGACACGCACTATTTTACTCCCACTATCATTCTCCTCGTGGCAGCGTCTCCCACGATGCCATTGATAATCGATGACATTACCAAGAGACTTCTTTTCCACCCAATGAATCCGGCCGCTTGCAAGGAGTCAGAGGATTCAGCCTAATAAAGCCAGCCGTCGGCTGCTCGGTCGTTCCGCTGTTCCGCTGTTCCGCTCCTGAAACTGTTCCAGATCGATGCGACGGTAACGAAGCTTCCTTTCTTTTCTACTATACCAATCGAGATTGTACTATTTCTCTGGGTAGTTTGTGATGCTACTGGAACGAGGGCCGGGTAGATAAAAAGCAAGGCATGCCGTAAGGGGGGTGGATGAGGTCGAAAAAATAATTAGGTCAAGCACGTTCGATACGGCTGAACTTTTACGTGGATGATACCGAGAGGAATCGACAGAATTTCTGTGGCAGATAAACAAAAAATCAATGTAAAAATGCTTCAGCGTTATTAACATTATTCTTGCAGTACTTTGAAGTCATATGGGCAACTGTTTTTATTAGTGATAAATATATGTGACTTGTTTTTCTAACAAGCAGCATAGAATTAGATTAATGATGTAGGAATTTTTTTTACACGATCAATCTGATTCTCTACGTAATATAAATATTTAGGTAAAAGTAACAACTTTGACAATTATTATAAGCCATGTCAACTTACGTGCAACAGCGCGGCAACGTCGCAAACCTTGTCGCTGATCTGCCGGCTGTTACGTGTACCTAACCTCAATGCTTGAAGGATGATCGAGCAGCCTCGACGTAATTTCTACCTTTTATTCAGTGTTACAAGAATTACACCCTATTCTAATATTAATTTGTTTCTCAAATATATAAATAATTTTGTTGCATCCTCTGCTTTATTTAACGACAAAAAATGGTACAGATTCTGCGCATGCGCGATACGCGTAAGCTGATACATGCAAGGTTGTCAGGCTGCTCCTCGAGTAAAACTGTAATTCCCATCTTGTCGGATTAGCCGAATGAAAACTTGAATTTCATTATTATGCAATAAAGTTAATAAATTTGAGCTTTCATCGGCATTTTCCGAAATGTTCATTGCATCGATTGGTCAGTGTTTCATTCGTTTCATTCGTTGCTCTAGTTTTGACATATCACAATTTTGGAATAGTTAAATAACGGCACTAGTTTTGTTTAGCATTGAGGCGTATATTTGCCGTATAAAATTGTCAAAATTTATAAGCACATGTCTTCGTAACAAAACGGTTAAAAAATTCCTAAACTTTACAGAAATATCATTGGAAATTTGACCTTTCCTTCTGTCGTATTCTAACCCCTCTATCTGGATTTGATATAAATGCACAGACCATCTTTAAATTAGATTACAGCGGGCGTGCGATTAATAGTGCACATTATAACGTAAAATTGAGAAGCGCAAAAGATACCAACTTGACAAAACAATATGTGACGTACATACGATCTTCGAGGTTATAAATCAGTGGAGGAAGCACGAATGTTTACGGAAGATTACGGAAAGACACGATGAGAATGAAGGAAGATCTAGAAATTAAAATAATTGTAAAATTTCAATGCGTAATGGAATACATCCTGTATTATTGTAAAATACTGTCATTAATTATTTACCGCCATTATTAAAATTGGTAATTGGTTAAGATGTTATCACTGTTTTCATTCATTACATAACATTTCCATGATCTAATCTGAGTCCTGTCGTGTGCACAAGTGAACAATGGATAAAATACCTGGCGATTCTTGGCCTGTGATTAGGGACGCTCGAATAGAGCGAATTGACGTAACCAAAAAGGAGTGGAGGACGAAGCCAAACGAGAGGAGCGACTGATGGCGCTCAAATAAGCTGACAATTCGCGGGCGTGCGTTATATAAATGCGTAAAGCCAAGGTCACGGCTGCTCCTGCCCCACTGCTGCTATTATTAGCTCATCGCAGTACCTTTCGCAGGAAATCTACGGCGCAAAATAGAGCTTACGTCTGATTGCTAACGGGTGCAATCTAGGATTCAGGTCAGCTACATTGGTTTTTGTTTTATAGTCCACTTTATAAAAAAGAATTTATCAGTAAAAATTTTACTGATCGTTGCAGTTGTTCGATGATTCAATGGAAAAATATTGATTTCAGGTCTAGTTCACTGGTCAGTCAGTGGCTTTGTGTATATAGGATATCTACCTTTAGTGTGGTCCTTGTGACGTCACCATATTCTTTGAGGCATTGTCTCGTCGAATTTCACTTACTGTTGATGACAGAAACTGGTCATATTATTGCACGTATAATGAATTGATGTAACTTATGATAATATTGGGACGATACTTTCCTTTATGATGTATTTAAGTCATGCTTATACATATTCGTATAATTTATTGTAGTAACTTCGTACTTTTGAATAGCCATATACGTTTTCATATACATAATTATATTGATTGTAATTCTTAATTGAAGTCATACATTGGACTGCTGGCTCAGTGGGTAGTGTCTCTGATGGAGACAAGGAATATAGACTTATGAGAAAGGATAAAAAAACATTGGTGGCTACAAAAAAAAATGCAAGTAAAATGTATATGTCAATAAGAGATTTTATAAATGTTAATAGTATGAATAAACGCAGGGCGCCAGTGGGTATAAAATTAAAAATAAAATTATAGCTGAAGACCAAAATACTGATTCAGTAACAGCCGTGCCCGTTATATAAAAAATATACAAAAAGAAGTATAGTATGAAACGTGTATAGTGTAAGCCAAAAAATGTATCCTGAAAACGAAACCCAAAAATAAGCAATGTTATAACAAAACCAAACAATCTTTTAGTCTTTTCCGTACGTACAAAAAGAATAATAGAAAAATTATTTTAACATCAAAAACAATTTAGCTTACTTATAATTTAAGATATAATATTGTGTTTGTTGCGTAGATTAATTAACAGGTATTTTGAAGAAATGTGTAGCTGTTTTCAACACGATAGAACCAACGTTAAACTTGATATTGGTGAATTAAACTTGAAAAAAACTTGTAGAGCTCGATTGTCTACGTTACTCTGCTGTTGATTAAGCAATAATGAAAACCTAAAATCGAGAGAGAGACTTAAGCCCGTATTCAGAAGTCCCTCTTGAAGTCACTAACAGTGTCACTATTAGTTAAAAGTGATTGGCGCCGAGTTGTTACCGACCGTATTCAGAAGTGAAGTTCTGGATGAGAACTCGCATTTCAGCCGCTTTTAGGTAGCGATGCGCTGCTAACAGGGAAGCAGCGTATTGTAACATGTACCTTCAACCGCGTTCGGAATCATTCGGGAAGACTCGAGCATACTCGATTATGTCCGGAAGTATTCGGTGGCATTCGGAAAGCGCGAACTTGATATTTGGTGGAAACTGCAGCCATCTTTGAAATTCGAAATTCAAGAATTCCCTTTCTTCAAGGCAAGCTATTAATAATTGATACGATAAATTGTTAAAATGAAGTAGGTATAAAACTATCATAAGACAGGCATGAGATGAAAAATGACAAAAATAAATGGTTGTAGATCGCCATGGAACGAAAGGAGAATTTAACCGTCGAATCGAAAGCATTATTCGTACAATTTGTAAGCGGCAATCGTGATATATACTAGAGACTAAAGCAAATAAATGCTAGATTGCGAAAGAGTAGAAGAGACAAATGAATGAAACTAACAGAGAAAATGGCAACGACTGAAATTAAGAGGGGATGAAAAGATATAAGAGGTGCATAGCAGCGGTGGAAACTCGCCGAAAAGAAGATTAGTTTTTGCTGTCGCCACTCGTGTGCGAGTGGTACGGTTGAAGGTCCTGCCCTCTCAAGAGCTTCCAGGCTCGATTTCACAATCAGTGAAATTTGCCCGGAAGATTTCGTGGAGGATGAAAATCCCCACGATTCTGATAGCCTCTGAGCATTGAACACGGCCGAAATGCCTAAGGATGACGTCACGTACGAAACGGATCACGTCTATCGAAAAACTTGCAAATTTCTCACTCCCATCTGATTAACTTCGCGGACTTCGTCCACTTTGGCAACAGCCTCCATCTTCTCCACCATATTTGAGTGACCTGTCACTTTAAACGTGTCTCTGCCTACATCTCCTAACAGGTCGCTGTTAGTCCCAACATGGCGCCTAATAGCGCACTTTTGAATTCTTAAAAGTGGTTCTGAATACAGTCACCTATAAGCTCACTAACAAATAATATAAAAGCGCGCTATTAGCACTAAAACCGAGTCTCTGAATACGGGCTAAAGTGTGCGTCGTCATTTTATAAACAACTTCTGCACCTCTGGGTCCTAATCACAAGTTAAGATGCAATAATTTTGTAAAATATTCTTTTAATTCCTAACGCTATCCGTTATAATTACCAGTAAGAAAGACATCAAAAATTGAAATTGCAGTGAAACGTACAAAATATTTTTTCTATTTACCGGTTCAATCAGCAGGTACGTCGATTTCATTGATTCAATTAATAGAATTACACTGATTCCCAGTGTCATACTTATGACTGTATCGTCCAGTGACTATTAACTGAAAGCCAGTAAATATTAACTAATTAATTTTTAGAGAGCAGATCACTAATAATTCCTTTTAATGGATACTCAATTACAGTAAAGACTACCTTTTTCATTACCATGGATCAATATCCAAGTGTGCCTATTAGTATTCAGGCATGATCCAAGCAATGGTTAACAGTGTCGCTGACCTACACCTATTCCTTCACCACCTTCACGTTCCTGTCCTCGACATTCCCATCTTCCCTCCGCGACACATGACAGTTGGACATGCGACTGGCTTCCCAAATCGATTTTCGGCGAAAGACTGTGGATGTTAAAAAACTTGAAGTACAGTAACCGCAAATCAGTCTTCATCGCACGTTCAATCTATACTCATCCTCCTAGTGACCATGAAGATGATGATGATGATGATCAACGTCCTCGTCGTCGTTCTCGTTGTTGTTGTCGTCGTCGTCGAGCGAGCGTGTCGGAGTAACCAGATAACAGTCGAAGAGTGCGCAGTCTTGCACGAGCTGTCGGTGGGGAATCGCGCGCGAGTCGAGTGCCTCCATCTCTGCTCAGCAGAAGCAGCCACGTGAAACGAGCCATTTTGGTATCTGAATCCTGATCGATTATAAAGTTCCCATTGACCAAGGTATACTTCACCTGAGGTCGAAGTACACGAAGGAGCTCGGACTCATATAGGAATATCGAAGGTTGACCAGCTCTGAATGATTTCTGAAAGAAGATTGAAGATTTGGATATTAGTGTCTGTACGTGACCCTGGGAAGATCAATGAAGAACTTCTTCTCTTACCATACGGAAGAGCATGTGTAAGGAGAAGAGATGAAGAGAAATGTATAATCGTAGCAGTGAAAGTTCTTTGCTCCTTTGAGTGCTCCTGGTCTGCTCACGTGGGACGGTTTCAGTACTAGCATCATGCCAGGTGGGTAGAATCGCAATGTGAGTTCTAGCGTGGAATGAAAATAATTGGAATTAATAGAAGCGGTAGTAACTAATACGTAGTAGCCATAAGGCGCAGCTGGATGGAATGTATAAATTGGTTCAAACTACTAGGAACGGTATTGTAAATGCGAGGAATGTAGTAAACGCAACGAGTAAACGAATGAAAATAAAGGGAACGATTAGAATGCGTACAAGGAGGAAGGAGCATTGAGGTATTTGGAGCGCGTCCAGGAGGAGGTGCACGCACCGCGTCCTGGACGATGCGGGGTCGTCGACGTCGTTACGGATTTCACAAGGGGATCGACGCGTTACCTAACGGCACGCCGCAAATCAAATTAGTCTAGCTTAGATCGACTTAGGTTAGAAGGTCACCCACTTCGGGGAGAGCAAGGACAGCTCTGACTGTCCCTTCTTCTTCTTCCTCCTCCTCCTCCTCCTCCTCCTCCTCCTCCTCTTCAATTACACGATACCTGTACTTGTCTCTATAGAATTCTGACGATGCATCCGTTTCATGACGCACGCCATATTTTCTCTCCTTTACGACTCTTTCCACATTCGAGCTCGTTTCGGTTCTCCAACTGTCGAAGAAGACGTTGTTATTCGCTTTACGTGTCCACTGTCCCACTTGGCCCACCCACTTGCATGACTGTCCCAAAGAATTTCACTGAAGACAGCACACGGAGCATTGTTCGCAAGGGTGTCAGTGTCTGAGGAAGAAAAATAATTCCAGTAAGAATCGTAGACTGTCTAGAAGTCTAGAAGTGGTACCGGATGAGCGCGGCACGCGCCAGTCGCTTTTTACTTGCCTTCCTACTCCATCCCCTTTCACCTTTTTGCCACCCTTTCTCCTCTTGATCTTTGCTTTTATTTCACGGTGCAGCTCTCGGCTGCGGCTTCCTGCCTCGTTCTTTCAGGCGTCTCGTGGCCATAGTAATTTTAGCTCAGGACACTCCGTAAGTAGTGGGCACAGCGAGTACGCAGAGAGGAGCTGAAGGAGAGAAAGTAAAAAGAAGCGTCAAAGGAATGAGCCCTTCGAGAGGAAGAGATAAGGACAGAAGATTCACCGTAGAGGAAAGTATAGATATAGAGTAAGGTGAAAGAGAGAAAGAAAGGTAGAGAAAAGCCAGAGCGAGAGCGTTCCGAGCAAAGGTGGTAGAGATGGAAATAGAATAGAGAGAGAGAGAGAGAGAGAGAGAGAGAGAGAGAGAGAGAGAGCGAAAGGGAGTCACGTCGAGAGGTCACGTTCGAAATGGAATGGAATGGAATGGAACGGATTGGACAATGTCAGTTCGCGTTTAACTGCCGAATCGTACGCAACCAGTATGTACGTACACGTTAGCGCCGATAAACGGTAAAAGAAGGCGAGAGGCCTCCGCCGGGCCTCCCTTCTTCTCTCTTCTTTCTCTCTCTCTCTCTCTCTCTCTCTTCCTCTTCCTCTATCCCATCACCTAACATTCGCCATCCTTCTTCAACTCGCAATAATTATTTATTTCCTCTCGTCCAATCCACTACCTGCTCCTCCTGTCATACGTGAAATTTCCTTCATACGTGCCGTGTGTACCTCTGTGCCCTCCTGCTGTCTCCAGGTGAGAGTATACAGACTCCCCGTGGAGGAGCTCGCGAATTACGTCACATGGTGCTCCAAGTATCGGTGCCGATGATCCGCACCTGCCATCCATCCGTAAGTTGATAATTGCCTACAATGAGTTTATCTAGTGAGATATATGACAACAGTTCTGTACAAGTATTACGATTTTAACACGATTATAAGAATCAGGATTACGGGTTACCCTGGAATACATACATATATACTTACGTAGTACACGACTTTTTACAAGGACGACTCCTGCAACGGTATCCTGTACTCGCACCTGTGCGTCCGCACGATCCAGCCAAGACGAACGCCCTCCATAGAGATTGTGATAACGATAAACACGGCGATAGGATACGCTCTAACCGCGATCTGGCTCGCGCTCCCAGTACGATCGTGGGCTGATCCAGGCCGATCCAGTACCTCTACACTACCTACCTACCTGCCTACCTATATCTAACTATAATGTCCAAGTATACACCTAGTGCAAGAAGTGTAGGCCGGCTACGAGAACGTCCTATCACCGCCACTCCCTTACGCTCTATCTCTACGTACCTTTCAGGATCCACGATATATCCTGTCGATGAGATACCCACAAGTCCAATGCGTAAGATCCCAAGAGTGATCCAGTCCACGATCCTTTTTCATTATGATCATTCGATTCCGTCGATGGAATTGACTCCTCCGCATCTGCCAGAAGCGTCAGAACTTCCTCTTTGATTAGTGAGAGAAACACAGGAGGGAGTCTCCGGGCGATGATCTAAGCATCATTCACTCATTGTCAGTCTACAACAAAGATCACGATCCCTATTGTAATGATTGTTATACATAGTGTATCTGAGTACCTAATACAGACTTGAATATATACGTAGGCTGGAGTCGTTAAGGAAACGTTACGTAAGGTGCGTGTGCGCACCCCTTATCCAGCTGGAGTATCCAAAAATACTTTTATGTATTTGGTACTCGGGTCCTATTTATTATGTACTATAGTGAGTGTACGTATACCGGTACACGTGTCGCACAAACGTGCACGCTCGTTCATATGTATATATGTGAATACAATCTGAGAAATAGCTGCACGATACGTAACGTGCACTGTATGTAAATTCACTTTGAGCTTCCCTCAACTCGAGTTCGTTGTCGACTGTCCGTACGTTTGCGGTATTCGGAGTATCTTTCACGAATGCCAATTCGTTATTCACTAGGAGAAATCCAGGTAGCATTTCTTGACGATGTTAGAAGGGTACACGTGCATCCGCGTAGCAGATTAAATATGTACAATATAAATACGTATTATACTGTGTACACGAACTAGACGCGTGGGATAGTTTTGAAATACCACGTAAACTTCTTTACCGGCAATGTTTCTCGTGGACGCCATTGTTATGCCTGTCGGTCAAGACAATATATAATCTAATTGGATTATGTCGTATTTCTGCTGGTCGATCGTTTCTTACAAATCGTAACATTTAATAGTCGTGATTTAGCATGCATGTTTGTTACTGGCGAAATTGTTTAAATGTGTCAAGAGTCGTTATTAATAGTCGTTCTAGTCAAGTGTGAAATAAACATTAAATATGGCGGATCTTTAGAGTACGAGTGTGTAGGGTATTTCTAACGCGTGAGCTCGGTAAGGATAATGGCATCCGCCGTAGAATAACCTATTGCCAGCGGCATTGTGCTCTGTCCAAACGTTATGTCACTGTTGTCATTTGCGCGAGTTCTTTATCAATGATCTGGCACGCGTCCTCGATGACTTAACCTCTTAATGCAAACGTTCAACTTGCTAGATGAAACTTTTCTTGTGTCATTTCGAGCAGACCCAGTGCAATCCCAGTGTTCGAGTATCTTCCCTAGTCTTTGTTCTGCTTTCTGTATTCCGTGTTCTATCCTTCCGCGTGTCTCTTTTACTCAGCAATGGAAATTTACGCCGGACAAACCTTCGCCGTTGCTGTTTCATACGTTTGGTAAAGAAGAACGCGTCACGCACTCGAGTAACAAGTAGGTAGTAACGAGTAACGAGCAATACTACGAGTCTTAGGTACGAGCCAGACGTGCATCTTTATTGTACTCTAACCTATACGTACGGATCGAAGTTCGACGAACCTGCTGAAGATTGCCAAGGATCTCTCTTATGGATTGGAATATGTAGTGTCTGCCATAATGCATTAGGAAAGTCAAGAAATGTTTATTGGAGAAACCCCTAACGAGATAACTCAGGAGAATTTTATACAAGTAAGCATATACAATCTTACGCGTGTTAATGTATTCTATATTATTAATTAGAGGTTAGGAGCGAGAGAAATCTACGTGGGTACTTAAAATCGAATTTCTTTCTATAAATACGTGAAGAGTGACGGGGGAACATATCTGTTCGGTAATCGTTTGATACGGAGCTAGGCCATTCTTATCACTGAGATAGTCTTTATCTTTACAAGTTAAACTCCACTTTGTCTCAGACTTCAGCAAGTTAGTCGTTAACGCACAGCCGTTTTGCGTATCTCCGTGCGTAACACGAGCAGTCAGGTTAAGACTGTGCGGTTACACATTGTGCATAATTCAGGACTGTTGCATCACCTGAGGATATTTTTGTCGATTTGTACTCATTTCTATGATGGAATCATCTTCGGGTGGTATACAGGCTTGAATAATCGTGTATATGTGTATCTATGTTTATACAGTCGGTCCACGAGTAAAATATCTTAAAGTGACAGATAGGAACACGTGTTTTATCCTGAGGAGTTCCATAGTCTGTCAGATTAAAGTATCTTGCTCGTGGATCAACTATACTTACCTGAATGCTAGACACAAAGTAACATTCGTGAAGTTTATTATTTAAGAAAGAAATCGGAACCGCGAGTGACCACGAGAGTTTTTCGAGCGTGCCCAACCGAGAAACGTGTATAATCTTTACATATAATGTCTGTACATTTACAGGTTCTGCCTGTTACTGCTACTTTGTGAATTAAATCCATTCGCGAGTCGATCGTCTCCTCGACCTGAGTGCGTTTACAAGTCGCTGAGTGTTTTGAGTGATAAAACAACGTGAAGTGGTAGTAGTGAAGTTTTCGAATATCAGTACCTGTTTGTTCCGACGTAAATAAGAGACATTGCGTATGTTCACGTGCATCTGAAAAAGGACGTAAACAGATTAGAAGGAAAGAGAGGAAATAAAAAACTAATAAAGTCAATTGGATTGTACCGTTCGGTTCAGGCAATTATTTTGGACAGCCGTTCAGTCGAGAATGACGCGAGATGAGGACGCGTGACTCATTCGCGGTAATATCGAAACGTTTTACGTAAGAGGTGCATAACGTAAAACGACGAGTGTTTCTTCTTTTCTTCCGTCATTCCCCCTGACCATCTCTGCCACTTGGTACTTTTCTCCTTCCACTGCCTACTTGGCATCTACTATACTTGGCAACGATTCCCGTGACGATTCAGAATGTTACAACAATTTTTCGACGCTCTTGGCAAAAATTCGGTAATGATAAATTATGTTTTTCTTATCTTTTACTTTTATTTAAGCTACATTATTACACTTACTGTACAGTATTTACGCGTGCATGTGGTTGCATACGATTCTTGTGGCATCGACTCGTTTATTACGATTTACCGTGACATCGTTTTCTATAGCGTCCAGTCAGACAGGTAGAGCCAGGAGAGTGCAGTTACAGTTTACGTGATATGATGGTAGATATATCTAGATGCGTATAATGTATCAGGGAGAACACGTCAATAATGAGTGTATAGATTATATATGCAAAGTCTCGTGGTTCTGATTCTTACTTGATATCTGGGGAACAGACAAACAGACAAAGTTAATGTTTGACAGTGGGTCCGTCGTTCTCTGCAGTCCTGGCGGCACGGTTTGCGTACGAAGGTCATTTCATCAAATGCCCTTTTGAGTGCAACTTCAATGACCAAAAGTGAAATTGTATTGTCAATGTGTCGTGTGTTTCAGGGTCGGAGCGGAATGTCCGTAGGCCCGGGAGGGCAGACGCCGTATAAGCGTACTGCACGGCACGCTACTGTTAACGCAACGACAACTGCGAAAACAATGTGAGTACAAAATAATATGTGTTACCGACCGATTCGTTTTTTTGAATAAGCCGAAGATTTTCGTCATTGTCGGTCTAACAGTTTTTGTCGATCGTGGCGCCATCGTTGGGAGAATCCTTGTACTGCGGGAAGACAAACGTCGCGAAAGATAAGTGGGCTGCTTATCTTCAGTCAAACGATAAAATGTGTAGTGACCAATTGAGTCGCATTTTCTTTCCTTATGAAACAATTTGACGCCTTTATAGTGCGAATAATAAATTATTTACGATATTGGGAATGTCTTATATATGTTTAGCTTTATGATAAGATTTCTAATGGCAAAGTAATTACTATTTATCAAATTTATAAAAAACAATGTCATATGTAACCGTCAAATATCAAAACTCTTTCAACTTGGGGATATAGCTCAGTGGTAGAGCATTCGACTGCAGATCGAGAGGTCCCCGGTTCAAACCCGGGTGTCCCCTAGAATTTTTTTTTATTTCTTCAAGTTCTATCATCATTCCAAATTCCCAATCATTTTCTTAATCGATATCTCAATTCAACCCTAATCACATATCTGTTCGATATACCTGCGAAAGTAATATTTATAAATAAAATTACAAGATGACATCTGATTGAAAATAATCCAAATCTTAACGAAAGCTAAATTACGAGAGCGAAGAGTCAATTATCCGTCTCCTTTTCAATCTCTTTTAAATATTCATTCAGCTCTTTCAAGCCAGTAAGGCCATTGACCCACAGTCAGCAATCGACCTGACCTCATCTATATTTTCCGAACGACACTGACGAATGCTCTTCGTACACTCAGAGATAAATAAATTTTCTCAATCAAACGAATAGCTCAATTAGAATGATTGAGTGCGCCTTCAATAAAGTTCATTTAATTTACAGATCGAAACCAACGCCAAGATCCACAGCTGCGTACACAAAAAGACGGGATCCAGTAGCCTCGCTATTTGCTCCTAGAAGAGCAGGAAACCGGAAGCTCCTTTTAGAAGATCGATCAGAACTGGAAAAAACAAAGCTAAAAGTTCGGTACGTCCCACAGATCTATTAATCATTGAACAAATACCTATTACCTTACTGCTATGTTTGCATAATCGAATTCAAATTTGATAGAGCTATTTCAAACCACTTCACGGTAATCGAAGGACAGTGCAGCTATTATGATATACAATGAATCCATGTATTATTTTCGTCCACACCCATCCTCTCGAGATAAGACTACTTAAATGTCACATACGAAGCCAGAGACACACGCTCAACGACCCAAGTGTACATGAGCACATGTGTTCGAATGACTGACTTGCTATGTCGGCTCGTGTACGAAAGCATCACTTGGCAGAAGTTCAATCGAGTCCATCAATGTGCACGGAAGACGCCTGAGTCAGTGTGTGATGTACAGAGACAGCGATGATATTTCAAATGAACAAGGAGCACATACATCTATTGATTGTCAACATCACGGCGTTACACGTGGTAATAATACTGTTGAGATTTGGCACATGCCATCTGCTCGTAAATCGGCGATCCGCTGAAGGAGTACGTTGCTCGTTGGCACTGGGTGCCATCAGGCCGTAGACACTGGATTGATCATCCTGAATGTTAATGTAAGATCGGAGCTGTTGAACAGCTTGGATAAAAGAGTCGACAGAGCGTCATTGTGGAATCGCAAGAAGAAGCAATAGAGATTCATCGTGTACCAGGATGCTGAGGATGTTCTTTATAGTATTTGACGAGAGCGAAAAATGCTTGAACTCAGCTCGAAGAAGAGGCTTGAGGTTAACAGATGGATTGGTCTTATGTTAGCAAAGCTTGTCTTGGCTTCTATTTATATTCTTTTCTTTTTTCACGCTTCCCTTCTTCTTCTTCTGCGTTTGCCACTTCGCTCGCACTACAGGAACCTCGCGCTGTTGCCGATCCACCAAAGTGGCCAGAAATTGATAGAGAATGGACGGGGAGCGGAAGTGCCTGTGGAGAAGTGGAATGCGATGCCTGAGGAATTGTCGAGGAACCTGAAACTAGTTTCTAAGAGTCTAAGATAACGGTTCGCTTCGAGACAGATAGATAATTGCGAGCACGAATGACGATAGCGTTGTCAGATATTACTGAACAATTGGGCAACCCGATATAACGCAATTTGCCGTCGGTTTCGATTGGCAATTCTGCAAGTGTGTCGAGGGATGGAGAAATAGACTTGTGGCCATGGAAAGCAGAGTGTCTAAAGAGTGACGACTGGAGTGAAAATATATTCTACGTTGAGATGCGTACAGTAGCCTGAAAAATTATTATGGGAATTCGAGTGTTACTCTGGTCCGAGTTATCGTTATTTTAAATCCCCGGAGGCGGACCGTGACGATTGTTACGTTAGTAACGCTTACGAACGGAGAATCAACCGTTCGAGACCGGCGACCCACTGACAAGAGTGCCGGACGCCGGCGACGCTGCCGACGCCGAGCGCCTACGAGAAGTCACGAGCGGCAGCAGCACTTCGTCCTGGCACTTTGTCGCGAATGGTGCGAGCTGCCTACATACCCAGTGAATCAAAAGTACAGCTTGTCGATTTTATTGGTATCTGCCAACATTCACGTATTTTTATATCGATCATTTCCATTTGAATTTAATTCGATCGATGTCATTTTCTTTTTATCACCAGGTATAACACCAGAGTAACGCTTGAACGGTATACCCTGTATACGGTGTACTGGATCATCTGGACATTTGATCAAGTATCGTGGAAAAAATGTTGAGCACGTGGTGTAAAGGTCGGTCGTTGGCACGACTCTGACTTTTCGCGCCCGATTCCCTGTCCAGCTCGCCGAATGGAAACGGGCCTTTAATTGGCGGATTCTTAAAGGAGACCAGACGACCTCAATTGACTCTTCTCGAGGAGTCTCAAGGAAAATCGAGTAGAGACGCGGACGTCCACGTGCTCGAAGGGACCGTTCTACGTGTCGTGTAGTTACATGAAGACAGAGACAGAGGGACGTAGGATGATTGCTGAAGAAGAGGAAAGAAGAATATGAAGAGATGGAAGTGGGGATGACGTCATCGCATTCAACTCGCGGAGTCTCCTGCTTACTCGGCGTATCGTCGCATGCACAGCACGGCGCTCGCGCGCGACAGTCGCGCCTTTAACGGACAATGCAAACGCAGAGTGCGATTGCATTATTATAATCGTCAGTATAGAAATGCGCTTACGCGCGTCAATGGCTGCAGGAGGAATCAAATGAAAATGCATCGGGAGTCACGAAGAGGAAGTTAATGATATTGAGATAAAAATAGTCGCCGCTTCCGACGCCTCCGTGCAAATGAGCTGGAGACATTCCTGCTTGCAGTCGCAATCTTAATTGACTTAGCCATTAGCAGGTACGCGTAGGTATTGTCATTGACATAGAAAGATTCGTTACGCGTCTCTGCTCGATGCTCGAAATTTACATTGGAATTTTGCGTAGCGACGCCTTCGCACACTACGCGTACAAAACGGCTCGGCCGTATTTGTCGCTCCGACTCGGTTAACTTCGGCTTCGTATGCTTCTTTTCTTTCGTCGCTCCGTCCTCCTTGCGTCCAGACAACGTAACAGCCATGCCGAAAGCAAAGCTAACATCCATGGGCGTCTTCTACGTAATCGGGATCCTGCGAAATTCTTATCTTATTATTGTCCAAGACGATTACCGCTCGATTATCTCTCTCTATGCTTAAGCCGAAGCTCTTCCTTCTCTTATAAAAGGCCATGACGTGCCTTTATTCAATGATTTTATTATCACTTTGATACCGACTCGTGTACCGAGTATACACGTATATTATATCTATACGTAGAAGATATCGCCAGTGCGGTTCAGCGAATATACATTGCGATAAGAATGCTGGCGTCGTCCATGACGCTGGTGATAACACCTCTAAGGTGTCGTGTGTAAGGACTTAATATCGGAATACTTTAACACACGTTGATCGTACGAAGTCGCAGATATTTAATTCCTCGTTGATATATTTGTCTTCTTGCTGGATTATGGTGTCTCGGATTTTGTATCTATGAGGTGACCGAGTACTGTACCTCTGTCCCAGGTCGGATTACTGGATCTTTAGTTCTCTAGAATTACATAAGGACGTGGATCGATGGCAGAACTCGTAATCGTGCTTCTCGATTCGATCTTGAACTTTCCGCATGGACGAGCAATATCGTGGAATGGTCCGGATGGCTCTTTACGTTGCTTCAGAAATCATTCGAGTAGCGCAGCAAAGGATGATCGCTCGCAGTGAGCTACTTGGGTTCTGGTTTTACTGTGTGAGACAGATGCCAAAAAAAAATGTAATAGAAAATAATACAGTGGTTTTGTTATTCGTCAGCTGTTTAATTGAGTACTTCTATTAGGCAATTAAAAGTACTTCTCTTTAATAGTACAATTAGCCAAAGAGCGGATACTTAGTTTCCTTTGTTCTGAAATTTTATACTGTTGTTTTATAATCTTTCCTCTTTTTTCTTAGAGGAGATAGTTTTGTGAACACTCGCGTCAGTCAGAGGATTTCCTGATGGATTATCAGAAACCTAAGTACACAGGGACTTATTTGAGACTAGTTAGTGCCCGTTGGAAACGTTTGGATCACCGGGTAGTAACGAGCCATATGTCGACCGTATGAGAAAACTGGTCGGACGGAGAGTCGTCTGCAGATTCCGTGGCCTCCTTACTCCTTAGTCCGCTTCAGGCCCCTTTATGGCCCCTTAACCAGGCCCATTTCTGCCGTCCCTTTCCAAACTTTCCATAGTGACGTTTCTACTCTCTATTCTTATTTTCCAGATCTGTTCTCACTGGGGAACAATATCCGTCGATGGGCAACCGTGTGATAACGGGGCCTCACGGGTCCCCATTTATCTCCCCGATTCACAGTAGTTAATATTAAGGTATAGAGATCGTAAAACTTTGTCGACGTCCACTTCCCAGATTCTCTCATCCACATTTAATCTTTCAGACCATCACCGTCAGTGCTCCTCGCTCTTCCTCGGACATTCATCTACGCATCCTCTTCCTTCATTCTCTTGATCCTCCACGAGTGGTCACGGACCTTGTAAGCCTTTTGGACGTTGACACGAGCAGCAGTCCCCGTTAAAAGACACGAGAGAGCTTGGGTCCTCGTATCCCTCTGGCGGTCCGCATACATACCACACGAGTAAGGATAGGGCCCAAATACTTCCCATGGCGTATTGGGACATACAGAGAATAACCCTGACTTGGTATGGGACCGAAGGGATCTTTAGGGATGAGAGGAACGGAGAACTGGCCGGCAGGAGATGCCCAGAGCGTCTCTGGCGGGGAGAGAGACAAGTTATGCCAGGACAGTCCTGTTGCTTAAGAGATGGTTTGTCCTATGTATACCAGACATTGCTGGTGGTTCTACTAGTAGTAAGTAGTTCTCTCTCTTTATAAAGTTAGACTCACTCTCTCTTTCTCTCTCTCTCTCTCTCTCTCTCTCTCTCTCTCTCTCTCTCTCTATCTCATTCCTTCTCTTTACCCTTACATACTGCGAAACTCTTGAGCACAAGAAGCGAGTGCAGCCTCTCTGGTTCTGCAGTTCTATGCCCAGTACCCCTACCAGCAACAGAGAATCTACCGTGCAGTGGGCCTCAAGGAAGTGGTGGTGGTGAAGAGAGGGGGGAGTAGGAAAACCTCGGTGGAGGGGGTCTTCAAGTCTACAGACTCGAAGTCGCACTCAGTAGCCGATGCACTGTCGTTTTGAACGCGCTGTACTACGGCGTCCCTGTGAACGTCCTTGGCGTCCAGTCGAAAGGCCGCTGGAACATTCGCGGGCCACGAGACTGTTGCCTTCCGTCTCTTGACTCTTGCGCCGATCGTCGTCCAGCATTTTTTTAAAGGTCGTTAACTGTAACTGCCTCGTGCCCCTCATCCTGTGGCACCCCGTGACCCGTGACAGGGATGCCTCTGCCGGATTCCTGAGCGAAGGACCTTGGAGCATGAAACTGTGAGATACGTGAACTCGTGATGGTGCTCGTGGACTCGACCGACGGGGAATCTTCGACTTGAATCTCGGCGTCTTACGAAAGTACCTTTGATCTCGGCGTTACGACCAGTTCTGGCCAAGGTGAAACGTTCGAAAGGCGAGATCTGGTGTGCGCCAACTGGTAAAAGCTGTACGATGCGTGAGAACGAGTGAGATGCTGATATGATAGTCTCTGATGGATCGGAGCAAGAAGCACTGAGATAGGAGTGCAGTTAGACTGAAGCATACCTCGTGGCAGACACCACTGTCTGCCCGCGCTCTCCTGCATCGTTGGTTCAACAAGTGGTCGGTGCAGCGCATCAACAAGTATTGAGAGACTGGTGGTGAAATGAAATTATTGTGCTGGAAATTACTTACTCGATATTCCTGTACTTACAGTATTAATACAACTGCTATTTAGTCTGAGATATAATCCTGCTTACTGGCAGAGTCTATACCTAGCTCGAGTAGCTAGAAGTGCGCACTCGGAGATTGTTGTCAAGATTACCCTAGTGTTTTTAAGATATCCCAGGCATATATCTGCATACCTTGGTAGACTTAGGAAGTAATACCAAGAGTTCAGAAGGATTTTTATGTCGATTTAGACGTTATCAGTCATCCTATTATGAAGAACGAGGCAGTGTTCTGCAGTGATTGGTGGATTCCTATTGTATGGGTGGCCGTAGGCCTGAATACGAGATTAAATGAGACTCGTGGTGCGCAAGGTGTTCTTCAGTGAGGAATGGAAAGAACGACAGGAATGTCGGTCAGTGGTGCTTGGAGATTGGTCATCCTCTGGACCAGTTGTATGATGGGGAACGAAGGATCTTGAAACTGTGCAGTGTACTCGGGCACCTCCAGGACGAGGTCTACCTGGAGACATAGAACGTACTCTGTTTATAGTTCGGTTAACGTGATCTCGATTGATTGGTTAATTGATGGAGTGGACGTATAATAATTAGTGACGCTTATTAATATCATTACCAGCTTTGTGTCTGTGAATTATGACCCTCAGGAGGGTCTTTGAATTTTACAAGAGTATCGTATAGTCCTTAGAGCGACCATGATGAAGTTCAAATCGCTATTTCGCAGAGGACAGCCGAGCCATCCGCCTCAGCAGCAGCCCCAACAGCAGCAACAGCAACAAGCTCAGGTTGGCTTGAGGCAGGCATCGAGCGCTTCGTCGCTCGAAGCTAAATCCGATAGTCTGCCACCTGCCTCGGGAACTTATCATCCCTCTGGCAAGGCTGCAGCCAAGGCCAACGCCAAGGGTCACGCTAAAGCTCCCTCCAAGAGTTCCGCCAGGATGCAGGAGCTCGAACAGGAGCTTGAATTGTTGCGCAAGGAACGTGCCAGACTCGAGGCAAATTTGCGAGAAACTGCGACCGACGTCGAGCGTCTCGACGAGCTTCGTAAGGAGCTCACTTCGCTGAAGGTAATTACTTACTTCTTTTGAACTTTAATTGCTTAAATAACTTTCATGTACTTCGTGCAAGAGAAAATGTCTTTTATTTAATTACACTTCTTCCTTTTACTTTTTACTTAGTTTCTCTGACCTTTCATCCTTGCCTCTCGTTCTTCTTTTTTACTGTGTTTTGCTTCTGCTTCGTCCCGGATTTATACTCTTTTTCTTTATATTCGCCACCCTGTTCTGTGACTACGACGTCTACGATGTCCTCGACCTTATGCGAATACCAGTCGGACAAAACTTTCATTATATTCAGTCAGGATAACTGGCGTATTTATACTGTGCAGTGCAGTATTAATACACAAATCTATATTTTTATTTACCCTAAATTGTATTATTGACTTCATTCTTGTTAAACTAACGGATAATTTCAGTAAAAAGATAAGAGATGGTACAACGTTTGTACAAGTTTCTCATTGATGCTTTTCATTCGGTTTAGAATTCGTACGTTGGAAACACTTTTGTGAATGACTTATTCTCTTGCTGCCAGAGGAACTTTTCTTTGGCAATTTTTTCTGATTTCACTTTGGGCCAAATGTCATAAATGGTTATTGTATAGTTTGGATCTGATTTACAACGCACGTCCTTGTCCTGCTAAAGTTTGCTGCATGAGGGTATGCCAAGGTTTAAATAAAAAAGAAAAACATCCCTGAGGTGTCCGCATTGCGTAACGGGTCGCAGCCTGTCGAGACCTCGAATTGCGAGAGATCGAAGTTACAGTTGGGAGTTGGGAATGTTTACTAGTAGGAAGGTGGAGCGGTATTCTCAGAGCATCCGAGCGTCCCGGGCGAGATGAAAAAACGTTACATCTCCTCGCCTACGGTAAAATATTTCACATTGAGGAAAAACGTTCTGATTGTGCTTAATGAAAATGCACGTTTCCACGTAGAGCAGAAAAGTTGTGATTGATATAAAAGGCTCGATGTTGCGGGAGCTGTAGACACGAACAGACGGTTTCGTGTATCAGGGCGAACCTAACCTCCTACGCGTGACAGCTAGGTTTATTTCCTGAGGCTAGACTTACCGAATTGCCTTGAACGGTGTAATTAAATTTCTCAGGAACTCGAGGATCTCGACTGCGTTGTGACCTGGGGGATATCGGTTTTCCGTAATTTGAGAGTCTCTCAGCCGCGACTAGTGGATAGTGTGGTTAGAGACGGTTTTGACTGGATGTTTTTTAAGCAACTCGATACATTTTGAGGAATTTAAAGTCGTCAGTATCGTGAAATTCTGTTCATTGAGTAATTGCGGATTCTGTTTGGTTACATGCAGGAACAGCATAACGTGGAGTTGGAACGTCTCGCTGAGGAAAACGACACGTTGCGTGCTCGTCTTCGAGATGTGGCACATTCTCCTCTGTCGGATTCCGAGAAGCAGCAACTACTACTTGATGCATCAAGACTTCATAATTCTGCACCTGCTTCTATTGCAATACCACAGGAAGATGGATCTATGGCAATTTCAAACACAGCCCTGGATAGTCCACAATGCACAACACCGGATTGGGATAAAAGATCTTCTAGCTCTGTCTCTGAGGTTTCTGTTGCCTGTCTACAAGACAGGATTTTACAGATGGAAGAAACACATTATTCTACCAACGAAGAGTTACAAGCAACTATTCAGGAACTCAGTGATTTGCAGGTACCTTGCTTTTCTGAATTTTATTCAATCGTAATATATCATATCGAGAGAGTTTAAATGCATTACACATATTTTATTTTATAGGCACAATTAACTGAGCTTCAAGCAGATAACGAGAGGCTGACAGAAGAGAAAGGTGTGTTGTTAGAGTCGCTATGCAGACAAACAGAGAAATTAGAAGATTCTCGATCAAAGGTGGATACACTGCAAGGACTTCTTTTACGCGAAGAGCAACCACAAGAATCACCACAAGGTTACAATACAGAAAGAGAACAGAAACTTGTGGATCTGCTTAAGGTAAGCATATGTTCAAGACATTACAAACTGTTGCGATTCATGTGAATTTTGTCTAATCTTGCATATATAAATATTCCAGAGTGCGCAAGAGGAACGCGAATCTTTACTTTCGAAGCAAGAGGAACTTACTTCAGAACTAAAAAGTTTGCGCGCTACAGCAGATGCTAGTGCAACAGAGACTGAACGACTAACCAAACGAGTGCATCTTCTGGAATCGACAGTGGATGCCGCCAACGTGGAACGTAAACAGCTGGACCAGGAATTAGCCGAAGCAAGACAAGAAGGTGCGAGTCGTAGCATCGAGATCAGTAGGCTGGCCACTCTTCTAGAAAATGCTCGCGCCAAAATCGAGGAACTCGAACAGTCCAGACAGCTGGAGAGCAAGAGCGAAGCCGACGAACTCCTGGACGCTGCACGACGTGAAAAGGATACTCTTGAGACACAAGCAGCGGCACTTCAGGAACAGCTAGCACGTTCGCACTGTGATCACGATCGTCTTCGAGACCAATATTCACAGCTACAGGAAGAGTACAAGGTGAGTCTAACTACGAGAATCCGTTTCATCACGGTAAGGTGTTACTTGTCATCAATTACGTCTCTCTGTCTTATCAGGTGGCTCGAAATAACGCTAAGTCTGCGATCGATGATCTCGAGTACCGGCTGAATCAACTGAAGGAAGAGCGAATTTCTGTTAACTCGGAACTACAGCTTGTGCGAGATTCTCTGGCGGAGTTGCAGGCTCAGTGCCAACGGCATCTAGAGGACAAGCGTGAACTCAAGGCCGCCCTGAGCGAAGCGCAGAGGCGAGAACGCGATGCTCAGGCTCATAATTATGAACTAGATCGTGCCTTAGCCGAGGAGCGTAAATTGCGCCAGGAGGAGAGCACCGAGTGGAAGCAATTCCAGACTGATCTTTTAATGACCGTCAGGGTCGCCAATGACTTCAAGACTGAAGCACAGAGTGAGTTGGAACGCGTCGTTATGGAGAATAAGGCCCAAAGAGACAAACTCAGGGCTCTTGAGGCTCAACTCGACAAACTAAACAAAGGTGAGTCACTCTTTTCTATTTTTGACACCTGTCACGTGCATTTTGTGATATCAAGGTCACGGAATTACATTAACCGAAAATTTATTCCTGTAGTAGAATAATCAAATGTTATCGAACCGACAGTGAATTTACTGTGATTGACATTTTTTAAATGTAATGTCCTCCGTTAATTAAGGTCAAAAAGGATTTTTATCAATTTGACAGCTAATTTACATTAGGGGACTTATTCATCTAAGATTAATTTGAATATTTTTTTCTGGCACTTTTGAATTACGGATTAGAGAGCAACACGAGCTCCACTGATAGGTCGTTCGACAAGATCAATACGTCTGACAGAATATCGACAAACGGAACATTGAAGCGCGGTCGTAGAATTTTGAAAACACGACCCGAGCCCAAGAAAATATTTTCGGAAGCAAATTTATCCGATTCTATTGAACGAGTTTTGTATGGTGAAGACATGTATAGTAAAGTGAGAAAAACATATCCAGTTCCGACAACTAAGAGTCTCGATTTGAACCTTTCAATCAAAAAAGAAGAAATCAGTGAACCACCAATCCTGAAGGAGGCTGTACAAATCGCTGATAAATTAGAGTCCGGCAGGGAAGTCGAATTTTCTCCATTCTTTATCGTGGACTCGATAACCAATTCGGATGCTGGGACGATTTCCGATTCTTTGACTTCACAAACTTATCCTATGCCAAGTTCAAAGTACGACGAAATCAAGATGTACGCGAAGATGAAGAAAGAAATTTTACAAACACCTATATCACTGGAGAATGAGAATACTTTCGAAAAATCCACGGACTCTAAGAATGCAAATTTGGAAAGCGACATGCAGGAGAATTATCCAAAATTGTATACACCAGTTACTTCTTGTTCTAAGATGCCGAATGTTGTTGAAAATCCAATTTTGAAGGACATTACGGCAATTCAAAATACTGGAAAGGATTCCTATGGCATCAACATATCAAACAGCCATTTTTTTGTGCCAAAGAATTACGTCTTTTCGGATAGTAGCTATGCCATGAATGATCTGCAATTTGAGGTCGATCCAGGCATGAACAAGTTACTCAAGGAGAGTCGAGGATTTGATGGCAAAATTAATAACAGCGTTTCACTACCAGATTTAATTGCCAAACAAAATTTTGAAAGCGAGGAACCATTAGAATACAATGAACCTTTATATGCCGAAATAATTGGATACAGTCCTGAAAATAGTTTGAACATCGATAAAAGCAGTTCATTTGGCGACAGTGTATATAGTACCATCCCAGAAATTCCACCTTCAATACCAAAAAGACCTTTGGTAATTAACAAAATAGAAAAAACTGAAATAAAGAAAGACAAGAGACTATTTCTAAAGAAAAAAGAGTCAAGACCAAGCAGCGAAATCGTCGATTCACTTCTTGATGATTTGACTTACCGATCAATTCCTAGGGCACCTAGAAAAGATAATGATTGGTCACGATCCTCTAGTTCACTGGAGGACCTGAGAACATACAATAAATATAGCGCAAACAAAGAACCCGGTAATTCTCTCAAGTTCAACGATAAGATACAACCAGGAAGCGCACGGAATTCAAATTACACTGAAGTAACTTCAACTCCTAAGGCATCTAAAAGCTCGATTGTTGAAGGTAAAAAGTCTGAGAATAAATTCGATAAGATTATTAATGACATTGAAGTGGTGACTGCTACGCCAATAATGATTACCGATTCAGACAGTGCAGAAGATCGTTCGAATTCGCAGAAGATCAAAATGGATCCGAAATCTAAAGAACCCATCAAAGAGATTTCTATCCAGAATCCAAATCCAGATTTAATAATGGAGCCAAAAATGTTCTCGCTAAAAAGACCAGTACGCACTGTAGATCCTGTACCGTTACCTAGAAAATCTTTGACTCCGCCACCGGAAGTTAGTCCAAAGAAATTGATATCACAAAAGCGTTTCACAGTGAGCGTGGTCCCGGAATCGGAAATACCACAACCAATGAAGGTAACGATTCGAGAAAGTCCAAGTTCCACGTTAGAAAGACGTAATTCTTACCCATCATTCGTTTCATCTGAAACGAACAAGGAATTATCTGCGGATGACCTAGACGGTAGAAATTCCATGCCTTCCTTGAACGGTGATTCCCAATCTCCTCAATCAATGTCATCGACTGCTCAATCACATACGTCCTCGTTCGTAGCATCAAGTGGAAAGCGAGTCGACTCCAAGGAAGGAATATACGGAAAGCTGCGTCACAAGTCCGTAGCAGACGTTCAAAAGAAATTCGAGGAATTGTCAAAGAGTCGCGACAGCACTTTAACGGCCAATAGAAATTCGTCATCGTCGCCTAACAAACTGTCGACTAAGGAGTCAAGTTTTGCTGCGTCGTCCGACCAATTAATTCAGCACGAGTTTCGCAAGCCGACCGACAGCGATTCGAACGAAGCAAAACGCAACAGGTTCCTGAGGGAGTCGAGTGTCCAGGAAGATTCTGTGGTCTTGCGTCACAAGAAATCCAGGAGTTTTGACAGTGCACAGTGTACCTCCTCGAAATCTTCATCATCGAAGAATCCACGAGAGTTTGGAAAGGTTCGACCAAGTTCCTTCGACGATATCGAACCGGTTGTTGTCATTGAGTCTTACGTATCTGAAAACCAGGAGAAAGACTCAGAAATCCTGCTGGACAAGAAGCGCAACTCCTTTAACGAGCGCCACTCTTCGCTGAGACGAAGATTCGAGACGATCCTGGAAGACGTGGAATCGCGACCTGATCGAGGTCTACGAGGACGCTCCACGTCGGTCAGATTGCCTAGCGACCGTAAGTCGCGAGAATAATTGTTGCTTCAGTAGAGGGGCTCGGCCGGTCGAATTGTTGTGTGTCCTTTGCTCGAGCTAGAAGAAGAAAACTCCGCCATTACTTTCTTTTACTTGTCCACGTACAACATATTTGGGTGCACATGTGCATACGTACCTGGGCTATTGTGAATCCTTGTAAATCATTGTGGACCAATCGTATATCTTCCCACAATTTTTCTAATCCTTAGAGTTTTTAAATCCTTATGCTTTTAATGTATCGTCCAGTTGACAATGTACCTGCTTCCACGTTCACGTACTCGAGGTTCACGGGATGACTCCTGATCGACTGTGAGTCACGAAGAGTGTCAAGATGTTTCCTGGGACGTACCTGAACGTCATTGTCAGAAACAACAATAAATGCCTAATGTGTTCGTCGTTGGGAAGTGAGCAGCATACGTCATCGACCGTCCAGTCGATAAAATCGTCTTTTACAATTTCCTCTAGAAATCTACGCTTTGATCTAGCGCTTCCGGCTTTGATTTTTATCTTGAAGTCATTAGTGAAATTCGTCATTGACTTATCCTTTCTATTTACAGCTAATCAGAAGAGCACAATGCCACCACCAGCACCAAGACCGGCCAGTACGCCGACGGAAACGCAGCAGAGTGTCCTTACCAGTGTCCAGCAGGAAATGGCGGCCCGACGTAAGGCAAATATTTCACGTCAGGATTCAAGACTCTCTGTCAAGTGTCTAATTGAGAGCATTGAGAATGCTACCAAACAGGCTAAAGCTGGTAATCACGCTGTTTGCATACACGACGTTACTCTGTTTAGAAGTGTCGCCATCTGTTGGAAGTAGAGGGTCTGATTCTTTGTCCAGGTCCAGGAAGTCGCAGTAGCTCCACGTCCTCGTTGAACTCAATTGGTACAAACGACATTATATCACTCAAGGCACCACTCAGGGATCAACAGCAGACTAACAATCTGATCTGTACGAGCAATCCTACGAATAACAACAAGACCCAGTCGTCGAACACCAGGAAGCCGCTGTCGGGTAATTGAACTGCACTCAGCCTGTACCTAGCATAAGTGCGTTACGCGTGGTGCCATAATCTCGTTGGATTGACGTATATGCTTGTAATCTTGAAAAATATCTGTTTGCTAATTGCTTTTTGCAAAATCAATTTGCAATATTTACATACAAGGTGAACACTGACAACTATTAGCAATCTTGACAGATTTCTTAGACAAATTTTTGCTTGCAACGCTCATGTTTTGTCTATTGAAGAAAAATGCTGTTAGAAAATGCACGCTTCTGGTATCAATATACTAATATTGTAACGTCGATACTTTTTCTTTCAGCAAACGAGCGCCTTGTATAATTGCATGCAACACGACTTCTTTTTTTTTTTTTCTGCACGTTAATAAAACTTTTGGTATATCCTTTTATTTCTGTCTCTCTCGCACGCACGCAGTTTACTTTAAATTCACTTTACAACCATTAACCTTACCTATTCGGCTAGATCCGAAATATTATTCCCAAGAGCGTCCCAGGCACTAAAAGTCATTCTAGGCTAAGACAAAGAAAAAGATGGCACGCAGTAAAACCTAAGAAAATTGAGTCTCGCCGAGACGCAAAGATACATAACAGAAATAGTCATTGTCCTTGCTGTCGGTAATTCAGAGACGAAGTCGGTTCCCGTGGTACTGAGTCCTGGCGAACTACTGGATTCGGCGACACTCAACGCCAAAGCTATCGACTTCGTGAGACGCAACAGCGTGACAGATCTCTCCGAGCGTAAGGATCCTCTCTGCGGTCTAGTGAAGAACGGCGGCTCCAAGAGGAACGCCCTCCTCAAGTGGTGTCAGAACAAGACAACCGGCTACAGGAATATCGATATCACCAACTTCAGTAGCTCCTGGAACGACGGTTTGGCACTTTGCGCCATTCTTCATTCGTATCTGCCGGATAAGGTACCCTATGACTCCCTGACACCTACCGAGAAGCGCAGGAACTTCTCAATCGCCTTTTCCGCGGCTGAAAGCGTCGGAATACCCACTACTCTGGTAGGTATCCCCGTTGCTTGTTACCTTCTCTTTATTTAAAAAAAAAAAATATTTAATCATTTAGTCGCCACTTTTCTCAATTATAGAATATCGGCGATATGTGCCAACTCGAGCGACCTGATTGGCAGCAAGTCATGACCTACGTAACGAGCATCTACAAGCACTTCGAGACCTAACCTAATCTCTCAAGTTCCGGTGAGTCGGCGTCGTCGCCGTCATCGATTGAGCCAAGGAGAACACGACCCGCCGAAATCCATTTTCCTTAACCCGCTCCCATCCCACCCTCTTCTCGAATTAATGCAAGCAAAAACAAGGCATCTAGTCAACCGAACTTTGCGGAGGATAGGAGTTTTTTTCTCTTTCCTTTCTTTATAATACCAAGAGGATGGCGAGGACTCGAATTTCCTCCAAGTGAATAACCGAAGAACTCCATAGCCTGTGCTGGCTGGGAGGGGCATTTCATCATGTTGTTTTTTCTTCCTCGTTTCTCAATCCCTCCTTAGTTTTCCCTTATCCGCCTCAGTTTTTTTTTTCTTTTTCTATTCTTCTCTGTACATATAACTACTAAGAAGTCTGAGACTTTCAGCGATACGAAGGAGAGAAATACGTCGAAAGGAATTGCTTTTCTAATGAGACTGAACACACACCTACATACACAGCTACGAGTAACTTGTATACAGAACACGTACATAAATACACGCAGGCATATGCTATACAAATTTATGTATATGATATAATAATAACAATAATAATATAATATTAATAAGACGCAGAGATGGGTGTAAGGGAGGAAGAGAGGAAGCGAAGAAGCTCAGAGAGAGAGAGAGAGAGAGAGAAGAATGTGTTTGTACGTTATAAGACAGAGTGTTACAAATGAAATAAAAAGAGACAAATAGAGAGGCGACAGAATCGAGAACAAAGAAAAATCACGTAACGGATAAAGAAGAATGTGTTTGTACGTTATAAGACAGATGTATATGATATAATAATAACAATAATAATATAATATTAATAAGACGCAGAGATGGGTGTAAGGGAGGAAGAGAGGAAGCGAAGAAGCTCAGAGAGAGAGAGAGAGAGAGAGAAGAATGTGTTTGTACGTTATAAGACAGAGTGTTACAAATGAAATAAAAAGAGACAAATAGAGAGGCGACAGAATCGAGAACAAAGAAAAATCACGTAACGGATAAATGGTGGAGAACAAGAGAGAAAGAGAGAAGAGAAATGGCCGTAAAAACTGTGTACCCGATAAAACATTATGTCCGACGCAAAAATATTGTTGCTCGTGCATTGAACTAAAATTTAAACAGAAAAAAAAGTGCATTTACGAAGGACGATTATAAAGGCGGAGCTTGTGCTTTTGCGTGCGAGAATATATTAACTATTAATTAACGAATAACGTAATTAGTACTAGCGAAAGGGGGAGATGAAGACGTTTGAGTGTTGCGTTCCTCGTACTATGAGTATTTTTGTACGTGTATTATTTTTCGATAAACTTTTGTGTAAGTTGCACGTTGTGTATAGAGAAAGAAGGAGGAGACGAAGAAGAGACAAAAGAAAAGAAATAATACGCCTTAATTTAAGAAAATCTTTAATTTATTGCATTAGTCCGCGTTTAGTGTATTACCGTGAATTGTGGTGAATATTTCATCCCCACCAATAACCTCTTCCATCCCATACACACCACCATTTATCCCACCATGATCACTTCGTCTTTTTTTATTTTATTTTAATCATTTAATTTCATACTTTTACATTTTTGTTTTCTTTTCTTTTATGATGTACTCTTGATTTCATATTCCCCCTCCCACTGTCTTTCGTTTCACCGCAAATCCTTATAAACTTTGGACGAACGAAGGAAGAGCGAATTGAGATTAAATTCTCTGTGATATAACGATATACATATAGACCGCATCCTCCCAGCAAAAATATAAAAAAAGAAGGAAGAAAGTAATACGCGTTATCGTTATAGCTCTTACGATTGCTGCTACTACTATTATTATTATTGCCAATAATTATCATGAATCATCGTCATTGTGCTATCAATGTGGACAATACCGGGCCGAATAACGTGAAACAATAAACTTACCTAACGTATGGAGACCCGTACTGTTTGGAGTTTTATTTCTGGCCAATAAACGCGGGATTAGGTTCTCTGGTATATCGAAACGATTACTTTTTAACGGATATCACCACGCCTTTCCTCCTGACGATACGTATCGCGTCGCTTCGTTAGGGTCGATTAAGGATCAACGAGCCGGCTAATAAAATTTGAACGAGATCACGTACATCCGTTTTGCGGGGCTACGAGTCATTGGGTAGGAGAGTTCGAGGGGGATGAACAATGCTTTTTCTTGTCATCTTCTGGTAAAAGATTGGATTTATAAGCGCGTAATGATCATACGTAGTTAACGAAGTGAACGAGGTTCGTTCGCATTAATAAAATTTATTGATTCTTTGACGTCCATAGGACTCTAGCATTTTAGACATACTTTGTCTTATCGTCCTTATGTGATTGGCTATATACAAATTAGGTTTGTTTGAATATCCTGTGGATATTCTTGTCCTGGCTCTTGAACAATTATCAATGATACAAATTCCAAAGTTTCAGGGTCGTTACTCTTCTGGTTGAAGTGTTCGTAGTCGAAGATGCTCCGACTGTTTCCTGGTCAGTCACGTCTCATTCACGTCGAGTTTATCCTGATCCTTTTCGCCCGCGTAATACTCGTTGGCTGGTTCCACCATTTTGTCTGTGTCTTGGGTATTTTGCCGGGAGTCTGGGTCAGGCTCGGGTTGTCTGTCTTCCTCTGGAGGTAATGCGTCGCAAGGCACGTCTTGCATTTGTACGCTTGGGGAATGCTGGACCATTTTTAAATTGTCGTAGACATGCCTTGTGATTGCTTCGAGGTATTGTTTACTGTTGGCATTGTCTTGACGCGTTACTACTTCTGGGTGTAAGGTGAAGTCTGGTGCAAAGTACTCCAGGTATTCTGTGTATGGTAGTTCATTGCTTATTTGTTCGTCCAGTAATAGGGATGTCTCATAAGTCCAGCATCGAGCAACGTTTCTTAATGTGTAACCACCACCACCTACTGCTAGGAGAGGCACATTTAAGTCTCTGACAAACTTAACACATTCACCGTGTCCCTTGGTACTTAGACTGAAGCATCCTAAGCGGTCATTGGCCAGGGAATCTGCTCCACATTGCAAAACTATTGCTGTGGGCTGGAAGAACTCCATCACATGGGATATGACAGGCTTAAACACTTGGACATAGGATGTATCGTCGATACCTTCCTTTAAGGGAACATTTACAGAATAGTAACGACCGCTCTCTGCTCCAATTTCATACATATCACCAGTTCCTGGGAAAAAGTAGTTGCCATATTTATGGAAGGAGACAGTCATTACTCGATCTGTTAGATAAAAAGCTTCTTGAACTCCATCTCCGTGATGTACATCGATATCAATGTATAGGACTCGAGCATGGTATTTGAGCAACTCCAAAATAGCTATGACAATATCATTAATGTAACAAAAGCCTGAAGCTTCAAACTTCTTAGCATGATGTAGTCCACCGCTCCAGTTAACTGCAATGTCACAGCAATTATTATTCAGCTTTGTGGCACCTTCGAGAGAAGCTCCAGTGTACATGGAACAAAAGTCGAAGAGACCCTCAAACACTGGACAGTCATCTCCAACGTTAAAATGACTGAGATACTTGGTGTAACCCTGTAGATTCTGGGGTGTCACTCGTTGTAAAAAATCCACGTACTCATCCGAATGGAACCGGCACATATCGTGTGTACTGGCCCTATATGGTCTATATATTTGCATCTTTTTGTGCAGTCCATAATTAAGAACAAGACTATGAATAACAGAGAGTCTATGAGGTTTCATGGGATGACCAGGTCCATAATGAAAGTTTCCTACGTCAGGATTATAGAAATACGAGACTTTCTTGTTGTAACTCATATTGAGGTTAGCCTCGTCAATTACCGTCACTCCGAAACTAATGAAATCTTTCACAAATTCTGATAGCTCTGAAAACTCTCACAAAATCCCACTTTTCACACCATCCGTAACCCAAATCCACCACGTCAACAAATCTGACACTTAAGTTTATCGAACATTCCTTTTGCAAACACAAATCTCGCGTGAAGCGTCATTGCACAGCTAGTTCGGTCTCTCACCGACAGAGGGAAATCCATACGTAATTGAAATACATTTTTTACTCCCAGCTCGCATCCGCTTTTATTATCCAGTCTGGTCAGTACAGCCTAGAAAAAGAGATCCGGTAGAAACGCTAACAACAAAAAAGCTTGAGCTCATTAATTAAGCTTTATTTCCCAATGGCGCTCAAACAGATTAAACCATTTCGCTACTCGGTTTACATTAGCATAGAAGTATTTTCGCCGTTGCCTCGAGGCGCGACTAAAAAAATAATGTGGCAAACATGGAGCAAAGAGATAGAACGAGCACTAAATTACCACATTTTGTAATATGTTCACAGTCGTTCAGTAACCAACATAAACCCGAAGGCAAAATAGGCGCTTGAAACGGTAAACGGGTGAGAGGTAAAGCGCCTTCGGTATAAATATAAATAAACGCGCGAATACAAGAACAAGATAGAAGATTATGTAACAGGATAAAGAATCACATAAAAGACTGCGGAAAATGAATAAAACAAAGGAATACATAAAGACCAGAGTCCGGTCTTCATGTTTGTATGTATAAGCATACTACATGTATATATATTTACATTAATTTAATCCTAACACCGTTCCTGTATCGTAGCTTCTCTCTCTCTCTCGTAGCAAATGGATACTAACGCATAACGTTAAGCGGACTTTACTTTCTTGTCGTCAGGGGAAGATATACCGCTTTGCATAATTCCCGCTGCAAACGAGTATCGAATGACGTACAATTTAATCGAGTCTGAAACGTTTAAACATACAAAAAGTCAAAACAGTTAGACATCACGATACTACTACTATAGTACATACATAGTAACATCAGAAATCGATATAGTACATTATAACTGTTATGATAGACAAGAATTTCTAATCCACTTGTAAAATCATTAGATAGCTCAACAGCCGCGACATTATTTAGTGAATTTCGCTCTCGCGCCAATTGAACAACATCCGGACTTCTACAACTCTGTCGATTTCTCAGTTGGTTGAACCGTGTCACTGATAAAAAAAATGCTTAGACAGTACCAGAAATTTCTTGGCTATCATGGCAAAGAGATGATTCCAGGATACGAAGCGTCTCATTATGCGTGCATAGAATAAAAGGAAACTTTCTCCGTCGAAACGGAGATTTGTCGATAATTTCGATTTGTCTGTTTCTTATTATTTTTTTACTAATAAAAGATGCACATACCGACTGTACTTTCGTATAACCTCTACAGTTCGTTCCTCTCTCCGTTGAAACGCGTATTAATGTTTACAGACCATACTACCTTGCGTTACAGATACTATGTTTTTCTTGGAGAAATAAAGCATTACTTAAGTACATATCACGTAGATGATAAGGCAAGATAATAATTATGATATTACGATAGTCGCGAAGCTGTTACCGCTGCACATCTGCCATTCTCTATACCGTTATGAGTTTCGTCTTTTACTTACGTGGCGGCGTGGCAACGTATTCCCGGGAAAATATAATTTATTTGTACGTAACGGGAAGGAAGTAGATCGATAGGCTCGTCTTGATGGTTGGAAGAACTGTAATGCCTCCTAGAATACCTCTTTTCATTGGCAGCTCCATTTCCATCCTCCTTCATCTCGTTACTTCTTTTTTTTTGCTTCACGCTTATCCTTATCTCTCCCCTCGAGATACATATTCTCTTCTTCGTCCAACTGCTCGCACGCTTCAGGGTTTTCCTGTATGATAAGCTACGTGGCTGTTCGGTCACGCGAGACGGGAGAACTTTGAGCGTCGAATGTACCCATCGTCAGAGAATTCCAGTTTAGTGATACATAATCCTTTTTGACGAAGGATTCGAAAATTTACTAAATATATTAAATATATTTATATAGTCGCTCGGGAACGCGTTACGGTTAAGAATTTCTGGTCATCGTTCTGGTTACCCAGATCGAACGAAGGCGAAGAGTCGACGGTTACGCCTGAAGGCACTTGACTGACTCTGGTAGTAGCCAACGTTCTTTCTTCAAATGCGTAGCTCAAATTAATAGAAGATTACGAAATGTTGGATGCTTACGTTATTATAATTCAGCCTAGCGATAGACATAACGAACGTAATCAGTAAATACCGAATGGCGTTGTCAGAAGTAGCGAAATGGATAATAGCCCTGGGTCCGTTACTTGAGCAGAGTAGTAGATGAGTACACGCCAGCGGCAAAATGATGGAAGCTAGTAGGATGCATATTCCAACACGCGATATCAGCACGCTAATACATCCTGGCATTACTCCCGTTTATCCTCCCGGCACCGCTGGTAGCTGCAATCCACAACCAAGCAGAATAGGAGCGTCAATTAAGTTGCGCAATTCAGCCCCGGTAGTCGGAGTCCTTGCACGAGTGGGATACGCGGGGGCATTACAAAATTTCATTTAATGACAAGCCGCTAAGCTTAAGACTCCCTGAAAATAGCAACTCTCAACTTTGGCTTCTTTATTTACGTAAAAGATTGAAGCTGCCTATACAGGGTGCCCATTACAGCTAATTCCGAGTGCAAGCGTTAAGGTAATTCGAAGGTCAACCATCATTGTTTCAATGGGATGATGCAATTTTTCTTCCGGAACTCTGCAATTTCTGTCTCAAACATTTTTTGTGTCTGACTTTGTTCCCAAAAAAATCAACCTCATCGCTATAAATGCCCCACCCTGTATATATATTGTTTCACCTCGTACCAAATCATCCTCAGGTATAATCATGAAATTACACTTATTCCAAGATACAACATGTATTACGTAACCAAGCAAATAAGATTTTATATTAACAGGAGATATATTCAGATTCAAAAATCGACTTCCCGTTACCATACGGATTTAACCTGGTACAGTTGACAGGCGGAACTAAAGGACCATACATACTTTACTCATCCACTCTTCCTCGACCGTGCTAACTAAAAACTCTAGAGTAGCCCACTGTGGCTACCGGTGAATACGTTCACACGTGAACGGTACAGACGCGTAAAATCGAACGATTGGAGATCTGCGTGTCGACGTTCGATCCATCGACGTTCATTGACCCATGGAGACGCTCTGACTCCGATCCGAGAGTTCTTCGTCGTTGTATCATTTCTAAAGGAGTAAGAGATGAACTTTCACGAAATTCTTACAGCCTGGAATGATGTCTTCTTCCTAGATCATTATTGTCCGCGATCTATTCTTTGATTATGATTACGTATAGCCTACCTTTCTCTTAATTTAATCCGCTATTTATAGCCTTAAGTAAGAACGATCGTTCTTTGATTCATTGTCATGTTTTTGGTCATCCTCGTCATCGGAGGATTGAGTCACGTTAATTCTTTAAAATTACTATTCTTTTTTGCTTACTTTTTTAAATGAGACGCAATTTTTCAGTCAAATTCAACTAAACATATAGACCAACAAGAGAGCTATTGTTAATAAAAAAGGTAGATTTTTATATACGAATTTATTCAACAACTCAATACAGACAACTACATATCGACGACTGACTGCTTCTCACAAGGCAGTCTTTTTATAATACAACTTTGTTTGACAATTTTATAGACTAAGCATTTTCATAAGTTCATTGTGCTACCGCATTCGCGGTCATCGCACCGATCATTGCACTATGGTGCAATATTCGTCAGCATAAATGTATTTCTCAACAGCTATGCAGTATTGACATGATTGGTATAATTTCAAGGTCCAGATTCGTCTCGTTCTCCATTATGACCCGTATCCTCCCCATTTCTCCCATCAATGAAAATTGGTCAGTCATGTATAACTCCTGCGTTCAGATATGAATCAGTATACAATTTTACACAACGAACAGTGGTAGTGCTTTGAAAGTCATCAAGTGATAATGGACCGTTTCTGATAACACGTTCGAGTCTAATCAGTAAACAGATGTAAACAGTAAATCTACTTCCCTAGAACATCTCACCGGATACATGGCTTGATTAAAAACAAATCTGACTTATATAATCACTCTCCAGTTGGTCGAATTCAAATAAACACGTAGCCGCGACACAATTGCATTAGCTAGAATGCGAAAGTCCGAGTGAACGTAAAGGTTAGGATGGATTTGTAAAGCATCGCACGATCCGTCCTCCATCGGTATGCGAACTCTGGTTCGACGCGACATTGACAGCAGCGTAGTGGCGGACGTCGAATCGAAAGTGAGATTTCACTGATTTTCAACATCTTCGAGGAAACGTAGATCCTCATGGGATTGCTGGACCTTCCTTTTCTCATTCCACGGGTGAATCCTCTTGTACCCTAACAGAGTGAGATAATTATCAAAATTATTATACCGTTCTTTATCAGCATAAGTAGATCTTAAAAAATAATCAGGAGTCTTTTTCAAATTTTGCCAACCTTGGTAAAACTTGGTAGTCTATGTCTGAACGTTAAAACCAACCTGTGCATCATTGCCTGTCATCCACCATATACTCATCACTAAACATATGCAACCACATATCAACTATGTGTAAGTCAACGGGTCAACTAATAACATTCTCAGTAAACAAATTCAAATTGTTATGGGATACTACATTATCGTAATGGCATAGTATATATATTACCCATATAAATATTTACATACCGGTTGGTCCAGTCAGTGAGGTCTTGAACGTCCATTTAAAAAGAGCATAACTAATACAATGAACGTTGACCGTAAAGTCATAATCGACGTCAGCCATTACGTCACTCCGAGAAAGAAATGCTTGTGAAACGGTCTCTTCAATAATTTTCTCTTCTTTTCTCATCGACTGGCATTCTTTCCATTTTCCTTGGACGTCTGTCTCTCTCGGGGAGAAAGTATCATAGCAATGTGCACGACGAAGAGAGCAATGCGTGCGAGTGGGTGATTAATGCGTGTGACCTTGACAGGGCATTGCACCTGGAATATACGAAGCCACGTAAGCGCGAAGCGTATCTTTCTTGCGCGCTTTGTGAAAAAAAAGCAGATAAAGGTACCAACACAGGAGAAATAATCTTTAGCCAAGCAGGAGAAGTATCCCGTATATTCTCTCTATACGGTTTACGTGTTGGTTCTTCTGCTCCTCCTATCTACGTGCCTGATGGTCTTTTCTTCTTCTGGCCTCTTTTTTTCTTCTTCTCTTTCTTTCTTTACTCCCCGGTCATCTCTTCTTCCTGTACCCTCTCCTCCTCGTGCTCTCTGCAGACTTGATACTTGGCCAACTCAAACGACTCCGGAGGACGAGCTCTTTGTCCTTGGTACATCAAACGCAATCGTGCGTGCCTGCGTAAGTAAGACGCGTGAGTGTACTTGGATGTCTATGCTAGTATCTTATTCTACTTACGTGTGTACTTGGAGATGCGTGCTTTGCCCGTAAAACAGAATGAACGACGAAACGCGACATAAGCAGCGGCGTCCTAGACATTATTTTTCCTTCTTAATACGTAATGACCATTCTACCGAAATATCCATCCGGAATAGGCTTGTAGATCTGTAGATAGAAGTTTAATTATCAGCTATGGTTTTAGAGTGGGTAATTTTGAATTTACATTATAAATGTAGGAACCGTATGAATTATTGAATTACGAGATAAATAGAGGTGATTAAGGACATTTGAAATAATTGTGAAATTTACGAAATCTTCTTTGGACGTTATATCGACTTTGAGGATGCTCGTTAAATCTTCAAAGTGAATGAGTCGACGACAGTTGTTGGCACTGCTGGTCCCCGTGGAGGAGGAAGAGGAGGACTAGGATGATCAGAGGGCGGTGGAGCAAGACGGGATCTCAATCGAAAGTGCAGCTCTGAAAGCGAAAGAGAAAGGAGATGATGAGTATAGGAGGGATGACCTTTGGTCGTTACGAAAGCTAAGGGTGGTGTTGAATTTAGATGCTGGAGGTGGTGAAGAAAAAAAAGTCATCGGTAGCGAAGGGCAGGTGATATCAGGGATTGATAGGGTCGTATCCCATAAAATTTCATATTTGACTCTATACGATCAATTATATATATTGATATATAATTATACCTGATCACTTCTTTTTATCATAGATAATCTTGACGTTTCAAGGCATTCTTGAAATGTGAACCGGTAGCTGCGCGCTCGTTTACTTGATTACAAGCTGGACCTCGTACAGAATCTTCATCAGCGATTTCTCCATCTTATAGCCGTCCGGTATGCAGAGACGATTTCTATTGGATCAATACATATGGATTAGATCTTTTTACTCACAGTTAAGGATCACTCTCGTTAACTTCGACCATCGATCACTCACAGACTCAGAAAATCCATATTCAACAGTTAAAATTTATACCGGGTACTTGATGCGAGTTTAGAAAATATTCAATTTCATCCTACATGCAAATTCGCCATAACGCTCCTGATCCTTGATGAAAATGTAAAACTTGGACTCCATCTTGAGGAAGAATATAATTAACAAAAAAAAATTAAAAAGAGAATCCAATAAAGGTATAACAAGACCGTGGGATATAAAACGTATACGGTGAGAATAATGAAAATGGCAGATAATATAATATTATGAATAATGTAATGGAACAGTAGGACGTAGCACTGGCAAGCATAAAAGTGCAGGATGGGTAGGTAATTGGGCATAGCAGCGACGAGGAAGCAAGTAGGTAGGTAGGTTGGTCGGTTAGTTGGCTATACTCGTTATTTAGCGATAACGAGCACGCAAACGCGAAGTGCACTCGTAGATTCACCTTGAAGAATAGTCCGAGTATATCAGACTAATTTGTACTATCTGTGCCAAGTACTTGCAAGTGTGATATTTTCAGGATCTGGAACAATCCTCAGTTTGCCCTGACAAGTCCCAGTGTTTACCTGCAATAAAAAAGGCTGGCTGATTAATCGAAAGCAAAATGGTCAGGGACACTTGTATTTTATTACCCAGATTGAAAACTCTCTAAAGGGAGATCGGCCTTGGCTCATAATCATCTTCAATTCTTTTTTCAATACCTACTAATCGAATTCTCGCACGTTCCAAAAGATATATACTCATATATAGATATACCACGTATACATGGTACGATATACTCATTCATACTAATAGGGTAAAATCGCACAGGACCCCGATGGAAGGAGGTCTCGACGCACAAGAGGCAAAGCGTCATAGTAAAAGCGTCGCGGCGCGAACGTTGACGCTAACGCGAGAACGTTCCAAGGATCTCGGGCGTCGTACGGGCATTTAGAGCCTAACGATCCTAAACGAACTGACTCATGACAAGTGGTTAGTGCTCTCTTGCGCAACGTCAAACAGCGCTTTAGATCCTTAGATCATTGGCAAATGTCGTTCGTAGGTTATCGTTGTATTGATAAGTACAGCAATCGCGTGCTGACACTCCGCACTGTAACATGAAAATCGTTCCAAATAGAATTCAGTTAACTTTCGCTTATGTCCTCGAAATCGTTACGATACGATTGTCCTGATTGACTTCCCTATCGCGCCAACCGTATCTCGCAGTTTATTACAGGCTACGTCACTTCCGTCACCTTCATCGTCTCCATTACCTTGTGCCACCTTCCACGCAAGCACTTCCTGAGGCTTTATTGCTGTCAGCGTGACACCGTTAGGTTAGGTTAAGTCATTATGGGTATACGCGCGGCTTCTGTATTTAAAATATAAAAATTCATATCCCCAAAGTAAAAGGAAACTCGAATAAACTCACCTACGAGTACAGGCAACAATCAATATTTTCCCTGGTAGTAATGTCAGTAGCATCGTAAATAAATATCTTTACAGACTCTGTGTTTGCTTTGAATTGCTTATGAGAGTCCCAATAGGGGAATAAACGCAATTCGTTACGCACATTGAGGCAGGCGTGATGTCGACTCGTTTGCATGGCTGCGAGGATTGGCCAGGGAGTTGTTGAACGGTAGATAACGAGCACCAGGATATCCCTTTGCCGCTGCCGAGAAGCACCACGAGCACTATGAGGTTAGGAGAGCGTGATGGCTGGCGCGTATGGAGTTACTTTGTTACATTTAAACCTTTCGACGTCTTAATCGGTCCGCCTTTATTAGCTACAGAGGTTCGTACTGTGTATACAGATATGCGCGACGAGAGAATAAAAGCAGAAGCGGGAGAATAAAAGAAGCAGCCTTAGAAAATCCTGATTACATTTGTATACACTTTGTCCTTCGTTAATGCCCGCGGCTCTTTGCCGCTTCTTACTTTGTACTAATCTATCTACGTCCCTGATTCTTTGAGAATCCACTGAGCGTCGGTCGAGCTTCGAGCTCTCATATCACCTTTGCTCGTTAAGTACATCTTTCTCAATACGAGACGCGCCATTGTGGTTCAGCGCTCGAGCGACCGAAAATATCCGTAAACATACGAAGCGCTAGTCGAATGTCAGAGGTACGTAATTTGGCCGACGAGTTCTTCTAGCTTTATTTGCCACGTTGAAGATTCACTACTCTCAGGAGGGAGAAAGGTTTCTTGCTGTCTCCATCCTCTCCACTATTATTACTCTCTTTCCTCTTCGTCTCTCTTCCTTGCAGGCCCTTACAATCCCCACTGCTTATGTTTGCGTCTCCTTCTGCCCGCAGAGCCCGAAACACGTAGACGGTCTTACTAGCATAAGCGTTTCTCTTACTCGCTCACTCTAGCATTCTCTATTACTCTCTTAGACAGCGAACCCTCCCTCTCTCTTTCTCTCTCCTGCTATTTCCATCTCGCTCGCTCACCCGCTCATTCTCATTCCCTGACTCACTTTCAGCCGTTCTCGCTCTCCTTGTTCGACGAATTGTCGTTGGTCGTATTATCCCCTCCTCCTCCTTCACCATTCCTTCTCGATCGCTCTCACTCTCTCGCTCTCTGCCGATCAGTCTGTCTCTCCCAGACTCCCCTGAGCTCCCCAGCCGTCCGGCCGGCAACCCTAGAACCCAATGAAAGACTCCGTCTGGCGTCTGCCGACAGTTTGTGCCGAGACGCCGCGTGCACGAGAGCTTAGCATACGATTGGCTCTTCATAGCGATCAGCGGTCTCGATCATGTCTGCTTCCGAAGTTAATTTTTCAAAAACAATCGGAATTGAGAGTACGTTCTCCGAGATCGGATCTCGTTGAAGGATATCGTAAACGAAAGCGTGTACTATTAGTAGATTATTGACGGCGAAGCTTCGAAGATCGACTTTCGTTTCGACTGAAAGTAGCGTCGGAGATCGTGGCGTGAGTGAAGAACATCAGCGATCGTTAACGATCAAGAGCGTTGAGCCTCTCCGTGCGGGATCGCAAAGAATCGTGTCACGATTCCTCACGGTCGTTACGATTCTTTATTAACGTCAACCTCAGGAAGCAATTATTTACCTGGGACGAACTCGCAGTACCGATTGTCAGTATTTGCCAAAGTCACTCGATTGAATATCACCTTGGTCGCGTACGCAGTTCTGGTATCATCGTCCAGGGTTAATGATCGTCTTGAAGGTTTACGAAATCGTGTCAGTGCCATTAACGATCTTACCTTGTTGCCAAAGTTACCGTTCGTCTTGTAAGTACCAATCATACTGAACGAGAGCTGCTTTTTGACGTTAGTGGCTTACTTGTGATGATTACGAATCCTTGTTTGATGTGATGAACCCAGATACACCACATAATAACTCCGCGACACTGATGACTATGTGATTCCGCGTATAATAATTATAAAACAGTGCAAGGACTGTTCTCGACCTAATGATATCACATGCTGCATGATTATCAATGTTTCCGCGTAAAATAATTTCACCATGGATCCAACGGATTAAACGGATTGAATGGATCATCCTGAAGGAGAGGCTGCCGCTCTACGTCTCGTGTCACCTCGTGACCGGGGGTCTTGACGAGTTTCCCGTAAGTCAGAAAAGTGTTTACTATGTAAAGAATGTAACGGTATTCTTACCAAAGTTTCAAGGACGTATCCTTTAGAGTCTCATACAATTATGGCTGTGCATTGGTAAAAGTGGGCCAAAAGGGACTGAGAAAAATGATTAAAATTTCAAAGTTATGAGTCACTTGGAAGTCGCAAGGCGTAGGCATGGGTCACAATTTCGGATCGATCCGACCGATCATCGCTCAATGTGGAACGCTCTAATTCGATCATGATCGCTTTACAATCAGGTCGTCTGCCCCGTTCACTTTTTTTTTCATTCCTCTTCTCTCTCAAGCAGGAATCATGAGCGGATCGTATTGGCGCTCGTGAGACACGATCGTAGCTCAAGTGCTAAAGTCCAAGATCTGTATGAGAGATCGAGCTGCTTTGCGGTGAAATCGGATTGTGTGTCTCTGCTTAATTGGCACGCTAACGCGTAACGCAATTGGAGCAAGTAGCATCCCGCTCGTAGCTTTCCATAATTAGGAATCCTATGTCTAGACCTCTCTGAGTTAGGTTAGGTTACCTCACTGCTAAACCACAAGACTCCTATCAGCTTCCTGAGAATTTCAATTACGCACCGATTCCACTGGGATCTTATTTCTTTTCTTTTTTAATACCGGATGTCAGTACGTATCGTCTTTATTATCTCAGCAAATCTTTTCAGTTACCTTTTTTTTCCATTGCTGTTGTTTTCATCTTCCGCGAAGCATTCTTGTACATTGTGTTTCTATGTCTCTGGGCGTGTTGTATGCTCAATAGGACGTCCGGTATGTGGCATATGAAAGACGCGCCTTCAAGAATATAAAAGTGTCGCCAGTATGTGGATAAGATTGTGTACGCTGCCTTGGCTCCTGTGGAAAAATGGAGGACACGCAAGTCCACGACATTAGTCGTTGCCGTCTGCGACTACGACGGCTCGAGTCGACGAGGTGAAAAACTGTTGGCTATCACCATAACCGGTTTCATAGCCGTTGGGCCTTCGTCACAGCCTTCCTCGAAGAAGTCTCGATCGTCCCCAGTTTGCAGACTTCATTTTCGCGTCGCTCGATCATCGTTGAATTCATCTATGCGTAGTCTGTTAACACGTTCATCTATTCGCTAATGTTAATTTTAGAACTTGCGCACAGTTCAGGTATACGCGACTATGTAAATCAGACCTAAAGGTCCTTGTGGATTTTGTTTCAGGAGTAACAGGAACACGAGGTGGTCTTAGTACAGGATCCTCAGGCACGCAGGGTCTAAGGATCAACGGAGAGGCATAGACAAATAGCTCCTAGGGAAAGAGGAGGACGTGAAAGTTTTCCTAAACCTATCAGTATAAGACCGAACCGGAAGGAAAGATGTTACAAAGTTGTTCCGGAGGCTCGAGATGCGTCCGCAAGGCCTTGGTCTTCGTGTTCGCTTGGGGCCTTATTATGATAGCAGCCATCCAATTCCGTCACGCGGAAAACAACGTGTTCCGGGAGAACGTGGTAGTCGATGGGGTCGGGGTCGTGGCCGGGGTCGAAGGCCAGCCACCCCAAGTTTCCGGTTTGGGTTCCTCACGATTTCTTCTGCAGCAGCTGATCGATTCGAGTATCACCCGCGAGGGCGGCGCTGCCTCCGCTTCGGCTTCGACGACGACCCAAAGTCCTCTGGAACTGGAGCCTCTACTGGACAAGAGGGCCAGCAGGTCCGAGGATGAGCTCATCGAGGAGATAGAGAAGCGTCTACCTAGTCTGCCACTTGCTTACTGGAACAGGAACAAGAATAATAAGCAAATGTTTTATGGAAATGACAGCTGTGCAAAGTACCCAAGTATATTTGACCTTGAATTCAACAACGTTTACTGGCAGAGCATGAGAACCAGTAACGGGACTTTCCAACTGTTCGGGGCCTACTACGATAGGCGAAAACTCTCCAGGATCGGACCGGCTGTCAGGATCGTTGGTATGATCAACAGAATCGAACCAACTGTTAAAACCTTCTGTCAGATGTGGTTCGAAGGCGAGAAGGAGCCTCAGCTAGTCGAGACTCTGGAATACAAATACATCTGGTACTCAAAATGGGGCAATTACAAGCAGGGTATATATCAGCCCTATGTAATAGCCTGCAAGGTGCCCCAATCACATTGGAAGAAGGGTCCGCCCACTTCCGTCTCCATGGTGGAAAAAGCTTGCCATACCGCCACCAATAACCTGCGTGTGATATACAATAAGCCTGAACAAAAAAAGGACTTTGCCGTCTGCGTGAAAGGACTCGACTTCCTGCATGAGGATCTCTCCGTCAGATTGGTCGAGTGGATCGAGCTGATTAGCCTGCTTGGTGCCGATAAGATATTCTTCTACGAGCTTCAGGTTCATCCCAACATCACGAAGGTTCTCGAACATTACGAAAAGTTGGGAAAGGTTCAAGTGACACCCCTGACACTTCCCGGCGGCCAACCCAACGTTCCTGCCTTTCAGCACATGTATCTTACTAAAAAGACTAATCATAAACGACAGAACGAACTGATACCGTATAACGATTGTCTTTATAAACACATGTACGAGTACGAGTACATTGCGTTACTTGATATCGATGAGGTAATAATGCCAGTGCGCGACACCACCTGGCAACAGCTCATGCAGAGAGTAATGCCAAAGGCGCTTAAAATACGCAACGAGACTCGCGCCTCCTACAACGTGAGAAACGTCTACTTCCTCGATGATCTTCTTCATTCGCATGGATCCTTCAAAGACGTGCCTAGGTGGGTATATTTATTTTTTCTCTGTTGTCACGTGGCGCCATCTCTTTTTGCCTTTCTGATCCATTATTTATATTTGTTTTTCGTAGACAGTCGTGTCTTGGATTCTTATTATTTATTCCTTTTTTTTTTCTTTGTTCTCTTCAGGTACATGCACATGCTGCAGCATGTGTACAGGTCGAAGAATTTCACGAAGCCAAATCAGTATATCAAGTGCTTTCATAATCCAGAACGCGTGGTCACCCTGCACAATCATTTTCCACTGGCCTGTCTTGGTGCCGGCTGCACCAGCTATCCCATTGAGACCGATGACGCTCAACTGCAACATTATCGTGCCGACTGTGTTAAATCTTTGAAAAAGTCCTGCGTCGAGTACAGGGAGAATAGCGTGATGGACACTACGATATGGCGGTACAAGGAGAAGCTTATTGAACGCGTGACCAGAACCTTGAAGACCCTTGGATTCTTCGGGCCGAGTTAGCCTTCCCTAGTGGCTACTTGTTCTGGATGGAGTACCACGGACGGCCGTCGTGGTTCTAATTTCGTATGAAGTATTGGATTTAGCCATAGGGCATCCTTTGCGAGCTTCCCGGAGTAACCTGGATGTTGGTTGTAACGTTCAGGAAGCTTTGCTAAGGTCGACGATGACGAAGATCCACTTGGAGTTCTTCCTTAGACTAGTTTATGAATGTGTTCCATATGAATACTGCGTTTCCTCGAGTTGATGGTGTACCAAAAAAAAATTCGAACGTCAAATTAGACTAAGTCGATGATGAGGATTTAGAGAATGGAGTCTAGGGCGGTGGACTCTATTGAGATGTTTTTAAATTTTTAGATTTTTAAGCTAGGATAAAGAGTCGTCGAGGGAACGAGAATATATGTTATTCCTTTGTTTCTTCTTGTTCCATGTTTAATTCTTGTATTGTTACATACTCGTGTTCCTTGGCTCTCTCGACCTCTTTGAGGAACGACTCGTCCACCACAGATCGCTGGTGCACCAGGATGTAGCATTCCCTGCGGTCGACGCGTCGTTCCTCCATGGGCTTGTTTCGCGAATCTTCTATTAAGGTTTTGGATATTCGCGAAACGATCCTCGTCACGCATTTGTTTGCGTATCTCGTAGTTTTCGTGCCTTTCGTACTTGTAGTAGGTAAACAAAAAAAATTATAAAAGACAAAAATATCTTGTTCAATGGTGAACCTCGATCGCTTTCTGCGTCTGCGCGTAAGGCGCCCTTGGTGCGTTCTCGTGGAAAATTTAGTGAAAATAAATTGACAGCAGAGAGGCGATTGACGTTGCACCATGAATGCAATTTCTTTGGCTGTTATTTCCAGTATCTATATGATGTGAATCGAGATCGATTTTCAATAAGTATAAAATCTCGAAATACAAGAGACGAAAGAAAAAAGAAAGGAAAAAAGATTGTTCAATTTGCGATGTTATTGTTCTCGGTAGATTAAATTTCTAATACGTTCCCAAGGAAGTTATAGCCCAGTCGATTCGTTTGTACAGCAACGGTCGAGAGAATCGACGCGATTAATAAAGAATGAAAGAATGTTCTCACGTAGGTGGAGAAGAGCAGCCATATTTCACACTCTCTCTCTCACACAGTTCCTTTCTCTCCTCTTCTTTTCCTATAGATTTAAATTAACACGGGGATGCAATCCTTTCTCCAAGTCAGATATGTGTGCGCACATGTTCTATATATAGAAACATCGTCAGTAACCTCTGCGAAAGTCAGCATGCATATCGTTGAATGAATCGTACTGGTGAAAATTTCTAAGGAATTTTGCTAAAGGTCAAATTACCGAAGAAGGACGACTTATGCCGAGCGATTACGATCGCGAGAAGTCTGGCTGGATTCTCTATCCTGGTTAAAGTTAGTTCCTGGTTTCACATCTGTCTCTTGCCATAGGTTGCGATTTTCTCGAGAAAGGAGAGAGAGCTGCCGTCGCGACGGGTTCTCTCCTCAAGTTACCAGGTGTTACGAAGAGTCGACCGAGCACCAAGATGCATCTTATGGAACCGAGATGCATCGAATCGCACTAGTTTAACGGTAGCAGAAGGATGCGCCATGTATTCAATGGGGTCTCCGGTTGGTCTATTTTATCATTCGTCAAAGAAATTTCATGACCCCCGGGGAAATCCTATGGAGCTTAGAGTTCGCGGCAGTTCCGTTAGATGGAGCGGAAGTCGGCGTCGGAATTCAATCGCATTTCCGTCGAATGGATTTACGTGCACCGTTGCACGCTATTCAGTGAGCCACCCAGTGAAGTCAGCTAGTCACCCAGTGACTGTACTGGATTATCCAGCCAACTGTCTCTGACAGCTCGTATTCGGACAGGAAGTCGAATGAGCTGTGGTAAAGCTACAAATGGCAAAAGGCTTTGGTTATATGAAAATGTATCAGCTCTTACCTGGCAAAATTTCTTTAGACCTCGAGGACATCGTTGACGAGTAGAAAAAAACATGCAGATCCGGTATTGTATGGCTTTATGTTATAACTGTTTTGAGAGTAATATTCGCATTCATTAGTCGAAATTTCGAGCCGGTCTTTGGCTCTGTGTGACCCGTGGAATCTCTCGAGGCAACTACTTATCAACGCCGATGGTATTTACGCATATTTTTGAATACGAAAGCTAATGGCATTTTCAGTCCAACGGAACGTCAAAGGTCTTCCATCTTTGTCAATCTTTACGCAGATCACCTTATCTTTTGCTTTTCCCTCTCGCTAGTCCACTTCTACTTTATTGAACACCTGACCGTCACAGTTTCTCTCGTTTAACCGATAAATTAGCATCTAACAGCGTTAATACGTCGATTTACCTAATTTCACAGAAAGTTCGACTTGTCAAGCTTATTGCTAGTCGACGCCCGTCGTCGTCGCTTATGCCGACGCATCCGTAATGTCTCTTCTGGAATGCGACCAGAATCTCTAGACGTTAACGAATTTACTAGGGCCTCCTGTAGGGTCTAAAAAATATATATATATACACACCATGAGGTTGTCGTCGTCATCGAGAGTTGAGCTTCTCGTGAGCTTCCAGCTGGGTAACTTGCATTGGAGCATTCGTAGCTTGGTGGGGTACAGTGGGTTAATTTTGGCACGTCCCACGCAAGCATAACTAGCTCTTCCACGGGCACCGGCCATTATTCTATTTCCAAAACGCTTTCGGCAGTCGACTCGGCTCATTGTGGATATACAATTTGGAAAAAGACGTTGTGCGATCCGTCGAAGCTTTAAAAACCGCGAATAATAATCCAATGAGCGTGCATCCTCTTCTTGATCCTAAGGGACGTCCGGAAGTCCTGGACCTGGTGCTTTCCGGTTCATCAGTGAACCGCGTGTCGCGCGTGATAAATTAAACGACCAGAGCGCCGCCACGAGTACGTTTCTCTATGATCGTCGACGTCGACGACGACGCGAAGGAAAACGTGATCGTTTAAAAAATACGTCGACGTTTATACGCGAATGACGTCTTTCTAACGTCACCAGGTGGACGTAGAAGAGTAAATGTAAAGGCGATATACCTGGACGCGCGTAAACATTTGACCTGACTGGGTGAACCGAGATACGTGGAGTTCAGAGTCGTTTGCATCGCGAGTGAAGATCGATAAAATTTGTTATTAAGGGTGACAGGATGACACCTAGACTGGAGTTCGAACCTAAGGAGGAGCCCAAGGAACCGTCCAAGTGTATGAGATTTCTTTCTCTTCTATGGAAATTCTGCAGCTGTGTCTTCTCTCACGTTATCCTGGTATCCCTGGTGGTGGCCTACTGTCTCCTGGGGGCGTATGCCTTTGCGACCCTCGAAGCCGAGCACGAGAGAGAGGTGAATTTTCCAGGATGTTAAACAGGACGAATCTATTTTCAAATTCTCATTCCCTGGGGACCTCGTCATTTACTTTGACGTCTTTGTTCCTCTGCGCTTCTTTTAACGCTTGACTCCACTTTTTGTATTTATATATATTCGTATTTAAGTTTATTGACGTGTCGTTTGAGGGCAGGTCAAACGTAGTATCGAAAGTCTTCGCGGAAACATGACAGAAGACTTATGGAAGCTCACGAATAAGGATGTTATCCTTGTAGACACGAACTGGACGGATAGCGCTATGAAGATGTTGAAGGTGAGGCCCTTTATAGATAGAGGGGCCTTTTGGTCCATTAGCTAGATACACTTGCTATTCCGTCATCTCAATTTCACTTGTACCACTACCAATTGCTACTGCTGGATAAGAGACGGTCTCGAGTAACGTACTGCGTGATAGAATTTCGAGACGGACCTTCTGAAGAAGATGAAGAAGGAGGGATGGGATGGCAGCGAGGACACGGACAACATCCAATGGACATTCACTGGAGCACTCTTCTATTCCATAATCGTCATCACCACGATTGGCAAGTAAATCATCAGATTCGATCGGTGCCAGATGGAAACGTTAATTGATCAAATTTGCTCGGATGATGCAGCACGTATTTTTCTTCTTTTTTTTTTTACTTTTCAATAGCGCCGCGAAAGCGACCTTTGGCTATAGTGACGTCATAATAAATAAAAAGTAATGCTTAGTCGAATGAGAATAAATAAAAGTCTTTGAGTTCGTGTCTCAAGTAGAATCAACTTTAACGGAATTGAGTTGAGTAGTCCCGTCGGGCTGGTTGCTTACGCTGACGGCGACGCCGATGACCCACTTTGCGTCGAAGTCGAGGAAACCTCGTCGTTTGATGTAACAGAGCGTCCTTTGGATTCTTCGTTTGTCTTTTCCGATCCGTTTGATCTGGCGTAACCGCTTATGTCGTAGGGACGCGTTGCATAAGGACGACCATGATTGTAGTATCCTGGACGATCGTAATGAGACGCGATATGGGGACGCTCGTAGGACTCGTAAGAGTCATTGTGATCGTAGGGGTCGTAATCTGGCGAATAAGGCCCATTATAGTGGTTCGGTATGGGACGACCATTTTCATAATTGTTTTGAGGCCTTGATGCGTAGTAATTCGAAGGGATGGCGTTGAATGGCTTGAATGGTAAACCCTGTTAAAAGAACGAATTTGTGTAGTGTAGTTTGCACTTGAGTAGGTAGATGTCACTTTATCGCTTAAAAGTTAAAATTTCAAAATTCGTTAGACGACGAGTTTGTCTTAAATAATTAATTTAGAGTTAAATTCCTCTTTATCAAAATTACTTTGGTCGTTATACTAAATGGTTTTTTTTTAAAAAAAAAAAGGATATTCATTGCATGAGACTCATTGTCATCGGAAACATAAAAAGTGTTCTCACGTTTATTTAGCTGTTAAACGCGTGCATGCGTAACGTTATTATTTATGAAAGATCCTATCGTCGTAACTGAGTTTCCTGTCGCTAAATACCCGATTGGATAATACGAATTGTCGATAATGTAGATCGCTCCTTTGGTATAGTTACCTGGTAAGCACCGTGAGGACTGTAATTTGCGTGGGCTGGCGCCAGACCGTGAAGTTTCCTACTGTCGTAACAACAGTACTGTTTACCCTTGGCGCAGGATCCCTGAGAATAAAAATTTGAATTCAACTCACATTTCTCTTTGAAGTTTTTTTTTTCGTTCATTTTTTTTTCACAAAGCGTATAGAAAATATGGTAAAGATTTGCTCACGAATTTGAGGCCGGGACAGTTAAAACCATAACTGCATTTGCAGGAATCGTATTCGCGATAACGATGATCTTGCTTGATCCAGGATGGTACTGAACCTACTGTGATAGGATCAACGTTAAATCCTGGCTTTATCGGTCCCGATACAATTCCGCCATTGTTAATACCCGGTCTGTAAATATAATTTTAGATAATTATGACAATCTCAAAAGATCTGATGTATCTATTCCCAGTGCAAAAGTACCTGCCGACTATCCCTGTAGGCCCTTCAGGCCCTACAAGTATCTGAGTACCATGATTAACTGGCAATATTGGGCCACTGTCCGAGCCATAGGGCCCAGAGTATTGGGGCCTTACTCCTGCGTTTAAGTTACCATTAGAAGGATACTCATACACCTGGTACCTATTAATTAATAAAAATAATATTAGAAACTAGTATCTTTTATTTTAAAGGATTAAGCAGAGGGGTAAAAGCACCCCTTCAAGGATATCCTCGCACGTCCAAGTAGTGACATACACACGACGTCCTCACCTAGCATTTTTCTCGATGGTATCAGACTTTTTCTTGGCTCCTTCGCCCCAGATCCATTTGGCTTCCTCGCCAGAAACAATGCTGACAAGAATGGCGATGCTCGCCAAGATCTCCCAAGGATTCATCTTTCTCAGCTTCCTTGACGTTCCCAGAAATTCCGTATATCTCTAAGCTAGAGAATTAGTCACGGTCACGGTCAAGGTCAGTCACTGGCCTTTTCGCCAAAAATATACGCGTGGCCGACTGAACGACTCAAGTTACGCAAAACTATAAAGAAAAGAAAAAAACGTCTCAAAGAAATAAGCACACCGTATCCTTCACGCTCTGCGACCTTTTACTTAATGTACCTGTACATCTGTACGTTGTTACTAGTACCTACTGTTCGTCCTAGTAGCAAAAGAAAATCGATCCTGCGACTGGTGCAAGTCGTATGCACCGGAGCAATAAAAACTTCAGAATCTTCAATAATTATGACACAAACTTCTGCATCGAAGGATCGTCGAACGTGAACTGAGCGAAAGTGAAAGCAAACTCGCTCTATATAGGTAGGAGCGGGATTGTCCCTCCAGGGACTCCTGATTTCGATCAGACAGGAATAATGTCGAGATTGCGTATCGTGGGAGTAGCTCGAGGTCGACATTTTGATTCACTTGACAGCCAACGATACGACAGAACGTGCAAGACCGTTACTCAATACTCAGATATCGGATAGTCTAAAATTTCGTTATTCCAAAAACTGCATCTTCGTTAAAGATTTCGATAAATTAAAATTGTAAATTATTACCGACGAACAATCCAATTGCCGAGCAGACCAAGGAAGCATTGCCGATGGCATCAGGCAGCTCGTTAACCCCGTTCCGCGACGCACCAGTTGCCAAACAAAGGTCCGACCGGTGGTGACCGAGTTTTGCCAGAGGATCGAACTCCTCCAACTTCCGGTCTTCCCTTTGTTTTCGATCGATCGATCCCTTCCCTCCTCCCGTCCAACTTTAGCCGCCATTCGCTGGAACACGTTGCTGCGTCCCATTGCGTTGCACTGTGGCACAGCGAGTGCATTGTCCAGACGAGTGACTGTCGGAACGATGCTTTGTTTCCTTCTTCCCGCTCACTAGGTGGGATCGATTATATCGATCACGCACTACCGATAACCGATATTGCAATTCTGTTTATTGTCTTCGAAAGAGCAAGTGACCGCGACGCTGCCAGTAGCAGTACTGACAGCTGTGGCAGTTGATGCCAATGGCGTCGCGTTACGTAGATAGCAGACAACGAAAATGAACGCACCCGCAAGTCTCGAATGCTTGCATTTAACGCGATCTGTTTTCTAGAGAATTTTCAAAATAGTTATACTGATTTATGAGTGTATAACTGTCATACATATATTACTAGTAGCTCTGGATGACATTCAAACGAATACTGCTAAATCGTGGGACGAATTTGGACGTTTATTTCACCTTGGCCCACTGACCTATCCCGAGGCCGTTTCCGTTTTAGAGATTCACCCGGGAAAAAGATTGAATTTCAAATTCCGATAGTCGTGGGTAGATTGTTATTGTGCTTACCATAGTACAATTTATTATCAGTCAGTCGTGCTACGAGCATAAAATTATAATGATAATGAAATTAGATGAAGATAGGTTAGGTTACTATACGAGTGATTATTGCAAACCTTAATGTCTCGGGTTTATATGTCCCTCGCAAGAAACGACTTTTGCGAACCGTGCCAAGGCTTCGTGTAGGCGACTTTGCGTAGGCTAGTGATTTAAAAAATTTTTCAAGTTCTGTTCCACACGCTCCGCTTACAGGATACGGGCATATCGCGCCGAAAACTCAGAGCGGAAAGGTCGTCACCATTTTTTACGCTATACTGGGCATTCCCTTGATGCTTCTGTGCTTATCGAACATCGGGGACATCATGGCGTCCAGTTTCAGGTATACACAGTGCGGATGCTATTTTTGACTTATTTCCGTCCTTCTTTACTTACTTCCTTTCGTTTATGTCTGGCTCTTCTTTTGCATTTTTTGCCTACTATTATCCAGTCTGCTGCAGAATCAGATCTTGCAGTTCTGCTTATATATATATTTTTTTTTTCATACTGAAACGATATTGAACGTAATACCAGTACGATACAGTATATGAAGTTCAATCTTGTTGGATTTTCCTCTTTTTCCTTATTTTCTTCCCTTCAGATTTCTCTACTGGAAAGTCTGTTGCTACGTATGCACCAAGCCACCTCGTAGAAGACGTCCACGTAATACTAGAGGATATAGTGTACGACAGGTTGGGTAGGTTTACGAAGGTATCAATATGACTGATAGGTACCTCATGATTTTTTTTAACGATGACAATGATTTTTTTTCAAAATGAAGGAGATACTCGAACAGGAATCCATCTTTGAGGAGATCCGTACGTGCTAGTCAAAGGTCAGCTGACTCGGCCCTTGGTCTCTCCGAGAGTATGACCAGGTCATCCTATTCGGATACAGAGTGCAGGTATGCGAGGATGATTATTTAACATTGGATATCAATTGAGATTCTGTAACGTGGGTCAGGTATCACAATCCCGAGGGACCGGAAGTATATCGTCGCAGCGAGGCGTCCGGAGTACGACCTTCCACAATGTCTAGGTATTCAGACATACCAGTAGCTTCTCCCAGGGTGAAAGGTAAGGAATTATAAAAATGAAACAGCGAGAGCGTGAACGAGTACTCGATATTCCTGATCTGCTCCAGGTGGCAGGATGACCACAGGTACGGCTTCCCTGGACAGGAAATTGATTGTCACTCCAACTGAAGCCAATAAATTTCCGGTGCTGTTTAATAAATATGCTTTGGATCCCGAGGACGAGCCCAAGACTGAGTCCTCTAGAGGTATCAGCATCGTATTTCTAGGTATTATTTTATCTCATTTGAGTTTGCCATTCCCTCAGGAACTAACGAACCGGTCGAAGCAGCCAGAGACGTAGAGAGAGGAAGATCACTAGGTAGAAACACAGATACGGGACCTGGTGCTGCTAGCAGAGTATCGGGATTAGGTACCCGCTCTCTTCCTAGGCATCTGTCCGTAGTCAATCCTCCTGGTAATCATCATCATCGTCAACGATCTCAACCACCACCGGAAATCCGGGAACCCGTCTTGGTTGAGATGGAATCGATGAAGAGGCCTTCCAGGATGCGTCGAGCGCAGAGTTATTATGGGAAAGCGGATTCGATGCGATCAGGACCAGCACTGCCTCTGGCAGTCCCAGGTCGTCCCTACCGACGGGAAGCGCCATCACCGAGGGTCATGTCCCCCATGGGCTTCGCAGTTCATCGTCAGATCTACGAAGATGACTTTGACATTGATTACTATGATTATTATGTTGAGGATAACGAGCGTGCCATTGCGCAACGTATCAAACCAGTACCCATCTGGCTCTGCGTCTTCCTGGTGGTCAGCTACATCTTCGGCGGGGCATTTCTCTTCAGTGAATGGGAAGACTGGAATTTTCTCGACTCAGCCTACTTCTGCTTCATCACACTGACTACTATAGGTGAGACGGATTTTATTGTTGCCAAGGAAAATGAAAAAGGATAGAAGAGTGAAAGAGAGAGAGAGAGAGACGTATAAAAAAAGAACAGAAATGAAAAAAAAAAGAAATCGTGTCGCGAAAGGGAAGTGACACGAATCAGGACGCAGAGTGGATAAGGTCTAACTCGATTGTGAACGTAGGCGGATTCTCTGAGCTTTTTAACGATAAGGGAGTCCTTTTGCGAGGCGATCGATCCTTTGTATTTTTAGGCTTTGGTGACTTTGTGCCTGCGCACAGACTCCATGCCGAGAAGAGTATCGCACTCTGCTCTCTGTATCTTCTCTTTGGAATTGCACTGCTCGCGATGAGCTTCAATCTCGTCCAGGAGGAGGTCATCAACAATGTCAAGAGCGTTGCCAAGAGACTGGGAATCATCAAGAATAACGATGACGACGACGAGGACGAGGAAGATTAACAAACAACATCAAAGAAACTTTGTAATAAAATAATCATATTAAACCGCGCCTTTACTGTTTGTGTCATTTTCATTGTTTACTTCCGTAATGTTTACGAAATCATTCATAATTCTTGAGGTGCACTCTGTAATTTTTGGTATAAGGTACAATATTATAGAACCAGGTATTCTAATCCTGCAATGCATCATGGAAAATATGACAAGCGGTGGCGCCACCGTCAATTTATGTGAAAATATTCAACTGATTTAGAGACAATGTATTGTCTTCCAACTCCCTAAGGGTTAATGAACTTTTCGATTCAATCAAACAACTATAAAATACGGAATATTAACCGGATATCGAAACCAATCGCTAAATAGGTAACATTAATAAAAATCCATGCAGGGCCTTATTATAAACGACGTAATGTATAAGAATAAAGAATAAAAAATACAGAAAAAGCACTGGTGGCGACGCCACAGTTTGACACATTTCCCATGATGCATTGCGGGATCAGAATACCTGTTTCTATAATACCTTATTCTAGTAGGGCGACGGTGCTGTCACCTGGTCACCTTCAGGGCAAACAGGACGCAGGATCTTTCTCTGACATTATATTCGACGCAAGGATCGTCTAGCCGTCGGAGTTGAAAGTTTGTCCTGTTGCGAAAAATCGTGAGTCTGCGGATTTTTCATTCTTTTCTATTCTCTCTTCTGGATAGCTATATATATATATGTATATTATAGTTCATAGGTTCGTAAGTCTTCTTTGAGAAAGTTTTACGTCGAGACTCCCGGAGGCAGCACTTCCTCTCGTCCGGGCGACTCAATTCTTTCCCCAGGAGCATTCTGTCCGTTCCACATACGCGTATAACGGTTTTAAGGTCCAGTATACGTGTCTCTATGATCGTCATAATGCCTGCGTCTATTCAAGTGTCGCTTTCGTCATCGATGGACGTTACAATTCTTACGTCATGTGACTGGATGGTCTTTCGTGTATCCGATAATTGACGAATCTCCACTATCGTCTGTGTCTCTCTCGACGTCAAGAGGTGAACATGTGAACACGGTATGAACTGGTTTTATTATATCACAGATAGGTGAGAGAGAGAGAGAGAGAGAGAGAGAGACTCGATGAGGAGGGTAGTGCCTGGCCAGTAGCCAAAACCACTGGCAGTATCCTATATCCAACAGGGCTACCTGAGACCCCCAATTCCTCTTACTCCCAGCATAATAGTTTGCCACACTGGTTTCTCTCTTCTATTTTTCTCTTTTACTGACTTTGTCATACTGTTCAACAGAATGGTACATTCCACTCGTGCGACTCCATTCCGTCGGGATCTTCCTCCGGAAGCAGGAGGAGGCTAATGCAGACATCACCCCAGGCACAAAGACCTCAGTAGCATTGTTACTTTATACTTCGCGATTCGTTTACAAATATTAACTTAATGGTATACCATTCAATGTATGTTATTGAAACATCGTCTGGTCGTATAATTGCTTATCATTAAAATCCAATGTTTATAAATGCCATTAGCCGAGAATATCCAAGTCTGTTTATAGTGAATCATTAGTTTTTACACGAATTAACCTCTTATACAAATTTTACCTAATTCACATAAAATTTCTACGAATCATCATTCGCATTTATACATGTAACATTTACAAATTATTCAATCATAATTGCCTAGCTATTACAGTGAATTATACTGATTCACAATTGTGCCTACGTAACGTATAACAAGGTCGAAAGGATTAGGCTAAATATTTTAATAGGCTGGAAGAAAATGAAAATTCATTCGGATTACACTTTTAGAATATCTAATTTTGCGATCCTTATGATTATGTTCCTTTTTGTCTTGTAGCTGGTGCACCTAGGGGACACCCTGTGCGGAAGCCGGTGGTTGGTCCGACTGTCCGAGACCAGGTCCAAGCCGAATACTGATATTTTTAGATCAGTGCTATTTTCGTTAGTGTGTCGAGCGAGAGTTTCTACGGAGCCAGTAGTAGGCAGAGAGGCTTCCGCCGCTTCGAATCACGGAGCTACCCGTATTAATACGCGACTTCATTATAATTAACGAGTATTTGGGTGAATTCACAAGAATTCACGTTATACGAGTATTATATTTTTACACGACTTTTTCATTACTATAAATCATCATCTTTAGCGGGTACCACGTGGATGTACAATTTTAAAATGATATTTAGTTAATTAAAAAATAATATAATTAATTGATAAGCAAGCAAAGTGATTGGGAGGTATCTGAAGTATTGACTCAACCGATGAAAATTTATCGGCAAAGTATTCTTGTTTCTGATAAAGGATATTGATAATAAGTGATAAAATTTGATTGATTATCATGAACCAGTAGAGAAAGTTGAAATTTATATTTTTTTTTGTCATAAGGGCGAAGGGGACGAGTCAGGGGGCTAAAGTGGGGTTGAGTGAGTGGCTCATGCAAAAGTTCGAAGAGCAAGAAGAAGAAGAAGATGAATAAAAAGAAGATGACAAAAGTTCCTGGTGGAACTTGTCTCTATCGTACAGTGTGGTTTTGAGTCCAAGGACTAGTCTGTGGCAAGGATACGTCAGTGAAGAGTTTTACCGTGAACCCTAGGATGTTTCCGTGCGACTTATCAAGGATTCCGATCCGGCTGGATTACTTGAAGGAATTCTCAAGTTATCAGAAGAAGAGGAATCGGTAGAGTCTCTGGCCACTTTGAGAGAGTCTCTTCCATGTGGAAGCCCTTGCTTTCTTCGGTGTCTTTTCTTTATTCTCCAGAAAAAAAAGGAAGCTTAGACGGGATCAAGAAGTCCCCGTAGATCCGTTTCACCTTAACAACGATGTCCTGAAGAATTGTCAGTAAGAATTTCTTGATTCTGAAAATAAAAAGGTGTAATTAGGTCAACCGTAGTTTTGAGACTGTTGATCAGTTACGAACTGGTCATAGGACCATTGACCATTATATTTAGCTCTTATCTTTCTTAATCCTCTTAATTTTCTCTCCAATTTCTACCACGACCAGAGTACCACGTGTAACTGATCTCAGTCTTGGATAAGGATCCTGAAGGCTCCTTGAAGTAAAAAACAGATATAAAATTGTATAGAGCTTGCTGACTAGTTCAAGGATACGTTTGAAAGGTGTTCAAAGAATAAAAAGTAAATTCTTTGAAAGACATCCTACGGATCAGAGCACCCTGCAACCCAGTGTATGGGTTATTGGAAGTAGACCTGGCTGAATGGGAAGTGGTGCGGGAACTCCTTGGAAGCGGTGGATTCCTCAAACCTGAGTTAAAGGAGGAGAAAATTGAATTTGTGAAGTTGCGAGTTGAGCTTTGAAACTGACTATGGTAAAAATGCCAGGAAGGTCTCTAGGGAGGATGCCGGTCATGGGTCATCGTGTCTCTAGTGCGACGAGCACCAGGTAACCTGAGGAACAATGGAGAACAGGTCGTGGTCGTCGTCGTCGAGGAGATGGCGTGGCAGTTACAGACGTAAACGGAGAAAGCCCTGGGGCGAGAGACTTGCCGACTGGACCAGGAACTTCATAGCCTTCCTCTTCAGCAACGTGGGCATTGTCGGTCTCGTGGTTGGATATACGATAGCTGGTGCGTTTGTCTTCACAGCTATCGAGGGGAAGCACAGCTTGAAGAGGTCTGGCGATGTCGCCAGGCTCAGATACTTCACAGCGAGTAATCTCTGGGAAGTCACTCTTGAGGTACTTGGCTTTAGAACTTTCATCAATTCCAGCTGAGGTTACCTGTAGACATAAATAAGATCTTTGATCGTCATCATCGTCGTAACGATAACACAGACCTCTATTCTTATCGATTGCTTATCCTGATTCTAGGAAAATACGATCCGCGAGTCGGTTTGGAGGAACAGGGTCAGAGCGATTCTTAAAAAGTATCAGAAAGACATTGTTGAGGCCATCAGGAACGGCTACGACGGCACCGAGGATAATAAGCAGTGGAGCTTTGCTGGAGCTTTTCTGTATTCTCTGACGGTCATCACGACTATCGGTAAATTCATCAAAATTTAATTGATCCATGCTAGATTTACGGAAAATAATGCCGAGGACAAATTGTGAAGAATTCTGGAACAGATCCTTAAGTCGTATTTACTCCTGTTAACCAGGGTATTCTGATGAGAGACTATGGTGGAAAAGGGTTTTAGGTTACATCGTAGCAGCAGCAGGGGGTATCTGTACGAATCGTATAAATTTTTTTTGTTGGGGTTGCTTTGGGTTGGACGTAGGTGTCACGTGGTCAGTAGGGAGTGGTTGAATAGGTGGTACTGGTAGAACATGTTGGATACTGGTTAATCGATCTGCTGGTAGCAAAGGCTTTTAGGCTGCTCTGTGTAGACTCGTAATCGTTGTGGCATGGGTTATGGACCTGGGGCATGTGGGGTTAGTGGGGCTCCTGGGGCTGCTGGTTCCTGGACGAGGAGAGGAGCTGTTGGCGATGCTAGTGGGTTCCCAAAGGGGGGAATTAATTAAAAGGACAGAGACCGCCCGAAAGTTTTGCGTAGAAGCCCACCTACCCTTCTTCTCCTCCTACTGCTACTGTTACAGTCCAGGACCCTCCCATCAGCGTCCCATTCCTGTCCAGCATCCCTCTTGTACTCTCATTAAATATGGATGAAGTTGGACGCAGTTGGCTGCCTGCGGACTTTTAACTTTTAGCCAAAGGATCGACTCGAAGTCAAATAAATTTTCCCGCTTTTTTTTTCACCATCGATATTTATTATATTCACTTAAAACCTTTTATCGCCTTTTTTTTCAACTTCAGATTAAGATCCTTGAAATTTCCCACAATCTACCCAGACATTCCATGCGACCCCACCAACTGCTATTTCATCTGATCCAATAGTCTGGTTTATCCTTAGAATCTCATTGTAGTTCGATTTGGCTTCGACTCTCATCTCCCGTTACTGGTTCAGATCGACTGAAAATGTTAAAGGCCAAAGAAAGAAGGTATAGAGACTTCGACGAAACTCGGTTCGTTAATCAGCCGGGAAAGCGTAGTCTCAAGATTGCCGGGAATTAATTAAGCTCCAGCTTAATGAAAGCCCTCGCCGAGCGGGCTTTCGAGCTGCGGCCAAAAGTAATTTCGCGGGACACCCTCGAGAGACGTTCGAGCCATCCAAATTTCGTAGCCGATCATAATTTCGCGATTTACCCCATCACTCGATTTTATCTTCCACCCAACCTTTCTGTCAGCTCCATCAATTCCTCGACATTCCCGCTAACAACTTCACGAGCTTAACCAGTATTACCAACTTCCATTCCTCCAACATCAACTTCCGCATAGTCCCCATCTCCATTATCATTCACCTTCGGCTGCTTCATCCTAATGCCAAATCACCGCCGCCAATCTTACCTGCCATTACGTCTTGAAATTGCCGCTCGATTACCGACAGTTATTTTAGCTCCTATACTCGGCAACCGTCTCTACACGCTCACTTACGTGAGGCGTAACTCAGAAAACGAAAAACGGCAGAGTCTCTCGGTGCGTTGTTAATTATTACGAGCAGGATCACATATTCTGTAGTCAGAAGGAACATTGTTTGATGGAAATACGTGGACAGGTTAGACAATGTGGAAAAGTCGATTGACATGAAAAATTGAAATTAAGGAACGTGACGTGCGAGGTTATATGTGCTAGTGGAGAGTGGAACAAAATATAAAAATGCTCACGCAGGAAGACGTCAAGGGGTATGGATATCGGAGTGGATTCTCGTGAACGGTACGTCTACACAATTTAGTAAGGAAGGGGAATTTTATTTGCTTGGAGAAGCATCGGCTCGTAAAGTCGAGGATCGTACGTTAGCCCGTGGTTTATTTGCAGCGTGGCGTGGTCAGCGGCGTCATGTTTGTTTATGGCTGAGTTTACGACACATTTATAATCACTCGTGGTTTATTATCGAAACGGCGTCTTGGACGAATCTTACATTCGTATAATGCGTCGGTCGTTGGCTTGAAGCTTCGTGTCACCCTAACCTCACAGACAGAAGATCGGGCACGCTGTATCGAATTAAGTCAAGCTTCTAGATCTACATTATGGCGATTGGTTGGAAATTATGTCTAACTTGACTTTCTGCTGGAGTTAATACTCTTCTTTTGGACTTTGCATTATACGTTTAAGGTTATGGGAACATCAGTCCCAGGACTGAATGGGGTAAAGTTGTTACCATTGTTTACGCCATTGCCGGGATGCCACTCTTTCTTCTTTACCTCAGTAATATCGGCGACATCCTCGCCAGAAGTTTCAAATGGACTTATGCCAGGTGCTGTCTTTGCAGGTAATAATTTTGTAAACGATTTTTCAAGGTTTGATATAATTTTTTTTTAGTTTTTTTAATGCGGTTGTTATGATTTTAAGGATTTTTGCTTATTTGTAGATGTCGACGGAAACCACGAGGAGCAGGAGCGCCACCGCCTAGAGACGCAGCAAGAATGAATCAATGGCAGGTTGGTTTCCGGTTTCTGGAAGATAAAAGTATCATGGCGACCTGTACTGTACAGAGGTCTAAGCTCCTGTATGTATCCTTAGATTGTGAAGGTACATGGCGGAGAATTGGAAACTTCCAGTATAGAACAAGAGGATAGTTCTTCCGGTGGAGTTGCCGAGGATGAGGAGGACGAGGATGAGGATGACGACGACGATGAAGATTCCTACGATCCACAGCAGGTGACTGTACCCTTGACGTTATGTCTGGCTATAATGGTTGGGTGAGTACGTCCGATAGAATGAACAAGACCAATAAGAGTTTAGAGAAAGAACCAGGTAGTGACAGGATTTCATGTTGGAATAAACTTGAGGTCCGCCATGTTTTTTTTTTTTCGTAGCTACGTTTGCGGCGGTGCCCTCCTCTTCTCGAAATGGGAAGTCTGGGACTTCCTGGATGGATCTTACTTCTGTTTTATCTCCCTCTCGACGATTGGTTTTGGAGACATCGTACCTGGTGACGAGATCTACTCCAGCGAGGGCTTTGAGCTATCTTTCGTCTTCTGCTCCATGTATCTGATGCTTGGTAAGCACAACGGGATCCTAATCCTAGAGTAGCCTCTGTTCAGGATGGACCTGACCATTTTGCATCACTGTTGTCGACTTTGATCACAGCCAAGCGTGTTTAACGTAAGCAGCTGTGCGATGGGCTGAACTGTAAATTAGGGAGGGTTTGTAAATTCTAGATGAATCCTTTTGAAGTCTGCAAAGCTCAGATATGAGATAAAGAAGAGCAATGAGTATTTATTAGAGCAAGAATTTTCGTGAAACCTGAGCAATTCTGTAATTCCTTAGAAAGAAATAAGGCAGAGTTTGTCTTATGATTTTCGAGATTTTGAGGTCTTTGAATATTTTTAAGCCTTTATTGTGATGAGCCTGTATCAAGACATTCCAGGTTTTCAAGTCTTTGAGAGTTCTCTTAGGGAATCTTCTCTCGTGCAAACAGTAAGTAGAGAGGGAAAGGGGAATAGAGCGAGCGAGAGATAATATAAGAGACTCAGAGAGACAAGAAGTGTTTATTAATCCTTGAAATTTGGTCTTGTGATATTCTCCGAGGACGGAGACCCAGCCCGCTTGATAAACTCCTATATAAACTTCATTAGGCACCAGCGGAAGATTTCCCAAGAAAGTAGTAACAAGTAATAAAGTGCATCTGTTCTGAATTCTCATTACAGGTATGGCCCTGATTGCCATGTGCTTCAATCTCATGCAGGAGGAAGTAATGGCAAAGATACGAACGCTGGGTCGTACAGCAAGGCACATTTTCAGATGCGACAGGTGACGGAAGGCAGGATCCCAAGCGATGGCGGTGAGGACGGCGAAATGAAGTTTCCTGGCAGCGAACCTAGGGTGAACTCCAGGACGGGGTCGACCTCATGATCGAGACTGGTGTAAATCCTTGTGACGTGAGTCGCTTCTGGGTATGAAGCATCGAGGAAACACCTGGGTGAGGCGTCTCGACGGCAAAGGGGTACGCGACGCTGTCACGTAGATGGCAATTTTGATAGGAGATCGTCGGTCTAATTGAAAGGTATTAGACCCTGGCTCGGGATAATACGAGCTAATCTGTGCGAGGGTCCCGCGCCTAAGGTCCTTCGAGTTTAGAGCCTTACAACCCTTACCAGCCATCTCCCTCCTACCTCCTCGTACTCCGTCCTCTCGATTTTCCATCCTATACAGCCCATTCGCCTGCAGTGATAATTTATCAGCTCCCGGGGGAATAGGACCGTCCACGATACCCGGGACGATATCCAAGCCTGAACCTGAACTCCTTGCGGAAGATTGGCCTGTCCTCTTACTACGAATCCGCCAATGTCTCCTCTCGATCTCACGCGATTTCCCTTCTCGGTACTATCCCCTAGCTTTGCGAAATAGTCCCCAGGGACTTAAGGAGCGCACACACTGCAGAGGAACCATCTACCGGCATGAGCGATTGAAGGTGGCCTCCACATGGTGGTTAGAGTTGCTGAGGGATTCTGTGAGTGGGAAGGAGATCAAGTTGTAGGAGGAATGGTGCGCTTCGGGCACGTCGCGACGCATGCGTTGCTAGTCGATTTTGCGCGATTGTGCTGCCCCCTCTGCAAGTACGGGGTGCGACCCTTCTCGACAGTCTGCCTGGAGCCTGGCACGTCGACTCCTCGTCCTCATCGCCGTTCTCGTCCCGACGCTCGCTGTCGCTTCTATTACAAGTATTATTTTTAATTTCCCTTATAGAGCCGCACTGAAAATTTCACTGGCTAAAGTGTACCTGGACTCCTTTGCGACCTTCACGTCATCGCAGTGGGCATCCTGGAGTGCAGCACGAGAACTACCTCATGCAGAGGATCCTCGTTCATGGTGTCCCGGTCGTGCCGGATCTGATGCGAGGATCAAGAAGTCGCGGTGTTGTCGGGTCGACGCGGTTTCGCGAGTGTTCGTGACCACCTTTACGGAGCATCCCGACGCTCAATTGGAGGCTGCCTCCTTAGGATCGACCTTGAGGAACACAAGTAGAGTGCATCTAATGAAGATGTTCCTCAAGAGCATCTGGTACGCTGGCTCATCCTAAGACTAATGGGACCACAGACTCTGCAGGAACTGACTGGACAGAAACGACTCTGGGAACCGAAGGCACGTCGCAGACTCCTCGAGGACGTCTTCCCCAGCTTCCCTGACGGACAAGCATCAAGGTAGATTCGTGAGACAGAAGTCCAAGATCTGTATCAGGAAGACGTTCACGACCTCCAGGACTCGGGAAACTCTCGTACGAAGGTCTTCGCCAACGGCGGCTACTCCACATCGATCGCCTCGAGCGTAAACATTTTTTTAATAGCGTACCCACCAGGTACGCGTTTACGCATGCGAGGGGTCGGAGTGACACCGGGAACGCCAAGATTTACGATTTCGAATGCCAGGGTTAAAGGATTCGTCGACGCCGAGTGACGCTAAGGGACCTCGAGGCACTTACCGAAGTTCACGGCGTCGCGACGCCATGTACCCTAAGAATCCTTGGAACGATCCAAAGCATCCCATGAGATAGACTCCGACCTAGGTCATCCTCGTGACTCGGGACTCCTCTTGAAGATAACACAAAACAAGTCTGGATCCAATCGAAGAATCAGAACCAGCCTGTACTTCCGGTCGAGTGGTAAGTTTTGAACTTTTCGACAGAAAACTTGAAATAAGTAACGACGACGACCTTTCACCCAGTAATCGAAGTCGTCGTCCTTGAAAGCTCGCCCTTACGAACTTCCATCGAAAACAAATTAAACTTGTTATCCCAGCATTTCATCTGAAGAATGTATAAACGAGCCAAGAAAACTGCTGAAACGTTATAGTCGTATTTACCACAGTAAGAGACACAGCATTAAACTTGGGATATATTTTACTGACAGCACTTTACTGTATCTTCATCCAACCTAGTGGCGCTGTTCCAGAAGAGATTGACAATTTGTGAGCTCACGTATCAACGAGTTTACTCTGGCGAACTTTTGCGACGCGTTACCTCAAAATTCGAGGCACGTGCCCCTCTGGCCACCACATCCACCAGCATTACCATTCTCCCCACGATCTACCCTCCGAAGCATACACTGTTCTGTACACTCCTGGTGCAGTACACAGTACAGCGATTTGCCCTCCGTTTAGGTCCATTCGCAATGGGCGATTCCGCAAGAGTCGAAACGTGTCGCATCGCGGGGGCGACGCGGCGCGCCGAATAACTTTCCATTGGCGGCATGTCGGTAGAGAGCAACGAGAAAGGAGACAAGGGCGGGAGGGGGTGGCAATATACCTGGAGAGTAACTCACCCTTAGACAAGAGGCCGAAGCACGTAGGGGATGGTTTCACCCATGGGAAATACCAACGGGGAGAATTGGTACATACGTAGAAGTTAGGGTGTTCCGTGGACGGTGCTGGTGAGGGGGGGGGAGGGGGTCGCGCAAGGGTTGAAACGAGGCTTTTGCACCTTGAAACTCGTACGAGGAGACGACGTATCCTAAAACGGTCCCCGACGATCCCCTCTATTAGAAATGAGGCGCAAGCAAAGAGATAAGGGTGGTTTTTGGGGTGGCGCTCCGGGCGACACAGAGCAGCACAGCATAGAGGCGAATAGAGGGTGATAAAACGCGATGAAACTTTCCGAGAAACCGATAAGCGCTAATTGAATTTTATTGCGATAGAACGCCGCGTCCCACCCCCCTCGCCCGCTCTCATCCTTTGGAGTTTCAGGTTTTTTACTCTTTTTTTTCTTCTTTTTTTTCTTTCTTTATTACTCTTTCAATCAACCTCCTCTTACTTACATCTTTAGTCGTTGTTCTTCTAGTGGTCTGCTTTTTGTTTTTCTTTTTGTTTTTTACTACCTACTTTCCTTTATACATTCTTCCAGGGGATGAAATTTCTCGTGAAACTTTTCAAGGTCAGATAGCACGGAATACAGAGTACAAGCTGAAACCACCCTCTCTGCGAGTTCCTATCTCGACGTCTCTCCTGGTCTCTTCGTACACGTGTCATTCGGTACCCCCGGGTTTCCACGGCAGCCCACGGAAGGTAGACGTAGACGTAGCCCAGGACTACGACGACGTATTGATTGCGTGCAACATTTCGTACTTGGGGGAGAGGGTGAGCGAGGGTGGTAGATACAGGCGGTAGAACCTAAAGGACGGCTATAGGGGTAGGTGGACGGGGTTAGGGCTCGGGGTGAGCAGGGGGCAGTTGGGGCTGGGCTCTCAATTCCAAAAGGGAGGAATAATCTGAAGCACACGTGTGACGTTACGGTCTCCTGCTGTAAGGTCCAGGGGCTGCCGAGGGTCGGTACGTATATAGGACCAAGGGAGAAGCTAAGAGAGGAAGGAGAAGACGAGACCGTCCAGAGGCCAAGGGCCGACATCAGCGTCGACCTCCCAGGGCGACCACCTTAGCTTCCGCTAATTAACGCGGCACGCTTCGCGCGCTTTATGCCTTTCCCTCTTTATTCCCCTCTCTTCCTTCTCCACACTTAACATGGCCAGAGTATTCGGCATCCTGGGCCGCATTTATCTTTTCCACTGGTACGCCTATACAGTAATGCTAATAGTAGTATTAGCGGTGGCGGACCCTGATCCCTTCAGGGCTCGACGCGTTAATCTACTCAGGGGCCTCCTTCACTCCCCTAAAACCCGGTTCGGTGCTATATAGCATCAGCCTAACCTCTACCAGCGATACACGGTGAAGGTGCGAATATAACTGGTTGCAAAAAACAACTCTCGTAACCCTCTGACCTTTGCCCCTCGTTATGTCGCGTCCAGTTCAGCTAACGAAGATGCGATTTTCCTTGAGCGTCTATTGGATTCGCAGCGAGCGCTCGATAAGTGGGGTCGGGTGGCTGGCTGCCGCGAAGGCCGATTGGGTTGGTGTCGGTGGTTTTTCAAAGGGTGGCGATGAACAGACGCGAACAGACGTGGAGAGTGAAGTGGGTGCCAAAGAGTAGTCTAAGGTTGCTTAAGATTGCCGAGCGGAGCAGCACTGGAATCGTACATCATCCGGGGGTGTCGGAAAGATCTGTGTCTATAGGCGTCTGGCTATAAAAGTAATGCATGACCGATGGTCCGGGGTAAAATACTCTACTGGGTCCTGGGATCGGCTCCCCGGGTCTATAAGATAGCCGAAACGAAACTTTCGTACAGACTCTCTTCGTGTCTCTCTTCACTGTCTGTTTCCCTATGATTGATGCATCTATCAAAGCTCAATCGTTTATGTTGACGTTCATCCTTCGTGTTCGATTGGCACGCACTCGTGCCCAGGGACAACTGGGGCTCTGGCATTGGCTATTAACTAGATGAGAATCTCCCAGGATCGTTGGCACGCGGTTTGCGTACCGTGACCACCCGTGTACATAGACGAACGGAGATACATCACTGTTGGGTCCGTATCCGTGCACTTGTGCACACATTTATGGAGAGGGAGAGAGAGTGAGAGAGAGAGAGAGATAGAGATAGAGCAGGAGGAGCTTCCTCTCGAGTAGAGAGAGAAAGTGGAGGGTGAAGGGAAAGGTGGATAGAGATGGAATGATAAAGAGGATTGTGAAGGGGGGAAAGAGAGAATATCTAGCAGCATTAAACGATCGCGATATCAGGGTGCTATCAGCGTCGTAGGAACGAGGCAATGTGCCCTCGACGGATATTTAGTCCAGGGCTACTCATGGACGGTCGTTACGCCACTGGGATATTCTGATAGTCCAGCCGGCGGCTGCTGCATCGAAACTTCCATGACGACGCAGACGACCGACGCCATTCGGTGCACGTGCGCTCAGATCGACCCGCAAAGTTAGCCTTACCTTCTGTCACGGGGATTCCCCCTACTCTGGGATCGGTAACACCCTCTGTCGGCGATAGTGAGAAACTAAAAAGACCCCGTATGGACATATGGATGGACGGTTGGAGTTGAAGTAGGTTTGTTCGAAGGTTTAACAGTTTTTTTTGCAACGAAGGGTAGATGTTTCTCGAGGAGATCTTTAAGGACCCAGGGGACGGGTCAGCATCCTTCTGTCAACGAATGGTCCAGGAATTTGAAGTCAAAGTAAAATTGCCTCTAGAGGACGAGTGGAGGGTTCTGGTAGACTGTGGTTCTGGGTCGAGGGCAAGACGGCGAGGTAGATACTCAGGATGAAGAATCTTCTAATAGGTTGTTCTTCTATGAAGGTTCTTTTGCTATTTCTCTCATTCTTTATCTATCCTCTTGCTCTTTCTGTCCTTTAATTATTTCCGTTTTCTCGTTCCACGCGTTCCGCTCGTTCCCTTTCGTGCCCGAGGAATTCGCTATTTCCTTTAACTCTGGACTCCTTCCGGCCACCCCCCCCCCTTCTGCTCCCAGATATCTCAATTGCCGCTGGGGCGTCACGCTTTTACTTCCACGTAACTTTCACCACCACTTTCCACCAGCAATACGGCAAAGTTGCTTAGGCACCCTTCTCATCGAGCGCTACTTCATTTTACAAGACGAATATTGCTGCAAGAGACATTTCTGAAAGCGCATCAGACCTTCGAACTTACCACCTCAGACCTCTTACCTTGTTTTACCTAACCTACGTATTCATCCATCTGCCTTCTTCATCCTTGTCTTCTACTTTAGGGTCTTCGTAGCTTACAGCGAATCCCTCACCTACACTTCCTCCTTCTAGCCCCAAACCCAAGTTCGGGAATAGCTGGGAAATAAAGTTAGGCACTTGCGATACGAGTGAGCTCGTTCAACGGTACATGGCTGCGGAAACGTTCTACGGGAAGTTCATCAGCCACCGTCACCCTCGCCGACGACGATCACGACCGGGTCGGCGAAACCAGCAGCAGCCCCAATGAAATGGAGGTAGTAACGTTATTTTAAAAGACGGCTGAAATGAAATTTCGAGCCCAACTATATGGAACCTTACTGACATCTCTTTCCCTCGTCCTCCTGGACCCTTCTCCCCGTCATCCACCAGCCAATCCCCCCCAGCATCCATGTTCTCCAGCAACCGCTGACGTTATAGTCGCAACTTCAGCGAGCAATACTAGACCCAGCTTTCTTGCCGCATAAAAATTCTCCCGTTGGCTCATAAGAAAAATGGTATTTTCTCAAGCGCAATACAGGGGACCCCTATCGCTTTCCGGCGACTCAACACACCTCCCGCCCCCCAGGAGTTTACCTATGTCATCGTCACTGTTAACGTCACCCTCGCCGTATCTGTTACTACCTCAGCAACTGTCCCAGGACCCACCGACGTCATCTCCGTACACGTACACAAGAGTCGAGCTGTGTTACTCTTCGGGCAAAGCTTTTCACAGTATTTTTTAACGTGCTACTGACGTCTTGTATCCCACTTGTAATATTCTTTTATTGCGTACTGCATTAGCAGATGGGAGAGACGTCGGCGTCCTTTTTCATTCGACGTCCGTCGTAAGGGTAGGACGACGTCGATTTTTTAACCGCGTCCTTCGTCATTCCTTCCACGATCAACTCTTTGTCTCTGTTCCTTTTTTTATTCCTTTCTTATTGTCAGTCTCCTTCCCATCTTCTGCGGCTTCTACTCTCTCTCCTTCTCTCTCTCTCTCTCTCTCTCTCTCTCTCTCTGTCTCTCTCGTTCGTTCTCTCCGCTGAACGCTCTTGGTAGGTAGACGGCTATCGATTGCAAGCTGCCATGCCAGCCAGTGGCTTTGAGTCGCGTACTCGTTGCGCGTGTTACCCACCACCCACGTCTCTCTCTATACTTTACCTTAACTCGCCTAACCTAACCTCAAACGAATTACAACAACGTTACTTCATGATACGATAGTGACGGCGTGTATCGCTACGGCTGATGAAGTTCGGAGTGGACACAGAGAGAGAGAGAGAGAGAGAGAGGGAGAGAGAGAGAGAGAGAGAGAGAGAGAGAGAGAGAGAGAGAG